GTAGTAGGTAGGTATAAATAAAATGGAAAGAGTCAAAACACCTTGGTCGGGATATCACAATTGTTTTCATTTTTTAACCAATTACAAAAGAAGGAGTTTATTGATTTTTTCAAGTTTCGCGGAAAATATCGTCGTTTGTTAAGTGATGTTGATGATACTTTTATTTTGTTAGAAAAAAAATGTTCCCAAGGTGGTCACAACATGGCGACTCAAAATTTATTGGATAATTTTTATTTATCAAAATCAACATACTTACTTATTATTTTGTGCGCGGTAAATTTATTTTTGGTTTTAAGTGTCTGTTTGTAGTCGGTTAGCTTTAGTTAAATTTTTTTCGTCGCACTTGGCCAAAATCTAATCAATCTAGCCACAATATATCTTAACTGATACCGAATGCGAAGTAATTATTTATTATCGCGCAAATTTAACTTTTTATACTACGATTAGAATTGATAACATAATAGCACACATTTCTAATAGAGCATTGTTGAAAGGCGGTCAGGAAAGTAGGCCTAAATTATGAGTTTCACTGGAAAAGTCGTCTTGGTGACCGGCGCGAGTTCCGGCATCGGCGCCGCCGTCGCCGTAGAGTTCGCGAAGGAAGGCGCTATCGTGGCGATGGTCGGGAGGAACGAGGAGAAACTTAAGAAAGTCTCTGAAGAAGTCGAAAACGTCGGGCCCAAACCCCTCGTCGTCAAGGCGGACATTTGCAACGACGACGAAGCTAAAAATGTCGTGAACGAGGTGATATCCAAATATGAAAAATTGGACGTGTTGATTAACAACGCCGGCCTAACTAAGTTCGGTTCGATCTTAGAGGGGAATGTATTAGACGCGTACGACCGAACGATGGAGATCAACGTCCGAGCGCACGTCAATATGACGGCGTTGGCCGCGCCGTTCCTGGCCACCACTAAAGGGAATATCGTCAACGTGTCGAGCGTGGCCGGTTCCACGGTGCCGCTGCAACCGTCGATGATTTCCTATTACGTTTCGAAGGCGGCCCTGAACCAGTTCTCGCGTTGTTCGGCTTTAGAGTTGTCCGGCCGGGGCGTACGCGTCAACGCCGTGTGTCCCGGGCCTGTGAAGACCGACTTTTTAGAGAACGCGGGAGTCGGCTTCATGAAGTTCGAAGACATGCGGGACTTGACGGCGCTCAACAGAGTGTCCGAAGCCGTCGAGGTAGCGGACCTCGTGCTCTTCTTGGCCGGCCCCAAAGCCAAAGGAATCACGGGTTCGGAGTTCGTAGTGGACAATGGAATTATTTTAAAGCACTAAAAGCGAATTATGTATAAGTATGTATAATATAATATATAAAAGTATAATAATAAATAAATAAATAATAACTTTTTGTATTTATTTCCGGTTGCACTAATTTCACCCTTATTACGGGTATTGTAATATACTCGTAAATATATTGCCTTTTTTTTGTTCAATTTAGTTACAAGTACTAAAAATTAGTAATCTTAATAAAATGTAATTAAAAAAATACTTTAAGTCCTTGAAAAGGTTAATTCTGGTGCAAATGCCAATGAGTACATGCGTTCGACGCAGCGTCGACGTCCGCGTCGCCGCGGGGCCTCATTACCGGTCGCGAGCCGTTATTATAACTTGACAGGGCCTAATGGTACTATCTCAAAGTTTGAACTAGCCTTCCCCTTTGTGTGAACCTTGCTACTGGTCACTAAATGAGACGAATAGCGCTAATGCATGTTGACTAATACCAAGATGAATAAAGCGTATACGCTAATCATTGGGAGGAGAGAAATGCAAATGGATAAATTAGAAATTATAAATTCCGAGCTGCATAATTAAAACGGGGTCGTGCGGTATTCGTCCGGGGGCTGGGCAAACAAAGTGGAAGCCTCATTACGCGAAGCCGGCCGCTGAGCGAGTCGGCCCTCCATCACTCTTCTTAATCACCCGTGACATAAATAGGAGGAAGCCGTTTGCCGCCGTGAACCTCGCTTTGGAGGAACCGACGGTAACATACTACGACTAATTGTTTTAAGAACAGTTTCTCCGCTACCTCTGTCTATACCTAACACCATATATACCAGATTTAAAAATAACTTTCGCCTCATCGGTAATGTTTGATAAAATATTTCTTTGATTGGAGTAGTAATTGAGCGAACGCGTTTTTGCGCTGAACTATGATATAGATGTTTAAGAAAACACCTGTGAATGTAGTGAATTATCTTTCGAAAAAAATATAATAGATGACGTAGCCCTCGAAACCTGTTTATATTGTAGGGAAATAATTTCAAGCTATATCAATCACATTTTTTAAATGAAATAAAATTGGCCTAGGGACGCTAAACGATCTCGCTACATAATAGCGAAGTCTTATAGTTTCGTCATTTTCTTGAAATGAACCGAATCTAAATTGTGAAGCACACTCGGGCGACGAGTACCTGTAATGCGGAGAGGACTAGCGGGTCTCTGTCGAGTCGATATTGTAGAGATCAAACTCCCTCGTAATAAATCACAGACGCCGATGAGTGACTATAGAGTTTAGATTAACCGCAATATCGCGAATAATTCGTCTATGACAGTGGGTCATCGTAATTTGTTTATCGTATTCAATCACAGATTAGGCGGTACATCTATAATAAGTGCTTACATATTACAGTGTCACTGATCTGAATCTGTGACATGAAGTCGTAAATCAGATTTGTCCGTCCGATGATAGCGGTGCTTTAGCGGCGTGATTAATTTCCCAGCATTGCATTCCCTTTTCTCTTTGGCGCAACGGCCGTTCTAAAGCTCGAAACGTCGTCAAAGTTCCCGTTCTTCCGCGCGTCACAAAATCGAATCTTAGCCTTACGGGTACAAGTTTTCAATATAATTTGACAAATTTGAAGAACGGAAAAGGCGATGAGGTGAAAATGTGTTCTAAAAATCGATTCGGTAGATAGTTTTACAATTACTCATATGAAATGTTGTTGTTGTTGTTGTTGAAATCTGCAAATAGCTAAAGTTCGGATCGAAATTGAATGTATCCAGGTTTTACGCCGCTTTTTATAATGTGCAAAACTGGTTTAAAATAAAAAATTAACAAAATTTGAAATTTATTGCACGATGCACACGCGTGGGACCGAACCTAACTTAACTTAGAACGCAGGTGCGGTGTAATGTGCGATTGATTTAACTGCATAATATCAAATAAATAAATCTACAGTAAAAATGTATGTGTAGATAAGGCATATATTTATGCAATACCCCGACTATTATCTTATGAATCAATAATTACACTTAGAAAATTTCTTACTGCCAACGCATTCTTATGTTAATGCTCCCACTTTAGACATGTCCGTGCAGACTCGTACTTTGTAGAGTTTATATTTTACTATAAGTTAGATACAACCGAATGAAGTCATCTTGACTTGAGGCAAAATCTACTCCCGATTCAGTACTGTGTATTTCCTGCTACGATTCGTAACACTAGGTTGCCTCGCGAAGCGGAAAGTGTTCTGCTGCATCCAGTTAGCTCGGTTTCTGCGTTCACATCCCAGTGAGCCCCGAATCCACAGAATGCTGCAGTATCGACGCGGACTGCGGCAAAGGCCGTGTGGGTTTCATCGATTAATGAATAGTACAATAGGTCAGCGTGCACGTTAGACCGATAAGGGCCCACCATGAACGCGAGATCGATCTAGTCGACACCTCTATTTAAATATATATAAGGAGACTTAAAATTTCATATGTATATTTAACACTTTCGAAAGAGTTGTAATAATTTACTATAGTGGAATTCGTTTTTGCAGCAAGTATTTTTTATAATTCGAACGTGCTTTTAAAAAATATAATTTGCTTTGGCACTTCGCTGAGAAATATGAATACGTCGCAACATCATCGCCGTATTTTACGGTCACGGGGGGTTTCGTCGAAAATCTAGGTTACGCAATCGATATGTCATTGTACAAAATTAACCAGAATAGAAATGATACTAGCACCTTCGAACATAATTCGAGACGTTAGAGAGGTGTTCCTCTATTCATAATATATATTCATATGCATCCGTGACGAGCTAAGCTAAGCTAAGCTTTAGTGAAATTCTCAATGTATTTAAATCAACGCTTTGTGGAAGGTGAACACTGAAACTTCAAACAAGGGAGTTGTCGTGCCCGTGCGCATCGGCTTACTTCATTTGGTTATTAATTACTTATTGTAACCGTGCTGAGTTGCAATAAGTAATAGTAATAAGTGGGATGTTTATCCCACTTTTAAAGCCTTCCAAAAACAGAACCGCAAAGTATCGAATTGTTTACAATATGAGCTATGGATCTTTAATTCGGACGCCTTTGACCGCCTCCGTTTCATTTACAGTTTTAATTGTATGGCTCCAATCAAATTAACTTTAATTATTTCGTTGAACATTCGGCTGCACTCTGATTTAAAGTGAAGTGAGCTCGTGGCGTATATTATTACAGTGGAACTAATAAACTAGTCATCAAATAACATAATATATCCATTTCTTTGTTCGCACGGGGTATTCCTATGTATGACCAGAAATGTATGCCTTCGATTGTTCGCGTGGCAGGAAAGCAAAAGTTTAAACTTCCCAAAGTAAACGTTTTCCAAGTCCATATTATTTGCGACCGCTCTAGTACAACCGATTCAATGTTAGGTGGCCATTGACTTTTCATTTCGACGATGCGGAATCGTTATACGTCAGGTACGTGGATCGATCACCTCTGTCGTCACGCGTCACTTTTTTCTTCAAATTTGTGACGAGCACCGACACGATCGCGCTCTCAATGCTTTTGCTGCATTTCCCTCTAAGTGTGGACATGCTATCGTCAGAACTGCCAAGCGTCGGTGACTCGCCCGAAGAGACATAAAACTTCTTGTGGAATTTAATAACGAAAATTTATGTCAGTAGCGCCTCCGCCAGAAGGTGCCGAGACATTCCCATAAATTACAGCGTACGATTATACGAATCTTTACATTTATTATAGCTGACTTTCAAGCGTTTAATTTATGTTTTCGGTGCACAGGTCGAGCGATAGAGCGCGTGTGCGGTGGCGGCGACGGCGCGGGGATGGTGGCGGCGGCTCGGGCGCTGCTGGCGGCCGTGACGAGGGTTCTTCTTCTGGCCGACATGGTGGTCGTGCGACAGCTCCTCCTGGCCAAGGACAAGGCGAGCCTGAATTCCTACTTAACTCGCGCTTCCCGCACATGAGGCGACAGTTCGACAAATTTCGCGTCCGTCTGATCGACTCCAAACGAGCTGCCGTTTTCTGATTTCCGTTGCCGTACTCGACGTCACGACATTTTTCACCTGACCTCTCTCGAACTAAGCTAACTCTACTAATAGCGACCGCAGCGACCTATTTTGGACTCCACATTTCATTTGTTACGTTTGTAATGAGTGGACTCGAGAACTTATAAATTTATTAACGAGCCCTTCGCCGATAACCCGGATATATCGATTATACCGGAAAATATTTCGAGAAATAATCGCAACGAAACCCTACAGGGTTTCCGATTCGCAATTATAATACTTCGTCACGACTAAACGTTCCATCGAGCTAGAGTCACGCGAACCTCGAATAGAATAAATGCAAACGATTTTATTCCACAAAGTGAAACATGAACCAATTTTCGTTCCCTCGTTTAACTATATATCGCTCACCGCGCGTGTGGCAGGTGGCGCGTTCGTTGGATCGTCTGGAGTCGGTGTCCAACTTCGCCGAGTTCGTGCGCGCCTTCACCGAATTCGGCGGGAGCATGGTGGAGCTGGCGAGGCTGACTGCGGAACGGAGAGCGGACTTGAGAGACGAAAGGCGCCGGGCGCAGGTGGCGGCGGCGAGGAATGTGCTGGAACGCTCCACGCTCATGCTGCTCACCTCTTCGAAGGTGATTCATGCACAATTCTACTACACTACACTCGAAAGTTTCGACCTCGGGTGGCGATTAATTATTATTTCATTTGTTAGAGCGTTTCCATATTCCGTAGGAATGCGTATCTCTCGTAAATTAGAGACGGCGTTCTCTAGATGTCGTCATCAATTATTATAGAGGGGTTCAATCCGAACCAAACCCCGGCCGTGCGTAGATTTGGCGACAAAGGAGACGAAATAGACAATCGTAACAAGTTACAGCCGTCGATTAAAAGAAGCGTTCCAAATTCAAATGATTTCTACCACACCAAAGAATATTATAATAATACAGAACTTCTGAATGAATAATTCTGTTGGTCGAATGGAGGCAATGGGAGGCTAATAATCAACGAGTCGCGGGTTCGATCCCCACCAGGTACACATGTCTAATTTTTCGATTTTTAACGTTTCTGAAACACGCTGGGCCGGCGGGTCGTGTGGAAATCGGTATATTATTATTATTAAATGGTTGGTATAGAATCGCAAAAATTCCGTTCGGATCACGATCCAGTCTGCGGATTTCCGAATATCCAAAGCCAAAATAGGTCGACAGCTCGTCGTGTTTAGATGCTATAGGATGCAATAGGAATATTTGATGTTACAATTGAAAGTATTATGTTACGATCCCTGAACTCCGAAAGAAGATATCTTCTGTATTTTAATTTAAAGGAATTAAGTGAAACTGCGTTGCGGAAGGGAGGTGGTAAGTTATTCCAACACTTAGAAGCTCGCACTGAAACTCCGCACAACGCCCTGGCATTATGCCTAGCAATAGACACCGCAAAAAATGAATCTCTAGTTTGGTACTTATTGTTACTATCCCCTATCCACGATAACTTTGAGAAAGGATAAACGGGGGGGACCTTTGGAGATTTTAAAATTATTCATATGCACAATTTGCGTACAAAAGAAGGCAACTTACGAAGTTTAAAAGATATCAGTTGAAAACTAAATGAGGTCCGAGTCGCTCTAGGCCGTAGGGCCTCGGATGTATTGTGTGACGCCGTGAAATCCGCGGGACATTAATCCGAGTTACGTAATCCACCTGCGCTAAGTCCGCCGCAGAGCGCCGTAGCTGTTTTAACTCGGCACCAGGACGTTAGCTCTAATTGCATCTCGTTAACCTGGCCCCACGTGTAAATATAGCTGCACGCTCTGCTTCGTGCTTATTATATATTATCTATGTAAAGAATTGAAATTTCGCGCGAATCCCGACATTTTTTCCATTATAACAAAATATTTTACTATTCGTATTCTATTTTTTTTTTGTGAATAGAATATTAATATTATTGGCCAATAAAATACTTAAATAATATATTTTGTATAAAAATAATTGGTAAAATGAAAAATTAAAATGATTTTAGTATATATTCTATTTGTATTTTTTATAATCATATAAGTAGTATTTAATATATTAATATATAATTGGTACATAATAATAACAGTATAGAACAAAACAAAGGAGCAAAAATATTTACAAGTTTAGCAAAATCAGCCGAATACTTTTCCTAATATTCGACTATTCGGTAGGGTCTGAATATTCGGTATTGGTATACTGCCGAATATACTATTCGTTGCAAGTCTAATTCTGACGTAACGTCAAAATGGAAAAGAGATGGCGGTTTAGTGCACGACAATTAAAATTGTGTTATTAAAAGAATATTATCAATACGACTGAACATATTAAATAATAGTACTAGAGTTTTCAGATATAATAGACTTTGTTGTTTAGTTTATTGTAATGTGTGAGTTTAGATTGTTATTAAAATCATTAATCTCGTTTAAGGTAGGTAGACGCAACAACAATCGATTTGATTTCGAACATATACATCTCTACAAATCTCGTTAGTTAGAGATCGCTGGAAAACGTATATATTGATTGGCAGGCACATATCGACATCACTCTTACGAGTTCAATAATTTTTTTGTTCAAGGCTTGTTTGAGGCACCCTGGAAGCGCTTCGGCGAGAGAAAATCGCGACACGGTCTTCTGTCAAATGAGGCGGGCGATGGATCTCATTCACTATGTCGTTCGAGATGGTCTTCCCGGCCACGAGGAGCAGTCGCAAGAGGTCAGTCCTGATCGCTTTCGCGGTCTCTTCGACCGTTGTTGAAACTTTTGGGATCAAAGTACGCATACGCGACTGTCCCATGTGTGTTTAAGAAATTACTTTTAATTGACTGTTTATTAAAGGTAACCTACTCTCGCGATAAAGAGCAGGTGAGCCTATGACACGTTCTTGCATTTCAGGAATGAGCTTTTGATTATTTTTTGTGCAAAAGTGCCTCCGTGCCGTTGTGAGTCTTTGATTTCGAGATTGCACGTAGATTAGGTACATCTAGCCGATTCCAGACACGTTATTTGTTTATTCTTAGTTTACGTTGATGTCGTATATTATTTTTATTAATTACAATTTAGTTTTACAAGTCACATAACTCACTTCATCTTAGTGGCCAATATAATGGTCGCTGTATCGCAGTAGTCAAAGTGCGACTACCGACGTCTTAGTTTCGACCCGCCGTAAGATCAAGATCAAATTAATATTAACTTTTACGAAAATTTCTTAATGGCTAAGTAGAAAACTCATATTAAACATACATATTCTGTACACATATCGCTGTAACAGAAAGAGTAGTAAAATAAGAATTGCAATAAGCGGAAGCACACACGCCACTTTAATTACTTGTGACAAGAGCCGGCGCGTAAATGCACTATTGCGTCCGCACTAAGCCTCTCCTTATGAGACTCGGATGCAGCCGTGCTCCGTATGCACTAGACCTCGGCCGTACTCTCGTTTCTAGTTGTAGGTTTTTAGCACGACACTATGTTTTTCACATAATCTAGAATAATTCGCACTCGTTCGAGCATCTCACGTACATCGAGCATGATGTGATGATTCGCATAGTTCTCATCGATGTTTACCGTAGTTAGCGTATTCTAATACCGATATCTCTAAAATACCCGTTAGTACCCGTGGTATAACCCTTCCTATCGTAATCTGAGTTACGATCGACGAATAAGTTTCTTTGTAATATTTATTAGATTCTCTTGTCCAGAATTCTAAATAGCATGTGTAAAATGTGCGTTCGCGCAGCGGGTTAAGCTCTTCCCCTCCGACCGTACCGCACCTACATTAAACGCATTTCTCTATTGTAGTTGCAACCTTTCTCGGACAGTCAAGAGCAGGTATAAAGGTTTACGATTGGGTAAAGTAATTTTATTAAGTCACCACGCCTCCGTACAACTTAGAAGTAATTCGAGTTCGCTTGCAGTAAGGCATTATGCAGACTCAGATCGACACTCCCCCGTTTCTAAGAAGTGTCCGAGTCCCACTCTACTCTAGTCTCGCATAGTGAATTACACACGTAACATTATTTCATAACAATCAAAACATCATCGCCAATGAGCTACGCTTGAAAGCCACTGTCGTTAGTTCAGCCAAACTAAATTCACGCTACGGTAGTCGGTTACCGCTTAACGCTTTCAAAGTAAACGACGACTATGAAGAGAAACGAAATAAGCCGGTTTAGCGCTGCGCCGTTTTGAGCTTACTTTTATTTTTAAATAAAAAATGAATGAGTATATTTTATTACTCCAGTTTTAGGTGGAGCGATGAAACGTAGAGAAAGCTTTCGAACCATTTCGTAGTACTTTAAACTTTTCGTACTCGCTGAAGGAAACCGTGAAAGTTGCATGCGACTAACGAATTAAAAAATTAAACCATCTCAAGCAAAATTTGTCGTTTATGTTCTTAAAATAGTAATCTAAAAACGAGACGAGTATCGATATCTATAAAAATGAGATGTTTTAATGGAATCAGTTCGTGAACACGCTTTTTTCCGCATTACATCCGGGCGATTCCCCACTTATCGTCCTAGAGAGAAGAAATCTATCGTGAGAATGGAAGGTTTCGATCGCTACTGCACTTTTCGGTAGGCAGCTCAATGGGAGGCGGGAACGGCGCTGGGCGCGCTGCGAGGGCTGACCACCCAAGTGCGCGCCGCGAGGGCGAGGGGCGGCGCCGACGGGGCGCGCAGGAGAGCCCTGGCCGCGACGCTGAGGGCCCTGGTCGAACGCACACACGACTTCACGGACTCTGCCTACACCTCGCACGAGCATCGCCAGAGGATCCTCGCGCTCGCCGAGCGGATCGCGTACGAACTGGAGCGACTGGTGTCCGTTGCAGTGTCCTTAGTGAGTCCACGTTTCACTTACTCGCATTAAAACTCCTTCGTAATTATAAAAAATGACTCTTTCCCGTTTTCCGAACCTTGTCAAAGTCAGTTGAACCGTTTGGGCTCTTAAGAATAACAAACCTTAATATGAAGGTCATCGTGGTTATAAGAACGTAAAGTAGTAATAGTGAAGGAACACTTTCAGGAGGAACAGGGCGTGAGCGGTACGGTGGCAGCGTTAGAGAGCGCCTGCGCGGGCGCCAGCACTGCCGCAGGTGAACTGGAGAGGGCACTCGTCGCCGCCGCGAGAGACCAGGCCAGAGATCTGGCCCCGCTCGCGGAACAGGCCAGAAAGATAGCCTCAGACCTCGCGCACATAGGTAACCTACGACGAAAAATAGGTACAGTAGACTTGTATGAGTAGCGAACACTTGTGTGTTTTGTTATTGATACTAAATTTGTGTAGGCCGCAGTATGCTTGCGCTCTGTGTCTTTTAAAACGTTTAACGTTTAGTATATCCTATCGTGCACTTAACCCGAGCGACACGGGACACGATAACACAGGGGTGTTCGCAAAACTAGACGTTACGGGTCGTCGTCCGGTCGTCTAATGATTATATTCTTTCAGCTAGTTCCTGCGGTGAGAGAGAATCAGAGAGACTGCACAATATTGCCAGCCAGCTTCACGAGCAATTAGATCATATTATTGAGGCAAGTTCCCACTTTCATTCGCGTCGCGACTTGTCGGTAAATATTCATTAACCGTTTGGTTTCGCAGGTATGCAAGTTACTTAGGCATATAGCGATGTCGGAGACCCTTCAAGTTAGTGCTAAGTTCGCCGAAATAAATTTAAGGATATACGGGCCTCAAGTCGTGACGGCGGCGAGGACGCTCGCCGCTCACCCGGGGAGCGCCGCGGCGCGAGAAAACCTAGACGTGTTCGTGGACATGTGGGCGTGGCTGCTCGCCGACGCGGCCAGGCTCGCCAAAGAGCTGCTAGATCTAACGGACGAAAGGCCCGACAAGCAACAATACAGTAGTTTACCCAGACCAGGCGTAAGTTTTCATCTAATCGCTTAAAAATAATTCTATTGAAAGAAGAGATCGAACGTGTAGTTGTAATTTCCCAGTTTAAATTTATTCACAGAAACACGGCACGACTAGTAAGCCATTGAAAGCGGTCCGTCTGGACTCCGACGAGCAAGCGAAGATAGCCAAGTCGGGCCTTGAAATGAAAATGATGTCCTCCGAGATGGACGCGGAGGCCGAGAAGTGGCAAGGGGCAGACGAAAACAACGACATCGTAAAGAGGTACACGTGCGCCTGGCGATCGGGTCGACGCCTCCCCTCGTCGGCGAGCCTTCACCTCATCTCACCTCATACTCGTTGCTTTGTTTCAGAGCTAAGAATATGTCTTCCATGGCCTTCGCTATGTACCAGTTCACGAAAGGTGAAGGCCGCCTCAACACGACCCAAGACCTTTTCACACAAGCGGAATATTTCGCAGAAGAGGCGAATAGGCTGTATAAAATAGTGCGACAGTTTTCATACCAGGTGAGGACTGCGTTCATTAATTAGGACGTATTTTACCCTCGAGCGAAAACTCTATCTGTGTCGACCACTCGCAAGGTTCCGGCCGGAACGGCCAAAAAGGAGTTGTTGGAGCATTTGGACAAGGTCCCGACGTACGTGCAGCAGCTGCAATTCACGGTGAAGGAGCCGACGGTGGGCAGAGCCGCGACCTTCAGCAAAGTGGACAACGTCATTCAAGAAACCAAGCACCTCATGAACGTCATAAGCAAAGTGGTGACGACGTGCTTCGACTGCGCGAACAAGGTAACTCCGCTGTGGCCTCTCGGACGCTCAGATTCCACTGTTACTTGCGACACGTGGCACAAGTTTACAATCCTTTAGACTTTTTAGGCAAACTAAAGATTTTAGTGCATTGGAACGTAATGTTCCTTAGGTACCTTTGCCGTGGGAGAAGAGTGTGGGAGTGGTTAAAAGGCACCAGAGTGTTGCACCTGTTAAGTACTTTAAAGACTTTTTCTTGTTGTCTGTTAGACTTGAGGGGGTGAACAGTGTGGTTTAAAAAGCCTAGTTTTGTTCTCGTCCCGAGGCAGAAGGGGGTCCAGACCCTCTCCGCTCTTCTTTATCGTTTGCACTCTCACGAGACGCGGACGAGAATAAAACTGGTTTAGCATTAGATATAGCTCAAAATAGATATAGTACTTTTTATCTTGGTGTCACATTCTTTCGTAATGTTTTGTTTTATGTTTGTTTAATAAGCGGGTGCTTCTCCGTTCGCGATTCGCTCCGAACGAAAGATAAAGCGAGCGGGCTCTGTGATTTTGTTTCTCGATACTGTGTGCGTTCTCTTTGTTTGGAGCCCCGTATTTAGTTAATTCCGAGCATGTTTATGTGAAACCTCGCGAAACTCTCATCTCAACGCTCGACGTGGACCGATAATGAATTAAGGTTTTATTCTGTTTCCGCCATTTCAGTACTCGCTTTGTATGCCCGAGAGAATCCCTATGTATTGGAAGCCAAATTTACGGAAAGCATCTACGTTTAAGAGTGAAAATAGCGTTTTGAACGGTTAACGTAGGTATCCGTGTGGTGACCGTTTTTGTGTTGTTCACTAACTGCGTTAATCTCGCCGAAGCGATTACTAATCGAGCCTTCATCTACATCGCGGTTTCTCGATGGAGATTAGAGTAGAGTTGTTTGGTGGTGTTGACCCATAGCTAATTTATGAATGTTGTTTATGTGTTGCAATTGAAGTTTATAATAACTACTTAGCTTAGCATACGTGTGATCGAGAGTTTATAACGACGCTTATAAACTTTAAGCCTCCCGCTACACTTAGGTCGATAATGCTAGTGGAACGCGAGTCGACATTTTTGCTGTCGTTCGACCCGACACCGAAAATGATCGTCTAAAGCTAACTCACATTAACCGTCCGTTACACGCCGCGAGGGGTACGTATGCATGGCGTTTGTTCTCTACGCGTGGGTGACTCTTCGGGCCTTCTTTATTTCGCTACGTTTCGTAGAAATTGCGAAATAAACGCGGCCCGACGAGTCGCCGAGAGCGAGCCGTAAGTTAACTTAATTTATTTCGCAACAGTACAAGCTGGACTTCACGGGCCTCTCCGCGGGCGGCGCCGGCGCCGGCAGGACCGCTCGCGACGACGAAGCCGGCGGCGGAGGCGGCACGGACGCGAAGCCCGGGGGGGAGTTCGTCGGATACGGCCATGTGACAGTACGGCATGGGCCGGCGCGGCAAAGGCGACGCGCGCCGGACCAGGGTCAGCTTCCTTCTGTTTTAAGCACTTAAACGTCTTAAAACAACTCGTCGCCAAATGTTGGTCGGACGAGCTCGGTCGACGGCGGTAGCGGCCCTCCCGATAACCTCACGAAGCCATACCGACGGAAGCACAAAACGGTCGACGGACGGCTGATTGCTTTAATTCTTTCATATTTCGGAAACATGGCCAAACGCCTCGAGCCGCGCGCCGTCGAGCGAGTCTCGTCGCGAGCATTGTATTTATCAACCCTGCGGCGGCTACGAACCGGTCAACCGGTTTTCTTATTGGATCATTTCATCGCGTAGGGTTATTCAATATAATGCTGTAGACCGAAGTAAATGTTGATAATGTGTTTAATAGTGCGCGGTTTCCACGCGAGCATTATTAGACGGATTTCAACAGATTTAGCCTAAGATGGACAGTACGATAAAGTTTTCGTAATTTGTAAGCAGACCACTTGCGACACACAAGCTCGTTCGTACTACGTTAGTTATAAGCGAAAATAGGCAGTGAGACTCCTTAAGAGCAGAGCGCACTCGGCTGTGGAACTAGTTAAGTTGTAGTCGGAGCCGTACTCCGACGATGTGTCGTATTCTTCTGCCTCGGTTCTCTTATGGCTGCGGAACGAATTATCCACGGTTATAAACGATATTGTGATCTTTAAGTAAGAGAGTGAAAACGTACAATAAATAAATACTTGTTACATTAGAATATTGTTACACGTTTAAGAGTCTACACAGTGAAAGCCTTTTTTTTACGTTTCCCCGTGTCAGCGTGCGCACCTTCTACTGTCCCGCCCGCGCCGCACCTCCGCTACCTCTGCACGTTGGCTTTCTGTTTTTTTGCTATGCCTCAGTCATCTACATGCTCCGTCACATTACATTACACTTGCATTCGGTGTGACATGCTACGAAATCTGTAAATATGGACTAGTTACACGGTGGGGGAGTGGGTCAGACATTGCATGATTGTGAAGCGGATACAATAGATGTGTGTTGCATGTGTGTATCTCATAATCGATGTCGTACTTCATCTTGTGGACGGGAAGACGTTTAGGATTAAGATGCTGGAACTTGACTCTGGTGGTCGAGACCACCTCGTCGCCTGCGAAACGCCGAGCGTCGTATAGACCGAACGAGGGCGGCGAGCACCGGCGAGTCTTTCGTGTTGCATGCAGTGTGACTGAATGTTGCTCTTACTTACTCACGTCGCACGGCTCACTTCGGCCTCGGAATCGCGAGGCAGCCGGACTGGTATTTATATATAATGCAGACGTATTAGAGACAGTCGTTCACATAGCTGACTTCCTTTCGTATTGTAAGTATTGTTCCTGTTGTTGTTTTCGTTTAAAAGGCTGCTCACCGTTCGCCGCTTCCTGATATCTAGATGAAAGTCTTAGATCGCCCGCGGTGCCTCCGACGCCCTCTTTCGTGGTCTATGTGGCGCTCCAGTTTTAAATATCTCGTTTCCTTTTCGACTTACCGTTAGACTTATCTATAAGAATATCTAATATCTACATCGATTTCTAATAATTAAATTCTTCTCTTTAAAATATAGATTAACGATCAGGCCACGCGCGTAGCGTTAAGTTCTTAAAGACGAACTAAATTTTATTCGACTAATGTAAAGAGCTTTATGAAGCTTTATCGTAAGCGTTGTGAATCGAAATCGTGGCCACGTATTATATAGACTCGAATCTTATTGTAATTCTAATTTTGTAAGAGTTTTCATAGCGATAGTTGTTTCGGTAAGCGAGCTCCGAGCGACGGACTACGTAGACAATAGTAGATATACATACACACATCGATTCGTACAAAGATCACTATAGACATTCTGATTTCAGTTTAAGGCAACGGTAAACGTAACAAGTTTGTGCAGCTTTAATTCGACGCCCGGTGACCCGACGCGAGGAACTCGCTTACGGCGCGTAACTATGTTCGTGACCAATGTGACTATTTATCGTAGACATCGGTAGAGCAACGGTAGGCTAGGCGTACGCAGAGATCGACCTCATGTTCAAATTAGATTATATTTGATGTAAATCGCTCGACGAACGATACTCAATAGCCGTCGTGCCTCCTAATGTAGTGCATAAGCGAACCGACGTCCGAGATCGTTTCGTTCCCGTTTATCGCCGAGGAAGGGCGAATCTCGTACGTCGGTTCCGCGTCCAGTAGCTTCACACCAATAAAGGACTGGGACTACGAGAGTATCCTCCGACTTCCATTGCATTTATTACCGGCTAGATAAGTAGGTAACGATACAGATTTGTGATATTACAAGTAAATCGATATTTAGTACGACGTCCTGTCGTTCCGATGTGTACTTGTAAACTAACGTACGTCGCGCTGGGCCGCAGAGAAGTCGCCCGCCTCATATCACTTCGGCGACTTCGAAGCGACCCGATCGCGATTGTCAATAGTCTTTAGTCATTTACTGAGAGTGGAAACTGTTGTGATTGTTATCGTAATATATTCAATGTTGCATTTTCATCGGATAAATTAGAGTATATTTTCCATAGGGCTGCCAAAGTTAAATATTACTAGACGTAGTCACGTTATTGATGTCATCAAGAATCAAGGTTGTACGTGCATTGTGAAAATGGATTGTATTCGATGTTCGCCGAGGGCTGTGCGCCCGTTTTACTTATGAATAAATGATTCGTATCGGTCGCGCTGTTTGCTTATGACGCAGAGGAGGGGGGAGGAATGACACCAGAGCCTCATATATTACGTCTTTATTATATTTAATCGAAGTACAATATATTACATGGTCTCGACGTAATCGCCCCACCGACGTCGCATTCCTTCCGAAATCGTTTTACAGCTCGGTGAGTTGTAAAAACGTAGCGTCCCACTCGCCGCTGGGACGAGTCGGCGCGTAAAGATCGCGCATTTTACGAGTGACGTGAGTAAAAGCGACGGGGATACACCCTTGTCGTGTTACGATAAACAAAAATATTTACAAAGAATAATATAGATCATAACGTCTAAGAGGCTAATATGGAATAACATAATTAAATGACTCGTCGTTCACAACAGCGTACAGTATATGATCTGGTCTAATTACATAGGAATAAATGAAGGCATTCATCGTCGACCGGGATCGAACTCGTTCACGCTCCCGAAATGTCACATCGGGGCACTCGCGTCGGAGCGAGTCGATTGAATTTCGGGACCGACAACGCTTCGGACCCGACACTTCTCGCGAACGCACCTTAACGATTACGCGCTAAAGAGACTAACCTAGCTAAGGCTACTTCACGACTGAGCTATGAGCGTCGCCCGCTCCGTCGATTGACTTGTAAAAATATCTAAACTCACATCAAATTTAGAATCGTCTCACTAAAGTTATCGTTAAAATCTCTATCAAATCGTGACCTCCTACGAGTTATCCTGTCCGAAAAGATTTCGAAGCTATCTAGACACTAGCGTTCGAACAGCTACGTAGCGTCGTACGTAAGAATCGATGAGACGGTGCTCCGGCGTTAGACCGAGGTCTCAACGGGTAAACTACTTTGGCAACTTCGCGGACGAATTAGTCGATGGCGATCGAAAATGAATCGTGCATTTCGAGTCGTACAAAAGATTATATTAAATTAGGCCTTAACAAACTAAACGCTCCGTCGAGGAATCGCTGTTAAATCGCATGCGTCAGATGAGTCTTCGGCGTCGTTGTTCGCGTACAATCACAATAATAAAAGACGGTAAAGCTTAAATAGCGACATTGTTAAACGGCCGATTTGAGCGTCGTCCAACAGTAAATTCATGTCATCTTAAAATAAATTACAAAAATGTAAATAATATATGCAAATTGCATTGTAAGAACAGATTACAAGTATCGTCACATACAGTTACGAAACATTCATATTTACATCACAGAACGGAGATCGTCATCGGTCAACGCGACCGAGGAGGGGGGATACGTACACGCGTTTCGGGTAACCGCTGAAATGGCACTGACAGATCGATCTCATGACATTCCGTAATCCCACGATTACGAGATATACTTCTTCGACGCGTCGCGATGTGTCGAATGTCTACTTTAAAAATGAAAAGATTTCGTCAAAAGTTTGTACGAATTAGCGAAGAAGGCCACCGCCGCGTCGGAGGCGGGCCAGGGGACAGACATCGTAGAAGCCCTTCTTTATATTCTAGGATAATGGGTGACAATGAGATGCACCGCGTCGCAAGGCGGCGCCGAGAGCGGACCGACGGGTCAGTCACGTGGGAGTCACGGTGGGTGCGAAGGCGACGCGCCGCGGCGCGATCTTAGAACAGGCCTTTCTTTTTCTTGTCCTTCTTGTCCTTGCCGTCCATCGTCCTGAAATCATTAATCAAAGCATCAAATACCGCGAACAATTAACTATTACGTACGCGTTAGTACGCGTACGGTTAGAGCTGACGATCTCGGAAGCACTCACTCCTTGCTGTTGGCTTCGAGCGATCGGCGGCGCAGGTCGTCCAGCGAGAGGCCGGTCTCCCTCTCCCAAGCGGATTGCTCCGCCTGCAGAGCGCGTTGCCTCTCCTCCAGCTCCCGGGCCTGGGCTTCGAGAGCGCGCCGCGTCGCCTCGTGCCGTCGGGCTAACTCGGCTTCCGACTCCTTCAACTTAGCACGCTTTTCGCGGACTTTGGACTCGAACACCTGGCCAAATGAATCGTAATCGGTGAAATACTGCCGAGGCGAGGCGATTTGCGAATTCTTACACATTTGCAATAACCCAATATTGCCCCCGACGCACCTGTTCCATTTCACTTTCCATTTTTTTCATGTTCAGGTCGTGCTCTCTCTTCTCCTCTTCCATTTGAGCCAACGGGTTCCTGTAAAAGTGGACACGTACTCGTTACAAAATCGGATAGATTTCGATTTAACACTTCAGTAGCGGAAAATATTTGAAAACAAATTATAATTATTTACAAACAGGTGTTCGAGGCGCACACGGGATGCTTCGAAACACGTTATTCCAAATATGCAACGATTAAAGTACCGCCATGCGAGTGAGATATCTCGGTACGTTAAAATACATTATTCCTACCTTGGTAACATCTAAGTTTGATATCAAACTACGATGGGAGGTAAAACACTACATGTCGCAAGCGAAGGGAAACAGAAAAACATAACATCCGTGCAAATACGTAACAGAGGCCGGATGAGCATAAGGGGATCGGTAGTCGCATACGATGCAAAGCAAAGCTAAGACGACTAAAAAGTGAGGTTCAATGAGGATGCGATGAGACTCACCAAACGGTCATGAAACTGTTCATCAATCCTTGCGGGCAGAAACTGAACACCAACACAACCAGAGTTAGCAAACCGATGACTGCGCATTCGCGAGGGACATTGAAGGCCGAGTACGGGACGCGCTGCGAGTCACTTTAATTCGTGTTTTGTGTTGAACTTGATGAGTTTAAATCAAGTGTGACGCATGCCGATGGACATTTTCGCGACCCGTAGTTGCCTCTAATGCCACTGCTCGTGCGCGTAAATTAAGTACGCGTTTTGTCTCGCAATGACCACTAAACTTAATTAATTACTTGTCAAACCGAGACAACCCGCTCGTGTAGAATGCGTATTCCGTTTCTGCATGCCCAAGCGCAACAATCGAAAACAACTATCGCAATAACTAATAGAGTGGAAAAAAGAAAATAGCGTACGATGCGAGATTTACATAACGACCGACTCAAAGATGACCAGACATGCAGCGACGCAATACGTCATTCGGACTCGGATTCGGCGAGTCAACGTTCCCGGGTCAAGTCTGGTCACCTCGAACCGGTGACGACACTCAAGGTGATATCGACCCCGTCCACCCGGGCCGTTGCCGATCGTGACCGGTATACTAGATGTAGTATGGAGGTATCAGTTTTAGTACAGAGGAAAGAGTCGTCGAAACCTCTCCTTAAATCGCCCCGAACACGTTCGTCAATGGGTTTGGCGCGATGTGAGGAAAGAGCAGTAATAGTCAAGGAGGGACGCACTTGTTGGAGTTGATCCTGTGCGGCTTCCCGTCGTGCGACAGCCCCGCCAGTTTGCGGCACCTGTAGTTCTCGTAGTGGACCGAACTCGTGACGTCCTTCAAGTCCTGCAGGTGCGTCCGTATCACCATGTTGCGTAGCGCCAGAAAGTCGCAATGCTCCAGATTCTCGACTGCAATTGATTGATGTTCATTAGGCTAAAGTGGTCGGCGAATGACGTCGCGAATCGGCAATTGCTCGTTCCGCCTTTCGATTAATTCGTTCAGGTCCCGGGTGATTTCAATAAATTTTATTTTATTTTCAATAATTGTGATCTATATACAGATGCGTTATTGATCCACACAATACCGTAATCGCTAAACTGACCTTCCGCAATGCCCCACGGGTACTTCCGTCCCCGGATTCGTCTACCGTCCTGCTCGATCACGGTGTTGGCCCCGACCACGGCGAAAGGAACTCTGCTCCTGAGAGCCTTCGTAGCTTCGGCCGCGTCGCCCTCCTCTCCCGAACTATCGGGGAAGTCGTAGATTTTAATCTTGTGTTGGCCTATCTCCTTCATTATCTGAAAAGAATTTTTTTAGGTTGTATTATATCGAAGGAACCGAAACGAAACGCACTCGTAGACCTTACGATATGAGGTAAACATTGAAAAAGCGTCACGCACTTGCTCTTTGAAATCTTTGCATTCTTCCGGAGTCATAGTGTCCGCCTTGGCGACGACCGGAATGATGTTGACCTTGTCGCCCAGCCGCTGCATGAACTCCACGTCGAGGGGCTTGAGGCCGTGGCCGCTGGGCGCGACGAAGTACAGGCAGCAGTGCACGCGCGTGTCCGGCGGCGCCGCCTGCCGCGTCACGCGGGACTCCGCGTTCAGGAACTCTTCGTACTTGGATTCCACGAAGTCGATGATCGGTTGCCAGCTGCGGACCCGACCGATGTTAACATTACTCCACTTGTCGCGTTATCACAATATGATAATTAGGCTTCTGCACTTTGAAACTAGTGATATGAGAAGCATTTTGTCCTAATTACTATTTGAAATTTAATGAACCTCATAGATACAGGACCGACAATGAGAAGGGTACGATGATAATATTAATGCTTTGTTACAAAGTACAGAGTTGGGACGTAATTATTACCAAGCACTTTTTCGACTTTCAATTTCATTTACCGGTTCGAGACAAAACGAGTTTAGACCGTGCACTGAAATAAGCGTATTCATCTCTATCAATATTTATACAATCTGCGTAACGTCCGCGGTTCGCGTAACTTTGACGTTGTGCTAAAACTACTATACGTGGTGTTCGGATGCCACGAATCGCCGCTCACCAGTTACTGTTATCGACGGCGTCGCCGAATCCGGGCGTGTCCACGATGGTCAACGTGAGGTTCACGCCGTTCTCCTTGAGCAGCACCACGCTCGTCTCCACGCCGACCGTCTTCTTGACTCTCAGCGAAGGCCCCGGGTGTTTGTCTTTATCGTACACGTCCGTCAGAAACAACGAATTAATCAATGTCGACTTTCCCAAGCCGGTTTCACCTGAAAGTTCAAAAGTGAACGCTCAGAAGTCTGTTCGCCGTGGCCGGGAAGGAAGACGTCGTTATTGTTTCCTTTGCGTAGAATTAGAGGACGCAAGATACTCACCGACGACCATTAGCGTGAACTCGAAACCCTTCTTTACCGCCTTCCTGTAGACCTGGTTGGGCAGGTTAGCGAAACCGACGTATCCATCTAGTTCTTTGGGCTTGGGTTTTTCTATTTTAGGCAGCTCCGGTTTCGGTGCGACCGGTGGGTGATCTGGTTTCTGAGGATTTGCGGTCATCGTAAGCCGAGTAACGGTAATTTTAAAAACAATTATACACGAAAATATCCCACACGAGAGGCGCACCTTTATGATGTTTTCCGTGCTTCTAAACGGGGCGGCGGGCGGCGCCGTCGCGGGCACCGGCGGCGCGGGCATCTGAGGCGCCGAGTTCGGCTTTCCCGCGTCCACGGACGCGCTGCTGCTCAATTTGTTCGGGGCCGTCCCGTTCGGCTCGCCGTGGTTATTCTCCTGCGGTTCCGGCAGCGTCGCCGCGCGCTTCGCGAGGGCGTCCTTTATGGAGGAGGGCGCGAGCGGCGGAGCGGGCGGCGCAGCGTTGGGCAAACCCGAGGCGCTCACCCCGCCGCTGCTGACCGATTCGGACTTGAAGAACAGCTCGCGTTTACTTTGCAACTGGAAAGGAAATAAAACCTCCGTCAGCGACGTTACATCCATCAGCGATACGCGAGCGTTGACGTCACTCGCTCGAAAGGCATAAATTCTACTTTGCGAAATAAGCACACAAGTGCACGCCGTTTGCTCGGTATAAACTTGGCTCTCGAGTGTGCGCGTGAGGCCGGCGTCAGATGACTCACCGACGCCGAGGCGAGGTGCGTGTAATGCAATAGGCCATCGATACTAGATAAATCATTGTTAGGTACTTAAGTGTGGTTACACGATGTACAGAAGATGATCGCCTTCAGCGATTAGAAAAAATGTTCAGTAGTGGCACAATGAAATTTTAATCATCAACGTAATGAATTCGCTTCGGAAAATTACAGCTAGTGCACTAATGACTCCTGACCCGGATCGAAAACAAATATTGTCTGCTCGCTAATAACTGACTACTCATACGAGGAAACGAACTGACCGAACACGTGTACAAAGTACCGTACTCCAGAGCCTAAAATGATTCAACTCCGTAATGTACAAAATTATAACAATTAATAAAAAAATACCAACAAATTACAATCTTCCAAGTTTTAGATTTGACGGACTCGCTAAGGTATAAGTGTATTTTCAACTCACTTCATTCGATTCGATCGATTTGAGGTATTTATTCCTCTCATATCTGACAGAAGCGCACAATTTACTCAAACGATTCATTTGCAAAAGACTAAACGTCGCGCCTCGACCGATATATTCGAGTAAACTAAATTCGATGGCATCGAACGAATTTATGAGGAAATGAAGCGAAAACACCGACCACAAAATGTATATCCTAGTCTCGATAAGACGGGAAATAACTTTACTCGCCGTAACGAGTTAACGATCATCGCTGTCAATATCGTGAATGTTTTAATAGGCCATATGTACGTACATTAATATAAATAAAATAATAAACTAATGATAAACAGCAAAGATGTGTTCACTAGGTGACGAGGTGAGTCCTAGCGTAAAGTTTACAATGCGCCTAGCTACGATATGCAACATTGAACAATGGGACACTGGGGGACACATTTTAATGATTATTACGTACGGATATGCACTATTAATCGGTGGACCTTGCCGGGCCCCAAGGAGTGAGCGATTACAAGTAATAACCGAATCGGAAAGAAATTAAGCGGGACTGCAACGCCGCAGGACGTCACCTCACGTAGGAGGCGAGAAGGCAGAGGCACTCGGTCGTTTCCTCCTCGAAGACAACGATTGTCATGCCTAGTTCCGTCGCATGTCAATTCAATAGTCGAGCAATTCACTGGCTTCCGGTTATTGAAGACCCGCTCGGATTATTAGACGCACATTACACTGCACACTGTCGGAGTTTCGTTTAGTCGACGCCATTAAGAATTACGGTTCGCGACGAGCGTAGACGTAAGTAACCGGTATCGTTTGAAATGCAGTGACAAAGGTAAAACGGGTCCACCCGATAAGTATACCTAACGAGCTAATTCTGATAAAAAGTTATATTAGTCACACTAGTTAAGCGATGTGTCGGTGACGTGATTTAGCAGGGAAGTGGCACGACCGGCTGCCTCGATGCCGGCCGAGGCCGCCGACTCATTGCTGGCGGCGGTCGCGAGTGGTGCCTTTTTAGAAAAGAGCATTTTGTGAATCGCGAATGGGCTGCGCGTTTCATAATTATGTGAAATCGCTCGCATCAGAATTACTTGAATGGCTTGAATTCACTTTTAAAATGAGTCACCGAGTTATTACCGAAACAACGAGTTACGGTATTGCGGGAAGTAAACATGAATAGGCAAGTGCACGTGCGCTCACGACCATAGCCGCCTGCGCAGGTTTCTCACATTCACTAATCACAACAGCTGGATGTCTATGTTACGCGTTCGTCGAGCGTCAATCGTTTCATAATATGTTCGACGGAACCTGATAGGCTCGCTTTTGTTTTTTAAAGTTTGACTACATTAATCGGTTGAGCGCAGGAGGTAATCAATTTCGTGTCGATTTTCACTGCAAACCGTACGCACTAGTTACGCTTCGTGTATTTTCTTCGAAAGTAATAATTAGCATTGAGTATTCTACGCAACGCGTTTGCAGGCGAAGTATTCTATCGACCTATTTACCCAATAGAAGTAGTGTGGAGGAATGTTGTCCTCGTCCGTTTTGGCAAGGTATGTCTTAAGGTAAGAAAAAAATACCCCATAAACTGGCCACTGAAAATCAGTGTTGCAACACAAATGTGTAACATTATGCTGAGTGGCTCCTGTTTTAGGAGTTGCCATAGTTATTTTTTTAAGCCTTGTATGTTTTTTTATGATCTGTATAGGTTTACTTATTAAGTTAATCTTGGTTCATAATTTTTATTTGTGTGCAATTTTTTTAATACATGATTTTTATTATTATTATAAAAGTGTTATTGTCCGATTGCCCGTTTATTTAGACTTTAGCTAACTAAAGTTAACCCTAAGGTTAAATAATAATTTGGCTTCGCATTACGCTACTAGTCCCGGCGGATAGAAAACCTTCTAAGTGGTATAATAGCTACAAATTTTTCTATTGGCATATTAATCCGATATCATTGATTATGTTGTCTTACGCTTAATATTAGTAAAGTTGTCGTAAAGAATATTTATCCTATTTACATGTTGCCGTATTAATCGACGACCACCGTGCACTAGGATTAATACGCCGCGGCATACACAATAGGATCTGCCCGAGTGGGCAGATGATGCTCGGGCGTGGGCAAACCGGGATCCAAAGCTTATAAAGAAGCATCACGAAATATAGGATCAGACAAACATTACATTTCAAATTAAGTGTGGATGGACTTTCGGCAGGCAATCTGTCCGAGTTAGTCGCTGTTATTCCCTGGAGCATACCGTTTAGAAGTAGACGACGTTAGACAGAGGTAAATACAACCCTTTGCATCCACATTAGCAGGATTTCGATCGATTCCTAAATCTCAATAAAGCTTCGATATTCATATTTTTATCCTAATCTTAAAACACGTCAATGAGATTTCGCAACCATAGCAAGTCATTGCCGCTCGTAAAGCATTCAACAATTAAGGACCTCTTAATCAGGGTTAATTTAATCGACTGTACTCCCACGAGGCTACGACGCGGTGATCGTCGTGAACAGGTATAGTATAGGTATAGGCAGAAAATTATTTTTTATATTAAGAATGATATAAACCGGCCTCATAAAGTTTGCACAGAACAGATGAAAGACGAAAAAAACCCATTACATACAAATTTTACTCAATTATGTCGACTTCATCCCACCTTAGTCCCGAACACTACCAGATAATAAAATTTCTTGGGTACAGTCGAGCGAGACATGATCTAATGCGGTTGTGATTTAGTACACACTAGAACAAGTCAACGACCCAGTCGACTATTGGAAATGGATATGGATCGAGTTGTCACGGCGCCGAGGCGATCGGCGGAGCGGCTGGCCGTTTTAGAAAACGGAGAAATCGCTCATGGCGATACACTTACGTGTACAGAACACAGGCATTAGTGCAGATTGGGCTAATTGAGCTCGGCGATGAGACGAAGAAGGCTCGCGAGCTCTCCGTTCGCCGTCTGGGCGCCGTTTTATTTCGTGTCTCGTGGCACCGATATCCGTCGCGGCCTATCGTCAATTTATATGATAGCCAACGTTTACATTAGCGATTATTAAAGTACCTCGACTTTTCTTCGCAACGACAAGTTCCTCCAGATCTCTCGGGGACTGGTCCATCCGACTTTGGTTTTATCGATCCCACTGTCGCCGACGCTGCTCGCACATCTCGCGAGTTTCGCGAGATTTGCAGTTCCATTGGCCGATGACCGATTAGCCATTGCGTTCGCAGAAACTAGAGAAGCACTACAACGATTATACGACGGCGTCTGGCCCGACGGATGGAAACTCGCGCGCGCTTACATCGCTCACATTTTAGCTAGTTACACATAACATCGAAAACACTATCACGATCGCGGAGCGTTCATTGATTGCGGTGGTTACGATAAAAGTCTCTCAGATAAAATTCGAAATCGACGGTCTGTTCGAAGTCGAAGTGTGCTCGCGTCTGCGACGATTTGAGGTTAAGTTACCTGCACCGGCCGTCGGCTGGCTCTCGACAGGAAGCAAAAACCCTGCCGGGGCCCGATCGCACGATTCGATAGCGCGAGCAGATGTCTTCGTTACGGCGCGCCCTCCTTTACGCGTTATAACGTATCTACACGATCGCCACTAACGTTCGCAACGTCACAAAACACAAGAAAACTATCAAAAAGGGACACCACGCGTGCAAGTTTGAATCGCACCCAAAACAAAACGTATAACCGCGGGACAGTTAAGACACGAGTGAAACGGTTTGAGCCAGCTCAGGTATAAGTTAATTATAGCCGTATTTTATACATATAGGAGATGTAAAAGGATCTCGAGCCCGTCACGCTGATACCCGACAGGCGCACAAAAGCGAGGACAGTTTACGGACTCGAGAAAATAAACGACAGCCAAAGAAAACGCAACGTCAACCTTAGAGCGGGCGGACGGAAGGTTCACACTCGAGAGTCGACGAAACGGTCATACGCCCTTTATTTCGCCAAAACGGTCGCAAAGAGAGAACGTGCCCCGACCGCTTTTGCTCGATGTGGATAAAAAAATTAAACTTTAAACGAACTCGGTTTCATACGGCAGTCTTTTGCCGCCGGTGCGAACTACTTGCCAATATTTTGAACGTGAAAACGACCACACGTAACCTGTAGGAGCGTAGGTACAAACGGGTCGAACGACAGCATTCATAATTCGTTTCTTATCAGAACTACTCGTCAGTCACAGATAAGGTAATCGATAAGAAATTCCGAGAAAGAGAATAACAAACAAAAGGACTCATAATATCAACGCTTGTGTCGCAAATAGCTTCATGATTATTCAAGAATGTACACATTACGTACGTCGGTTCAATTGTATCGGTGTGATAACGAAACGAGTCTTAAAATTGATTTCATGTTTCAAGTTTTTTTCCAAAAGTGTTCAAACGAAATGCCTGAATAGAATTAATTAAATGAAAGTAGGTACACCATATTATCATCATATTTTTAAAATAAAGAGAATTAGCATGAAAATGTTTGCATTTTGAAGTTACGATTTAAAATAACATTTAGATCAAATGGAACTTTTTATCAGGATTCTAGGAAGTTCCAGGTCAGGGTGCGACCGTGAAACAATTACTGACTGTTTAGTGGATTCGACACATGCGAGCAGAATGTCCGCCGATGCACGGGTTATTTTTAACCCTGTAGGCATCAGGGTCAGTCACCCGGACCGTACTACCGCGGGTGAGACCAGTCCCAGCACGAAGAACTCGCGTGGGAATTCGTTAAATAAAAAAATAAGAGGAATAATCTTCTTAAACGTGCGACGCGTCTCACTTTTTCTTTTGCAATAATTAAGTATAATTGATAAAGCGAACATTTTGCTCGATTGAAGTCGTAAATACAATAACAGAGTACAGAGATATGTTACAACAATTCGAGCGAGAAGCAAAACAATCTCACGTGATAGTCAAACTCCTCATTCCTATAACAACAGCGGCTGACGATCTCCAAAGGAAACGTGGAACCAATCACTCTGGTGAGGATGCGATTCAAGGTGCGAACGTTTCGTATTATTTAGTATTCACCGGAGGGTGATTCGGGCGCTCTAACGAAAACTCCCAACTAGGGGTGCACGAAGTTCGATTAGGGGAGCGGGCCGAGGGCGAGCGAGACTTATGGCAAAAGGGGACTCACTGTGGCCGTATCGGTGAGGGTGACGGTGGCGGACGTGGGACCGGCGTTCGTCGCGGAGCTATTGAGCGCCGCGGCACCGGCTACCTGGTTGTTGGCACTCTGTTCGATGATGCGCTGGCGAAGAGCGAGCCTCTCCAAACTGGCCAATCGATGAGATCCACCCGTTCCCTCTCGATCCCTCTCCCTGAGCCCGGCGGAACTTAAGGCGCTGCCGGCGCTGAAAGAGCCACTGTATTTGGGCAACGTCGGCGGCGGAACTGGTCTCGCCGAGCCCCGGCCGAGCAGGGAGCCGCTCGACGCGTAAGCGTAAGCGCTCGGAGTCCCGAGGGTCGCCGTGCGCGGAGCGGCTCCTATCCCGTTGAGAGAGCCGTTGGCACCGCCGACGGCGCCGTTGACGGCGGCTGTCGTGGCGCTGCCGTTCATCTTCGCTGCGCGAAATCCGTCGTGCGAGAGGAACGAGCGAACGGCGCGAATATCGCCCGACGGAGGTGCGTTCGAGCGGGGTGCCCGTCGGAGGCGGTTTGACAGCTCGGCGGTGCGGCCGCGGCGCGCGGGCGGAGTCGTTCGGCGCCCCGCACGCGCCGTCGCCCCTTCCCGATAGCTCTTAGCGCCGTTCGAATAAGAGTTTCGTCGAGACCGAAACCGCCGCAGCGAGAGGGTTGCTTGCAAATGCATCGTTCCACTGGTCAAGGTCGACTCGGGAATTCTTGGCGAATTCAGTCATACGCAGCTCGCCCGGTCGTGCAATACGGGACTTCAATGACGATGTCATCTTAACTTAAATGACCACTTTTAACGGAACTCAAACCCAAACATATTATGTACCTATAACTACTTAAGAGAAGTTTAAACTCAAAGGAGAGTGAAAAGTACACATTATCGTGTTCGAGGTAAGTAATTACGTGGCTTCTTACGCTGAATTTACTTTCGACGATTAAAATTAAAGTAGAACAATCTTGAAAAATAATAAAATGTATGTTAATCTAGAGAAGTGTCGACTTTCGACCGAACTACACCCTATTTGGGATCCAATAAGACTTCCTCTTAGTTGAATTGATCAGACAATGACTCGTATGTGGATACATAATGTGAACGGATTTCAATAGGTGAAAGAAGGAAGTAATGGTTCAATAACCCGTTCAAACTTGAAGACATAATAGCGATGTTATAGTGGATGGCCAGTTCACGTTTACACATTGTGCAAATCATTTGCGGTTGAAAATGAGCACTTATATTCTCATAATTAAATCTAATTGTGAGTAAATACAATAGCGGCAGATCGTGCACGGCCCAAGAAATCGAGACATATTGCATTGACGACACGCATTCCTCGTGACAGACAACGTGCTGCGGTCACGGTCATAGTGATCGACCGAAAGCGGCATGCGCATGCGCGCACATCTTACACCCTGTTGGTGTCCGAGTTACGAAGTATAGAACCACAATAAACAGTATCCACGGTATTCCAACGGTCCCCCGAGGCCTGCTGTTTTATTTATCCAAGCTAAACGAAATGTCTGGAACGACGTAACTGAAATCGTTGCTAAAACATAACTCCGGCTAGATAAACACTCTTGATTAGCTGACTATAATCAGACATCTAAGGACGTGAACGCCGACGCTTCCTCTAAGTACGGAATAGTGACTTTGCCCGGGATGGGCTTGAAGCTCAGCTTTCTAGTAGTGATTTTGGTAATTTGGTTCTGGAGCACTAGGCACTTGTGGGTAAGGACAGGCCGGCGTCATAGATGCAGCGCTGGTTCAGATCAATCAGGAAGACATTTTACACCTAGTGAGGAAGGGACAATTAGCTACGTTTCCAAATCGTGGGGTAGTGTAATATTTTAGAAGAGTACATTCATATTGTTAAAACGTGCACCTCAGCTCCATCTACATACATCAAATGTAAACAGCTGCAGGCAGTAACAGCAATATTTACCAACTAAACAGTATTTGCGACAGATGGCAGCACTGCCTAGCGTGTTCATACATTTTTGTAAATGCGATTAAATATTTAGTGGTTAAATCTGTTTAAAAGTATAATAACTACTCCTTAGTTCGTTTTAGAATACATAGTACCGAAATGAGTAATGATTACGATCGATTTGAATAAATCTCTTTAACGGTTTAAAACAGACAGTAAAGGTTAAATAGAATAGAACTGACTGACTGAGAATAGACTGCAATAGAATTGATGTTTATAGTAAATGTCAGATTTTATTTATTCTATAGACCATATTTGAATCGTAATTATTGACGCGCATTTTTACTTTCCAATGAGTAAGTTTAACTTCAAGTAAGCACGTTTGCTGACATATTCGGTAATAACACAACTCACAAACCGTGTTCGTTAACTCAAACGCCCTACAATACTTGTTACGCTAAGACGAGTGTGCCTGAAACGTGGGAAGTGGCACAACAAACACAATGACACACTGTGCTGCACTCGAGACCCTAGAACTCCTGTACCGCACTGGGAACCTAGAGAACGGGATTAGTATTTAAAATGCTGGTGTGCATATTTACAGACCGTAAAAGGGAGGTTGTCTTTGTGCTTCAGTATCTCGTTAGCGTGGTTTGTTGAGCCGTAACGCGCTGAAAGATGTTATCAAGATGTGGGGCAACGAGTCTCTGGCAACTTAGGTATACACGTGTCTTACATAAACCAAACACTAAAAACAGAATTTAGTGTATTAATAGGATTGTGGTAATTTTGTGTATGTAAACCCCTTTCACCTTCAGAACGGTGGGCTATCGACTTCAGCCCACCGTTCTAAACGTGCCTATATGGCGATAGGGAAATTTCGAAAGAGCTAACTTTGTAGGACTTCCTTTAATCGGATTTCAACTGGATCGTTGATCAGACGCCGCGCGTGTGACGTCAACAATCCAGTTGCAATCCGAATACATCGATAGCAAATAAAGGATGCGAAATCACGACGACAGCACTTAGTTCGCGAGCGTTAACGACTCCTCTATGAAGGCCACCGAAGTCCACGCGATAAATATGTGAGCAGACGATAAGAGCCCACTTTCGTTTACGCGACTATCATAAGTTAGCCTCTCTGAGCCAGTAAATAGGTACTAATTTCAATCGACGGCTCTGGGGTCGAGTGCAACATTACACGGAGCAGTCTACGTACATTACATTTTACATACCTAAAAGAATTCATTGTCATAAGGAAAATGTACGCCAGATGCTATTCTCGCCTCCGTAACCGACCGAGCTATCGATTATAATGTGAACGCATGATGATACGCAATTAATTGTCATTCGGGTTTTCTTGCAATTTTACACTCGAATGCGACTGAGACTCACTTTAGGAAACATTAAAACGATTACTTTACGAGGTAATTTCGTTCGTCCGTGTTCTATCAGCGAACGGGCCCGCTCCGTACGCAGCCGGCCATAATCGGAGCGACGACGGATTGTTTAGCTTAAAGGCACGTGCCATCGCAAACAACATAACTGTTTCTTAAACAATTCCATATGCGCTCACCTTAAACAAATTCAGAGCGACAACAATATTTTCGCGTTTTAGAACTGTTAATTAAGCTCGAGTCAAACACTTTGCATTGAAATATTGGTCTCGCCACGGTTTTGTTGCAACTCGATGAAACTGAATGTTTAAAACGTTTTAATTGGAAATACGTCATCGCTCCGTACTTTGCGTAAGTGTCTAACCCTCACCTGTTCCGTTGAATCGGACGGGACGGGTCTGTACCGCGAGAGCACGGGCCGATTCCGAGATCTATTGAGCGGAGAGTCCGATAGAGATGCCATTTCACACGACACGAGCACTGGAGTCGGACGATTTAAGTCGACGAACAATTTACATAAGGCGACCGCCGACGGAATGCGAAGCGAACATACTGTTCCGATTAGTGCAAAGCGTCGCCACCGAATGCGATGATAGCACGCGCTCCGTCGACAAATCACATCCGGAGGAGTCGACTGAAACCGGGTGATTCGACGCTGACCGGCACTCGGCTGAAGGCACCGATAACAATTCGATGATATTCCACGGCGCCGAGTATTCCGATGTCACTCTGAATTAGTCGTAGTGAAATATTAATGAAATACAACTATAAAGTATCGATACGAAAAGAACGACCGACACGCGATTAGAGCTTCGCACACTGGAACAATAGCGAGGGCGCGCCGCGGTGACAAATACGGTCGTCGCCGCGCTCACTCGGCCGCGGGACGTGGACATCGGTGTCAGGACGACGGACTCCGAGGCGCAGCTCGAGGGCCAAATAGCGGTCGCGAATTCCTACTCGTAATTCAAACGACGGCGCAACGTAATGGTACGTGCGCCACGAACGAACGGTCCCCGGCCTCCGTGACCCGATTATTTCTTTTCGAACTTATTATGTGCACATGTAAACGATGCCCGCTCAGGATACTCTCGAAGCCGACTGAACCCCGTTTGAAGTAATTTTGAATAATCATTTTGTGTGAAGTAATTATGCTAGTTTACAATAAGTGTACTCACCGCTATTATTGCAGCGTCGCAGAAAAACAGCACATGAAACAAAAAATATGCAAGCGTTAGAACGATCGTCGACGACAATGGGACATCGGAGCGATGGCCGAAAGTAGAATGGCGCTCTCCTACACCACGTACCGAGACAAGGGAGACAACATGTACCTACGTCCTCCGAGCTGTCGCTACCCATGTACTCTGTTGCCATTAAATCGAAGACATTCAGTTTAGCCACGCGAGGCTGCGACGCGTGACCGACGACAGAACGTAAGTGACGACGCGTACGCGCACCACGCTCTCCGTGAAAAAACACAACAATGAGTCTTCGCCGATATAAGAGAAAACATACCGGCTTTGTTTTTAATTTCAATGTTTATCGTGTACACATCGATGAGAGAATTATTATAAACAAAGCGTTTTCTCCGCGTGACAAACGGATCGACGATTTCTTAAATAGTCAATAGGGGCACGATCTTACGTGGTGCGTCGTCGGCGGCGCTCGCCTCCATGACCACCGTTCCGCGCGGAACCGCCACCCTCGCTCCCTGCGCTGGGTCGATTGCCGCCTCCTCCACGACAAACAATCTAACGACGACCGCCGGTATCAGGCGACCTAAATGACGGCAAACGTTGACAGCGATACGATAAGCTGAGGTTTCACTTAGAACTAGAAACGTTCGACGCGCGGCGACTGAGGTGCGCCGGTAAGCGCGGAATCGAGTCGGACGGAGACGGTGAGCCAGTAACGCGTGCGACTGAACTCCGAGCTATTTCAATACACGCAGGGAATTCGCAACCATCGGGGTGGTCGATCCGAAGCACTGCCTCATTCGAGGTCAACACTTTCGGTCCGGGCGCTTCGATGACTCCAGAACTAGGTCACAGCTCTCGAGCTTTATCTTCATTTTAAAAACGACGCGGCGCTGAAGACTTACGGGTCTCTTCGATCGAACTGAATAATAGTCACAGCGAAATTGATAGATGAGTTTGCAAAACGGTCGAGCTTTTGGCGCATTCAAAACCAAAAATGATTCTCGAAATGAACTCCTCATTTCGAGAATAAAATCTAGGAAATAGCAGACTACAGCCTTTTGTCTCCTGATTCGGAACACATTTCGTATCGTTTCTCTATTGTCGCTTTTGGAGCTCGGGGCGACGGTATTCGTGGCGCGCCAAAATTTAAGGAACAAAATCGACACAATACATTGATATACATAAGCAATTATTTTAAAGAAATATAGCTGTGTAGTACGACTACGCAGTGTCAGTTTACAGACAGGACGTCGCATACTACTTCGTCAGTGTGGTCGAAGTTCCGCTACAGAGATCAACACTGGGTATATGGTTACATGCCCATATACAGCAAACAAAACATACCTACATATTATAAAATTTACAAAAATATTTCTATTTAAATGATGTTTCAGCAATGCTTTAGAAGCGACCACAAGGATTTACAATATTAATGACAATTATAGAAGTTAATTATTAAACAATTTCATTTTGACCTGAATGTTTTGCTTCAACATTTTATAAAGTGGTTGACTAATACAACATTTACTCTACCTTTAGAATAAAAGATTGAAAAGTCAGTCAGAGTCAGATTGAAAAAATTTACAAGTAAATATTTGGAAATACTGTCTGTAATTTACGGGAGTAGTACACATTTACTTTAACGGTTTAAAACGCTGAGACTCTCTCCCCGTGACCGCACATTGCTGCTGCAGAGCATCTTTTAAACCATTAAAGTGTTGTAAGTTACCAAAAATATTTATTTTAAAACTGAATAATATTTATTTTTATTCAATTTCATATATAGATACTGATCCCTTAAAATATACAGAACTTAAATTTAATGATAATGCTAACCCCTTTCAAGCATGAACCTGAACTTGATCACTGGTAAGCCAAGTTCAAAACCATAATCAACATCAATGTTTAAAAGATTAAGATAATATATATTTTGTTTAATTAGTGAAGAAAGAAGTTTTCTTTGATATTAGAAATAGAGACAGATTTTCAGATTTGCCTCTCTTTTCAGAAAGAGAGACAAATCTGAAAATTGTAAAATTCTGGATTTTGTAGGCAATGTAGATAAAAATGTCATAAGTTTTTTTTTCAAAGTTGATGCCACAGTTGATTTGCAATGCAATTAATTAGGTTTGGCCTTGAGAGTTGGCAAGCACTTGTCACAAGGCATAAAACTAAAAAGTGTGACAAAGCTGTAAATCTACACCAAGTAGAATTATGGTGACAATTACATCATGACATGACAATCTAATAAGTTCAGGGCCTAAACAGTGGGAAACGCATATAAAATACATAGTATTAAGTCCACAAAAGCATTTTTAACATACTTATAACAAAATACAATATTTTAATTGCAAGGGTTAAAATTATCTAAACCTTTACCTGTTATAGCAAATATATGTGCATTTAATATACCAGCAGAGGTAATACCTAATGGTCTTGAATAATGACCATATAAATGAGCAAGGACAAATAGTTACATACATGTCAAAGAATTTAGATTACAATTATAATATTCAAGTACAAAATATATCTATTTAATTGAGAACGTTTGAAATTGCGTGCTGAATGTAGTAAAAACTATCAGTTGCATTATTTATTCATAAACATATTGTGTTGGCGCGAATGGCACGCTTCTTTCGAAATAAAATTATTGAGTACATGATATTACCTGATCTCTGCATAATGATTTGAATAATAACACTTTAAATTCAATTAAAAATCATAGTCTAACAGCACAATTTTAAACCACCACTGCACAAAATCGAACTGTCAACAGCAACACCCGCCCTTTGCAGGGGTACCGGGTCTGAATTGATTTTTTGTAATTCTTGCCAGAACAAAATTCTTAAACAGTAGGGATTTCCTAACATTGTTCTCTAAGTATAAGCGTCAGTGGACATGGACGATGGCGAGACGTTATTATGATTGACGACATAAATCTGTCAAATATACAAATGAGGAATCATATCTGTGAAATTTTGTTTATTTACATTGACGACAGGAGTATGAATAATACGATCATAATATGATTTTGCTTTAACTTTATGCGTATTCCAATTTTACCCTATTACAAAACGCAGTCTTGACCACAACAACAGAACTTTACAGACAGGCATAAGCAATCTCTACTGGGTGCTAATGCTTTTGTGTGAATATTGTTTTTATATTTAAATTATGAGGTTGAATTACTTGAACAATAAAATTCGGTACATTTCTTACCTCTCTGCATTACTTAACTTTAAAAACAGAAAGATTAAACAATCACTGAAAGCGGTAAGTGAATGTATTAAATAGGTGCTTATATTTGTTATAGGTATACTGATAATATGAAAATTTCACTTTAATAAACACTTCATCTTCACATAAGTTTTAATTGATAAGATTTACCTTCCTTTTGTATGATATTATTATTATAGGTATAGGACAAAGGAGTGTCCCTTCAATAAAAAAGAAAGGAATAGGTTATGCAATTAGTAAACACAATATTAAAGTTGCATTTTTGCAGGTATTCCACAATTATTGTGTAACATGTCAGAAGCCCATATGTTTTATGTTAATATGGCCCTTAAAAAATAAAAAGTTAGCAATTGAAAAACGAGAGGAACCCAAACATCTTGCAGTTTTAGGTTTTGCAGACAGTCTATTTGAGAATGGCAAATATGAGGAATGTTATAACATTTTAATGAAATCTGAGGTTAATTTCAAGTTACTAATATCTAATCAATAATGTTTATTAATATTCAAACGACTAATTCCTTTATTTGAGTAGACTGTGTAAAATGTAAAAATTTTAGGAGAAAAATAATATAGAAATAAAATGGAGAGTTTGCCGTGTTTTGTACAATATGGCAAAGCAGCCAAAACATGATCAAGCTCACAAAAATGAGCTCATATCAAAAGCATACAGTATTATAGCGGAAGAAATAGAAATGCATTGGGACCACTTTGCAGTTCAGAAATGGTATGCTCTCATTTTGGATCTGAAAAGTTCAAATGATGGAGTAAAAAAAAGGATAGAGGAGCTGAAAAATGTTAAAAAACATATGGAGGTGAATTATTTGACTAATAGCATTAGTATGTGTTACTAAGGTGAAAATTTTGGTTCAACTTCACTGTAATAAGGATTATATAACTTATACATAAAAGTTACAGAGAGCGCTTAAGAAAACAAATTAGATCAAACATAATCAAATTGTTTAGAAACACAATTTTTAATATAGACTTTCAAACTAACTCTTAATTATTTCACATTGTAGCTGGCCATCGCATTGAATCCAAACGATGCTACATTGCTCCACATGTTGGGTGAGTGGTGCTATCAGGTTTCTGAAGTCCCTTGGCATCAGCGTAAAACAGTAGAAGCGTTGTACACAACTCTACCTCACTCAACGTATGAGGATGCCCTTGAGTATTTTCTAAAAGCTGAATCAGCGCAACCTCGGTTCTACAGCGTCAACCTCCTCCGGTTAGGTTGTTGTTACTTAAAATTAAACAAGGAAGACCAAGCAAAGTATTATTTAAAACTGGCCGCCAGTTATCCGGCCAAGTCAAATGATGATCATCTCGCTAACAAAGCAGCGATAGAACTTTTACGCAAGTTGAAAGTTAAGACTGACTTCTCAGCATCTCCTTAAAGGAATATTGGATCTCAAATGAAGCTCTGTTTTATTAAATTGTTATATATTTATATTATTTATGGTAATAAATGCGGTAAAAAGTTACAATTTGAGGAAATATAAGCTTTCTCTTTCAAGATACCTTGTTTATATTTATTTACATTTAAGAATAAGAGTAGCCTTTTTAAATAAACAAAATATATTTGGTAAATACTTATATATAAACGAAGCAATAGTAGCAATGAATACATATAAGAATAAAATTAACAGATAAAAAAGCAAGCATTTTTCAATGTAAAGTACTAAAGGGAACAGTACTTAGTATATATTGAAAAACAACTGAAATTTTTTCATTATCTTCACACTCTCCATTGGTGTTTGAGTTCATGTGCTTGCGATTAAATTGCAAAAATTCCACTTCATATGTATTTTATTAAGGTAAGGTAAGGATTTATATTTACGCTAGTAATATTGTATATGTAGACAATTAGAATTACCATTAATAATACTCTTAACGCATTAAACACTTACTTAGCGTAACAAACAATAAATCAAAGTGAGTAAATTTAAAATATAAATTTTATCAAAAATAATAAAAAAAATACAAAAGAACATACAATTATCATCAGAATAACATTTTTAGTATTTCATTATCAAAGTGGCTTTCCTATTCTTTAAAATTTCTGCCACCGATTTTAATGTCAATAAAAATTCAGTAAAATGACCATGGTGAGTAGGTATTCCCTGATTGATAATGATATACTATGTGTTCACGCCATAAGGTATATTAAAATGATAATACATGTAACAGCATTGTGCTTTGTAAGTCTTAGTGGACATATTATCACAGAAAAATTCACATGTGTTGTGTGTCTGATCGAATGAGTATATTATACCTTTTTCTTACAGGAGACTAATCGTTTTGTTGAATTAAAAAATTACAAATAGTGTATAAGCTTAATAATAAAAAGTCCAGAGATTCTATGAATCATTGGAACATAACATTCTGTCATATATTCTTATAAAACTCTTAATTTACTCGGCAGCGATAATAAAAAAAAATTAGGCTGGCAACAAGTATTTTTTCTATATTCTATAGTTATTCTTCCAAATCGGCAATTTTATACTGTTCGGCCAAATACCGAATACTTTAATTATGAAATGAATTGTCAGTCAATGATTATATATTACCTTCTCAGTCCTCTCACAATAATTTAAGTAATCGACGATTACTTTACCTTCACTTTACATTTTACAGTAAGTGTACAATTTTAATATGTGTACTGAATTTTGGTTTCTTTTATAACCATTGAATTATACTTTTGTACATAAAACGGGTATATAATTACATATATCGTTTATGCGAGAAAAGCGATCTGAATAAACACTACTTTTGGCCAGCACGAAAATTTCGTAGAACGAGAAGGTGGCTACAAAGCGGTTGATTGAGAATTTTAAACAATCACCCCAGTTAAAATGTGACCGTACAGTTTTGCTAAATCAGTCAGGCTAATAGGCTAGGGGGTTTGCCGATTATTCGGTATACAGCTGAATATAGTGTTGTTGCAAGCCCAAAAAAAATTGTTTCTCTTATGTAATAATAGTTGTGCTCATAAGCTGTAATACCTTATTTAAAATAATGCCACATTTCAATGAATTCTTAAATGATTTAAGGACACATTGGTTCAAAGAAAAGAGCTTTCATAAGCACTGAGATATTCAACAACGTCGTGTAATAGCACCGACGACGTCAGGGTAATACAAAAGATGGCTAAGCTATATAATCTTAGCATAACATAGACATCGATACAAAACTATATCTGATTATATATATATATATGAGAGAGAGAGAGGGCACTTACAGCATTCCAGGCCGATCGGATTCGTTGTTTCCAGATTTTTCGAAGAACATGAAATCCTGTAAAGTCAATGTGGTGTGTCAAATTCGTTAATTCGCTGAATAGTTATGATGAGGACAGTGCAGGGTTGGAGTACTTACAATCAAGAAGCACGCTCCCAATAAAACAGCTTTTATCCTGACATCTAAATCCATGGGGAAACTGATACCAAAATAATCAGAGTCCGTAAACGCTTCTCGGGCCAAACCTGACCATTGTTTGGTAATTTTGCCCACCTTAGTGTCACCATCTTTTGAGTAAACCTGGAAATAATATCAACTCTATTACTTCGAGCCTCGAGGACGACTATTTTATAACTCTTGAAACAAGAAGTCATGACTTATTGCTCGGTTTTTCCCATTTATACAAAAACCACAAACGTTATAATGAATGTAATGTACTAAAATGCAAAATAATTCAGATTAAACAATGGGTAAATAATGATTGCATCAGAAATGTAGGTAATGCAAGAGACAAACTGCATTATTAAGTAAACAAATTACTTGATAATGCAGTTCAATGTTCGTCTAAGAACTCTTCAATACAAAATAGTATTACATATGTACTTTAGTAGGTATATATGTCTTCTTTGATAAGCGTTTATTACTGATGGAAAATCCTATGCATAAGAAACCAATTCCTTAATATAAAAAACTACTTACGTGAAATTCTACGTCACCGCAAATGGAAAATGTGCAAACTGGGCCTTTGATTCTTAACACAACATCTCCTGTTGCGTTCTTGATGACATAGCACGGTTTGAAGATTGACCATTCCTGCTCAATGGACCCGATGACCGTTCCCGGTGGAGATGACACTTCCATGCTTTGTAGCCAACACGGGCACCAACATGAATCACATGCTAGTGGACGGTTGAGATGTATAACCTGAAACATGGTATGAACAAGTTTTATAATGATTGTTGGAGATCCAAAGAATACCTTCATCACTTACAGTACAGTACAGTAGCTACACTACTACTTTTTAAATACTTCACTTACAATGGTTATTTCTTATAATGGTCATATAATTGGATTTGGTTGTTCAAACTGGATAATTAAAAAAGTTATGGAACTGTATTTAAAAACTTTAATATTTTTCACATGATTTTTGCCGATGATGGTTGATATCGTGTCAACGCTCAATTGGTTAGACCGGCGGCATGGAACGATGTGGAAGCCGGTTCAAAACCTGCCCGTGTCGTCAAATTTTGCAATTCATATAGATTTTTAATCTATACTAACATAAAAAGCTGAAGAGTTTGTTTGTTGTTCGCTTTCTATTGGTGAAAGATTTGTTTAAATCGGTACAATCGTTTTTGAGTTTATTCACTAAAAACAAAAATAAAAATCTTTCCCTTTTATAATATTAGTGTCGATGTAGATGTAAACTAGATACAGTACAGAGCAAGTCAAACGTTATTATTGCAATTACGCATCTGTTTACATAAAATATGAGGTAAATGGTTATTTACCTCATTTTGAAAGTTATCCATTATCTTCATGTCGAATGGCCTCATTGGCCCACAGCAGTTCCTTGTGCAACAGTCATTATCTTCAACGGCATAATAGACTTTTTGTCCAACTGCATTTTTTATTGTATACTTATTATTAGTTTCAAATCCAACAAATGCTTCGAGGAGTTCGACTTTTTGGTGTATGAGTAGTTGATCAATCATAGAAAGGTATTCCAATCCTCGTGGACAGTTGCTTGGCCCTTGAGGAATAGTCATCCAGCCACCTGGGAAATGTTTTCATACTGTTTGTGTACAAACTCTTAATTTTTTTATATAGTTCTAAAATAGAAGGTACTGTCAACAACCATTAAAATATACATACACATAAAAATAACCACAAATATATGATTATAAACCCTCCACCACATCTTTATTGTCTACCAACTTATATAAGAACCTTATCTCATCATCACTCATAAACTTTTCATATCTCATGCTATGAGAATGAAATAGTTTTCCATAAAAACAATGTAGTTTTCTCTTCAAATGACGAACACTAAATGTTTCCAAAAGCACATATTTCTCCTTCAAATTTAATATCTTCTTGTTGTTTAAAGTAAATAATTTTGATATTTTGAAGTGCACTGAATGGTCTGTGTCAATTCTGGTAGCGGAATCTTCACATAAAATATCAAAAGAGATTCCAGTACTACTCATTGCTTATAACAGAAATATTCTTATTAATCACTGCAAATAAGAAAGAGCAGTACCGCTGCCTTCACCTCAATGGACTAAAATGCTGATAAAACTTATCAACTTTTACAGTTTACTCAAAGTTAATATGCTTATCTTAAAGAGTTATTAACTAATAACATTGAATGTAGCTATTAATACTAAATGCACACAGATACAACTTAAGAAATTTTAAATATTTAATACTTAAAACTAACCTGGACCCTGCGCAGGACCTGGCTGTTGTACTATTGGTGCTGGTGGATAGCCAGGTTGGGGATATCCTGATTGAGGCTGTGGATATCCAGGTTGAGGTTGTGGATATCCAGGTTGAGGTTGTGGATATCCAGGTTGCGGCTGAGAAAACCCAGGCTGATAACCTGGTGCAAAACCTGGTTGAAAACCAGGCTGAAACCCATGCTGCATACCAGGTAGTGGCTGAGCCCCAGGTGGCAGGGATGGGGGTGGCCCTGGGTAACCAACTTGAGAATTCATGGGATAGCTTTCACTCGGTTTTCCACTTTCTGCAGGCGAAGCATATCCTTGACTGGGTGGAAAGTTGGGGCTATATGGAATCGGTTTGTGAGACATGATTTAGACTAAAAAAAACATACAGGTTAATAGTATATCGTTACACCAATATCTATAGAATAACGATCATTTATAAAACTTTATTGAAACAATATTTAAAAAAATCTTTACCAGTTACACTGGACAGAGAGCGGCACTGATTATACGGGGTTTTAACACTGGGGTTGTTTTCTTAATTAAGATCCTAATATTTCACAACCATTTAACCATACAGGCAAATAAGTGGTAGGCATATATAAAATCAACAGATTGACCGATTTACAAGCCGCATCTTTTAGAACCAGCCATTATTGAATTTATTTTTAGAACAGAAGTAGCCCCTTCATTATTTATAGAAATATATTATTTGATATTTTCTATTTGGTACAAATCTAATACTATATATAATCTATACATTTGAGAGTTCACAAATCTAACCACAGATTACAATTTACAAATGTGAAAATTGTATAAAAATGACTAAAGCCAACTGGATTAAAGTCTGTGGAAATAAGGCTTACGATTTAAGCTGTGATTTGAGCCATAGACTGCTCACGTTGTTGTGAGATTAACAATTTTAATTATCATCTGGAGCAGACAATACTATTAATTAAAAATTAATAACATTAAGTGTGAAGTATAAAATAAACATTAGTTAATTTACAATTCCATTTTCAGAAAATATTTTGAATGCTTTAAAGAAACTGTTATTATACAAATCTGTGAAAAGTATGTCCTAAATTTATGATCGTTTCCAATGTTGACAACGTATGTGAGAAAAACTTTCATGTTGCCATTTTAAAATATAAGATTCTTTGTGTTGAAAATAATTTCGATGTAAATATATTATAAGGCCTGCTTTTCATGAGCATCTGAATACGAGTTGCTTGTCAATTTTAATACAAAAAAATAAACTAACTTAAACGTTGTGATTTTCTCGTTCTACTTTTGTTTAACACATAGCAACACCCGTTTCATTAGTGATGCAGTTGTACCAACATTTACTCACCAATCAAACCATTGCAAAGTGCATTGACCAACCTGCTGCTGCTGCCAATTCCAGCACTTTGCAAGTCAGTTGAATAGATGTTGCTTCCGCGTTTGTAGCTTCGTGTGTAATGTGAATAACAATAAATCAAGGATAATAATGCAAACACAATTGTTTTGCTACTCATCAAACTAAAATGGCGTCGCATTTCATAATATAGTTATCATTCCCTACGTGAACGTTCCTCAGTGATCACATCCGAGTGAGTCATAAAATAGCAATGAAATTTTTATAGCACACAGTGGAAATACGTTTTCAAACGTTTCTGAAGACTAGAGTGTAAATTTGTATCACAATTATGCGCGAATTCAAAGTAGTCGTGTTGGGTTCGGGTGGGGTCGGAAAGAGTGCTTTAACAGTCCAATTTGTGTCCGGATGTTTCATGGAAAAGTATGACCCCACCATAGAAGATTTTTATAGGAAAGAAATTGAAGTCGACAATTCTCCGTGTGTTCTCGAAATATTGGATACCGCCGGCACAGAGCAATTCGCATCTATGCGGGATTTGTATATAAAGAATGGCCAAGGATTTGTTGTTGTTTATTCGTTAACGAACCATCAAACGTTTCAAGATATAAAACCAATGAAGGAATTGATAACGCGCGTCAAGGGCTCAGAACGCGTTCCCATATTGTTAGTCGGCAACAAGGCGGATTTGGAACACCAACGCGAAGTGTCACAGGCGGAGGGCTCCGCTCTCGCGCAGATGTGGGGCTGTCCCTTCGTCGAGGCCTCCGCCAAAAGCCGCACAAATGTCAACGAGATGTTCGCGGAAATCGTGCGCGAAATGAACGTTAGTCCTGAAAAGGAAAAGAAACCCTATTGTTGTTGTACAGTGCTTTAATACGTAGAGTGTAATGTGGCATTTATTTCTCGTAAGACTGCAAGGGCGAGGTGAGGGCACGTCCCCCTCTGCCGACGGCCGGGTCGCCTCCAGGGCGAGCTGGACGTGAGCGATAGCGACGCGCGTCATATCAAGTTGTTAATATCTTTGATACATACCATTGTCCAATCGAGGTGCTTTATCTTATATTTTCATACTTTAGTACTGGTAGATTCTCCCGCAATATCCGGTTTCATAATATGGAGGCAAAAGTACATCAAAGAGGGATTTTTTACATGTATTATTAAAAGCCCCAGAGTCAAATGACTTTATTTTCTTTTCATGTAAATCAGACACAAAATGATGTCATTTTTAGCGACAGTAATGTATTGTATAATAATGTTAGTCAACTTTGTACATAATTTATAATTTCATGAGATTAAAACGTGGAAGGACTGGGACGGTTTTAGGGAATAAAAAGCCATCCAAATATGCAATAATCTTATATGATTGTGTAGAGTGAAGTGCGATGAGTAAGCGTTTACACCTAAGTCATATTGAAAATTGTGTTTTACTGTGTAAATTATGTTTAAATATGAGAAATCAATAATCATGAGACTACAGACTTAAGATTTGTCAGATGTGTGATTGTGTTTTAAAAGTCTACCAGGATTTGTGATAATACATATAACAAAATATCTATAATAAAAGTTTTAAGTGGGAGATTAATATGTGAAGTTTTATTCATGGACCGCAGGTAACCTTTTTGATTCTTTACTTAGAGAGCTTGTTTTCAAAGTAGTCACACATCGTGAAGTATTCCATCGACCAATTGGTGGTGCATAAACATTTTGTCTTTAAAGAAAGTTAGTGTTTCTATTCCGTTTTTGTGAACGCTCTACTCTTATCACCATCACTTATGTAATTATAAAGCAATCTTTGTCTTATTACTTATAAAAGTAACAGTATTACCTTGCAAAGGTCTCGTCGCTCGTACGAGTATGGACGGGTGTTAGTAAACGGTGGCGGCTGGTGGACCGTGACCATATTGCGCGCAACCATCTTCATTAATTCATCAACGCGATTCCACTTCGTTGCGATAAATTTCTCGATCAATATACAGTTTCGATTTTCCCTTCTATAAATGGCAAACACGTTGCAGCTTGAGAGTTTTTTAATGTGTTATAATAAATAGGTGTAGATGTTCGCTTTTTTGGTTCTTTATTTTGTACACAAAGACCAATATATATAATTTAAAAAACATATCATTAAAACGTTATGACGGTTTTTTCATCCGTTACTCGAGACACATAGACACCAATTTGAACTTAAAAATTAACAATATAAAAAACGTAAACAATCTTAAAGTATTAACCACTTGAAGTTCCTGAATTATTCAAAGCGGTGGTGATCACCCATCATTAGTTGATGCAAATTTTTGCAGTTTACTTACGCATACTTTTATAATAGTTGTCTTAGATAATTATTACCAAAAGCGTCCAATATCTGTCGTCGAAGTTCGTTGAAGTGGGCCACGTCGCGTTTAGGGTCACGTTTGGTTGTGCAGCCGGCCCGAGCGCCAGTAGGTGCCGTTACCGGCCCAGATTGCGGCAAATTACCCGGCGCTGATGGAATTAGGATTTTTGAACCCTTTCCATGCAAACGATCTATTGGAAAAAATACACCGCTTCTTTGTTGACATTTCTCACAAATTGTAAGCGTTTCTTGTTTGCAAGCTGAATAACGATTTGTCATATTCAAATTACTGAAATAATGTCGTCCTTCATATTTTCGCAACTCGGTCCAGGAAAGTTGCGTTAAATTGCCATCATAATATATTTGTGCTGACTTGGTTTACTTATAGTTCAACGTTACTTTGGAGTAACGTAAAAACCGGAACAGTGCAAGGTATTTACTAAAGAACTGGTTACAATAGGATTACCTTGTAGGAAACTATCAGTCATTTACTCCGTCTTGAGCAATGAATGCAGTGGTATGTTTTTTAAAGGCACCTTCCTTCAATGCAGCTGAACATACTTAGCCTTTTAGTCCTAGGCCACTTTAGTCTTTTATTTTTAATACAAGAATTTAACGAGTTTATTGCATATTTTTTGTGCACAGTGACCCTAACTAAATATAACCATAATGTTTAATAAATAGAACTAAAACTTAAAAAAATAAAACCTGTAAAATATATAGTGCAATAATATAAGAAGTCTTCTGGTATGGGTTTGTTTATTTTTTAAATCTTCACTCACCGTACTTTAGAGTCACAAATATGACATACAAACAATACAAATGAATTTAAAAATGTTCCAGGTCGTTCTTTTCACAGAAACCAAGTTACGTCTTAGATATATAATATTATCAACTTATCGGCGCTGAGATTGTGAGTTTATCTTATGCAGATATCATAGATAAGCAATTCATATTTATTATTCTTATTTCTTAGAAATGGTGCGCTTTGTCCATACTTAAAGATCGGTTCTACCATGTATTCAGATTTTGTTTACTCGAACCACCAAATTGCTTAAATATGCAGCGCCCTTGTGCAGCTATCTCGATGGTATTCATGGCTACTTATATGAAACAAGGTCTCGCCTGGAATAGAAGCCGGGATGGGCGTCTCCCGCGCACCTCGTGCGCGTCGCTGCCGCGCGTGGGGCGGGTGGCTATAAATAGTTGGTATTCCTTAATGCTCTATTGGGGTCGTTCTTCTCTGATCGCAATAGTAGTATAGTTGAGCATAAAGTGTAACGCTTTTAATCTACAAAATATTTCAGTAGGTACCCGCGCATACATTATGCAAAAATAAGCTCTAGGTAATAATGTAAGTAATTTATTGTAAAGCCATGTCCACAAGCAATGGAGTGCCCTTTACCGGCCCTCGTAAGAAAATAAATCGAATGTTCTCGTCCATTTACAATGACGCGGGTACAGTAGCCTCGGTTCTGTTGATCGCATGAATAACTCTACTTAAAACTATCATTGATTACGATTGCCTTTGTGCTTGGACTACAATAACGTTCCCTTCGTAATACATGTTTAATTTCATTTAGTGTACACACTCATAACCATAAGTGCACGTTTTGTGTGTGCAGAAAATAACGTTGAACTTGTTGACTCTAAATAATGCTTGCTAGGAGGCATAGTGGTGGTCGCTACATTTGAAATCGGTGTCGGCGTATCGGGTCCGGTCGGCTCGTGGGCTGTCCCCGGTTGCATTGCAGGTCAGCAAGTCGGCAGCAGCCCTTGGCGCGTTGCGTAAACGCCCACCTTGACTTGCATTACGTGCACCCGACATGGTGAGTTCGTTTAAATCGACGTGTCATGATTTAGCCGTGTCGATCAAAAGACACGTTTTGCTTATTAGTGAAAAACATATTTGTCGAGTTAGTCTGTTCCCTCTGTAAGTTCGAATACGTGTTCTCTAAATTATGGTATTACTACGACGTCTAATCGATCAGGGTATAAGGGTGGGATTCGTATGAAGAAGTTTGTATTAGCGGGTGGGATGAACAAGTGAACACGTGCTTCGCGTCCGTCCGTTGACAATAGGAGACGGGTTGCATTGTTTTCCTCGGGATGGCTACAAACGTCTTTTGTAGTTTGGGCCACGTGTTACAATGTGCACATGGATGCAACACATTTCATTTTCGACACTTCCGTCTCTCAAATTCTTACCTATTTTTATTACATTCTCCGCCTCCGTAGAAAGAGAGTCATGGATGAGGCTGTTGACGCGGAGCAGTGTGCTCGGTGCAGTCCTAACTTCGAATTCCACAAAGACTCGTTTCGGTCGATAGACCACAAACGTCGAATCAATTCAAGATGTAATAGAAACTTTATACATAAACAATAATCATTAATTCTCTTGCAAAAATGAACCTAAATAAACTCATGCATAGTTTAAACCTTTTTATAGTAAAAGACGCATTAGAATTCAATTGAATCCGAAACAGGATTCGTACGCGGTCAAAGATCACAACTACCTGCTTACCAAAACGGAACACCTTTCGTATATGTAATTACTGTTTACTTTCGTGTCGTGTTCAGCCATGGGGGCTGGCCCTTTTTTATATAAATCTATCGATTCTTGTTGTTAAAGAGGTTTTATATAGTAATTTCATATATAAGACAATATCTTATTTTAAATATACGGGTTATGTCACTTGATATAAACAATTGGTTTTATTTAAATGTGTACTACTCGCGTAAACTATAGACAGTATTTAATTGGTTTTGTTATAAATAAAACTTTGCCCATCACTTGTAGCTTCTTGTAGGTGAAGGTTGTTTTAAGCAACCTTTTCTAAATTTTAATTAACTGTAAAAATTACAACAGTTTAACAGATTTAAAAGGAATTTGGTGGAAATTAAAAATTCCAAGGGCAACTTTTCTATTCGTTATAGATAAAATTTACATATACACAGCTTGTTCTTAATAAGGCGGTAGGTGCTTGCAAAGGTTCTTATTTCCACAAGTGAAACTGTGTCGAATAGTCTTTCAGATCGAAACAGTGCTAGCAGATGCCTCTCGTGCGTGTCTTATTATGCTTAGAATAGGCGACATGCGATCGCATCGTCGATACTCTATCGATGATCGGTAGCTAGAAGAAAGTGAAATTATATAGGTGTCACATATCTTTCCAAAACTCAGATTACTCGATATGAATGACAACATTAACGTATATTTTGTTTAGAATAATACCTATTGAGATACAAGTTCTTTAAAAAAAAACACTTTAACGGTTTAAAACGCGATATATATTAGTTAAATAATTTTCAAATAAGTTTAACTAATATATATCTCTTTTTAAACCGTTAAAGTGTTTTATTGAAATGTGTACCACTCGTGTAAACTATAGACAGATCAGTTGTTATAATTTGTCGGTTTATCGACAACGACTTCTCGTTTGAAGAGTCACGCTGATATCTTGGCCTCGCCTCGATAGTCGACGACAGAATTATTTAACGAGATGAGGTAGAGACAAAAACAATAGTTAAATATGATTGGGCCTATTTAATTATGCCTCTGTTCTCACCGAGCACTTAAGCTCGAGCGAAACGTATCAATTCATCACTCCGCCGTTTGCCGGAGAAATCGGCCGATCGCACGCGACGATTGAAAAGCCGTCGATATGGTTCCACACTAGTCACTAATTGTATCGAAGTATGAGTACGCTGTAGTAATAATTGTGTACACTAGCTCGAGTCACGGGCGGCGGCCGGTGCGGTGGCACCGCGCCAAAATAACATTTATAAATGACTGAATAATCGCTGAATGGAATACATACTGCCACACAATGGCGGCTGCCAGCGGCCAACTCATTATTCGGCGATGCTTTTGAAGAGTCGAGTCACTTTTGCTTTAAACGTTTCTATTCGAAATAACTGCAGAAACAATGTTTTAGCGGAATATACACGTGTACGATGTGTAGCACCTGGTACCTACAATACGGTACGCTTGGCAATTTAATATTATACACACACAGAACACATTAAAACATCATTGTTTCTACGGCGTCGTTCATTGGGCAATATAAGTAGACGTAACAGAAACTGGTCGGAAGCTAAGATTAAATTGGGGATAAGGCTTTTTACGTATTGGCAGATCGCTTTATAGAAAGTGAACGTAGGCGCAGTTAGTGCAGTTCGCAAATGACGTCAGAACGACCCATAAAATAAAGGGGTAACCATATAAATCTTTTCCTTCTTTACCCCACAATGTCGCCAGTCCAGAAGTGGCAATCGCACGAGCGGATGCCTAGGTTAGCCATTTTCATTACAGAAATTTGTGACACTATTTCCCTCGTGTAGTGTTCAAACAGTTATTTCTCTAACCAGAATATATTTCGTACTTACGGCAACTGTTCTAAATTTTTTTTTGATAACAAATATATGATAACTTCAGTACTAGATACCTATAAAGATAATTTGCCGAAAGAAGGTCACAGCTCACACGGAGCGCAAAAACATGAAGCGGAATACGTCCAAATTATAACCGTCACACTTTAACGGCTTCCTGATGAGTAACTTGTGAAGTAGCGTATTAAGTTCCCGGAATGGCAAATTACAATTTGCGACTTATACATTTTCTCTAAATTATTAATATTGTGGCGGTCATAGGACTTATAGGCGATGCAGAGCCGATTCGCGATTTACGTAAGATAAGTTCGCTTATCAAGGCGGGGACGTGACGCGACGTAGAAAGCGATTTCAAGAACGATTTGCGCAACGCCTCTCCGAATTAAGTTCGTTTCGAGAGATAGACTATGTTTATTAACCGATAGCAATTAACGAGATTTCCGGCCACTCGACATTTTCACGTTTTACTCCTAGTGAGGCGCCAATAAACGATTCCTAATATACACGGAATCGAGGTGACCGATGTAGGTATATTTAGTGCTTCTGTTGGGTGTATGGTGTTTGTACTAAGTAAGTGCTAGCTGTGCCAGCGACTTCGTCCGCTAAGAATTTTTAATTCGGGCATCCAAATTCTTTTTTGCAAAGTCCTTCTTTATAAACTTAAGCGTCCCGTCCTTCATGCAAGTTAATCTTAAAAGATAGACTTTTTAGATCATTTAAAGAGAAATCATTCTTTTGAATAAAACACTTTAACGGCTTAAAATGCGATATATTAGTGAACTTATTTGAAAATAATTTTTATCTTCGGCCCGACGTTTTTAAACCGTTAAAGTGTTTTATTTAAATGTGTACTACTCGCGTAAACTATAATTAGAATCATTCTTTCATACATTTTTTTTGGTATCTTGAACCGTTTTTGCAGCGTACGCCTCGGAAACTTATAAAAATAATCATGAATAATTCCCAAAATTTTCACATTTCTTGTATAACGGCGATGTTATAGCCTTCCTCGATAAATGCTCTAACCAACACAAAAATATTTTTTCAATTTAACCCGTAGTTCCTGAGATTAGCGCGTTCAAACAAACAAAAAAATCTCTTCAGCTTTATATATTAGTATAGATATAGATTAGTCCTTCTGATACATTACTTTTTATGTCCTCTGAAAAATTTAATGAAGGCCTATACGAGTGCCAGTTTTGTTAGTTGCGTGTATAGCAGCTACATCCTCGCCGCACCAGAATAGGGGTTCAATTAGACGGAGGCTGAGCGCGTGCGTGCATCTCGTCGATTGTGACTCGGTGTGTTGATTAGCTCATCCGGCACTCCAGTAGACATCTCATCTTAACTCTTTAACGCGACCTTTTACGATCTTCAGCTTTTAAGTAGCGACTCGTTGCCTAGAGATGTCTATTTCGAATATTAACCACTTAGACTTCGTGTCTACTGTTTCTCCTTTCGTTTACGCTCGTAGCGAAAATGTGTACCGAATTAATCTACGCACATCAACCGTGTGTTCACAGTATGATCAGTGCTACTACCCACTAAATACCTATAGACAATATAGTATATAGGGCATACAATTTCAAATTTGAAGGACAAATAAACAAAAATATATAAAACTATGAGAGGTACTAGCAGGCCGTCTTTGTTTATAAAAATTCTGTCACGCATTCGTAATATTGCAAAACTTCACTGCAGTCATGTTTAAAATGGCACGACGATCTTGGCGATGCCGTGGGCAGCAGTATTGCATGCGACGGGTGGACGCGGTCATAACTTCAACCGTTCATAGTAAGCGTGCGTCGATAACGATCTGGAAGACTTATGGTCTGTGGGAGGCGGATTTTTGCAGATCATCGTTCTCATGTATCGCTCCAACGAGGTGAGTTGCAGCCTGCCGTGAGACCCGTTCCTCTAGAAGCTGAGAGTGCGCCATCAAATAAATACTAGTTTGTTTGTTTGAACGCGCTAAACTCAGGAAGTACTGGTTAGAGTTGATTTTTTTTTTTGTTTAGAGCATATATCGAGAAAGGCTTTAGGCTGTAAAACATCACGCTGCTACCAATAGAAACTAAGAAACAGTGGGAAACGGTTGAAGATACCCAAAAAATATCTGTGAACATTAAGCCATTTAAAATAATTCCCACGACAGTATATGTCTATCTTTTAAGATTAACTTGCAAGAGCAACGGGATTCGGAAGGCATCGTGGGTAGTAGCGTATATTTATGAACTATTTTTCGCGGACGAAGTTGCGCCAACACAGCTATGCAATTTCAATTTTTTAATAATGTTTAATTAACGTTCATCACTACTGCGATGAAATAATCTCCAACCTTTTATATTTTGGTGTTTAATGAATGCATATCGTATAGAAATATTACGAATACATTTAAAATATCAACCGCTATAATCGAGTTTCGTCTGTAGAGACCCTTCTGTGAACTGTTAAGTACTTAGTTTAATTACAGTTGATATAATCGTTTTCCCGTTAACTCGTATCTGGACTTAGAATTCTCCGCGAGGAGCGAGGACGGACGCCTGACGAGCTGCGCCCGCGCACGCAGCCGCATGATGCACGACACGAATAATAAACCGAGCCACTTCCTGTCGAACGATAAGCTTCACACAAATCATGTACATATTACTCACACATACACGCTTAGACGCTGACAATATTATACAAACCGAACATGATGTGAACTTTGGCGTCCACAGAACTGAGTTTCAGTCCTAATGCACGACATTTATTGTTTCTGGTGGGTCGAATCACGTGTCCGACGCGAATAACACACATTTCAAATTACAGGATACATTATTTCGGTTTTGCCAATTCATGAAATCGTGATAAGCTAATGAGCGCAAATACGTAATAGATCGAACAGAAGCCGACTGGAATGCGTTAAGTGGCGGAAAGGTTACAAAATACCTCGAGAGCGATAAATTAATTCTGGTTAGTAAAAGTAAGTTAGCTTCCAATGAAATAAGTAAACGCGAACGAGGAAAAGGCGTGTCGTAATCGTAGGTAATATATTTATTAACGACTCGACGGATGACCGTTTGTTTGCCCCGAACTTGGAAGCCATTAGCCGTCATTATCGTTGAATCACCATCGGGCCCGAGTGATGCACGACCCAGTAGATAGCGGGCGATTCATAAAAGTGTGAGTGAATCAATTGTTCGGAATCTACTGCACTGCTGCCGGACGCGACGTGTTCCACGAATGAGATTCGACTCGGCCTTTCTGACCTCGAGCCTGCTTCGTAGATGCATAAAACTAATCATCAACGTTGTGACGTCATAGTCATGTAATTTACACGAGTGTATCCATTAACGAAAGAACGCGTGCTCCACGCCGTTACTGAAATCTTGAAACTTGGGAACCGTGGAATACAATTCAAAATGAAATACCTTAAATGTACAAGAATCTACGTCCCTACTCTTATATACTTAGTTCTCTAAGCGACCGCGACGGATCGTCTTATCTCAGTGATAACAATATAGATATTGAGCGATAGTAGCAAGAGGATGTTGATATAAGGAAATAGGCACGTTACTTAATTTTCTCAAAATCCTTTGGTATCACAAGTTACACGGTAGCTGAATTAAATAGAGCGTGCCGGTTCAAGTCTCGCCCATGTCATTAATTATTTCAATCTAAATAGATTTTAAATTTAGTTATTACATGAAAAATGAGATAAGCATCGAATATGCGACCATTGTTTAAAGAAGGTTCCCATCAAAATTGACGTTCCTTTTTGCTACGCGAGGTAATTGCGACATATTTGGCTAACCATGGATTAACAAATTCACACACCTCACTTTGGACGCCACTAAAAGATAATAATGAAATTGAAGTAATACAATAACAAACATATAACATATAGTTATACTTCAGATCGCTTTCGTCGCTCCGTAGTTCGTTTGTATGTCTAGCTAAATAGAGAGTATGCAACTGAGGTTTTGCCTTCGAACCTCTTCATCCAAGAATCCTTAAGTTGCACGACCGAGAAACTAAACAGTGGGATCTTAAAAGATTTAAGATCTTATGCAGCGTAAAAACGAGTAGAGGTAAAAAGTGAATGGGAGCTTGTTTCGGCGCTAGCTGCTTCCCGCAGCAGCGCCGGTCTTCGGTCGGAACGAGGACACGATGACACACGTCTAACGGTTTCATTTCTACACTGCTTGTTCTACAGATCCAAAAGGAAAACCTAAAGCGTGTTACAGGGCTTTGTGTATTTATTTTCGCCGCTTTCTAAAGGACTATCAAAAGCGAAGCTATTATTTGCAATTATATCGTAGAGTGAAATGAACATGTTTGAAAACGTTGATCAGTTATCTCCGTGAGAGATTTACAACAATTTAATCTTTGCTAGATAAGCAGCTTTGCGAGGGAGGGCACGGATGCCTAATCTGTTATGCAAGTGGGTCAATTTCAAACAGCGCTCCTCAAATATCAGTAAATCTCCGTTTTCTCGTCTCCGCGTACTCTCGAATCACCTGCGGACTAGACAGATAATTCGTCATGTGAGTTGTAACATGCTCGTTTGTGATGCAAGTGAGCCTTTAGCGATACAATAACATTAAACACGATCTCAGTTAGTGCTGTCGCGCGGTTCATTTTTAAACCGGTTCAGTTTTCATAACGAGCTTAAGCGACCGCAGGATTAATTAAGCATCGAAAGTGAATACGAGATGAAAAAAGATAAGTAAAATTTTCTATTTACGAGAAAAGCGTTCGGTCGCTCCGGCGCCACCAATTAGCATCGCCATCGTAACTACCATTCCGACGATAGCGCTAACACGATTGTTGCCAAAATTTTCCGTCGTCACGTGTTCCTTCGTTAAATTGCAACGATGAATGAAATATGAATCGTTTTAGATAATATTGCATTACAAAATCGAAAGTACGACACGTATTAAGTGATACCTATGTAGGTATTTATAAAACCACTCCGTTGTCCCACTTGCGACGAACAAAGGCCACAAGTCAATTCGAGAGCCGAAGTGAGCCTGCGCGCGATTCGTTTTCCGACTGAAATGTCACGTGCCGCGAGTGACGACACGTTATTGGCTAATACTGATGTCATAACGAGCAAAGTATGAAAATTCGTTTCAATATAGTTTCTAAAATAAATCAATTCATTTATGAGAAACTAGAAAACATTTCATGCGGCAAAAAGTTTGCGTGTACGCTCTAGTTTCGGCCTATTTCAGCTTCATTGACGCAAACACTGCGTTAACCGATGTACAAAGCGAATCCTAGTGGTTGCTCGTTCTCTTTGGCGTTTTTATGCTTTTCACGGAAATACGTAAAATCAATTAATCTGGTTAATGCTGCAGTTCGTTATGATCATCGTCATCGTGATAGGCCCTCGACACATGAGAGACATACGTCATTGTGAATCAGTAAAGAAGCAAAATAAAGATATCGTACTTAATGTATTCCTTGTGTGCATTGTACTGTGGTTTAGTCATAAATTTTAAAATAAACAAAAAGGTATTCTTGGTTTTCTACACTTTTAAAGTAATTCAATTGGGACTAGCTTATCTCGCTAATTTCGCATTTCGCATTTGCAATGCAAAGTCGCCGAAGGGTAGTTGCAAAATAAATGTAATAAAAATCTCACACTATGTGATTTCTTTCATTAAAGTCGCGATATTGTTTATTATCAACAAAGGTCGTCTGAATGAAAACAAAAAGAACGTAGAGAGTCATTGTATGCGAACAAAGCGTGTGAACCCTAACTTGAAAGTGTGCGTCTGACGACAGGACAGAACGAGCTCCGCACCTGATTACAGCGGCGCTGCCTCGCTTCTTAGAATAATTATAAGAAATAGGAACTAGAGGCTCTTACGCGAAAGCGCAGAGGAAATAATGTGAGGGCGCAAAAACGTACTATCGTGAGCGATAGCCTTGGATTCGCTTAATTATTTCCTATACTGTGTTTATTAGCTTCAATACAGTTAAGCGGCCGCGCGCATACTACTGACTGCTCGATGTCGCTGGAAATATGGCAAATATGCAATAGTATCGTCTATCGCCCATTGTCTGCTCGTCGCTGTTTGTCTCCAGTGGGCCCTAGGCAGTTCTATTGTATCTCCATTGACGTATCCGCTGTGCTGGCTAATTCCGCGAGGCCATCGCGCCGTCTATTGTACGACGTACTTATCGTATCTAGTAATTGAATATGTTAAAACAAGCGTTCACACGCTTTTAGTTTGCACTAGCACATCGGGCTGTCGATGCGGTTTGGCAGCGTAAATACGTAATTGAAATGAACTGTAACTAAAAACGTTCACCATACATTACTCGTAATAAATTATGACTACGAACTACTCGAAGTACATTAGGCCAGAGAGAATCAATAGCGTTCGCATTAGGGGCACAGCTGCTAAATATAAAAGTAGGTTAAAAGTATGTTTGCCTAGACCATGACAAGATATTTATTTTGATTCGGGCGCAGCCGCGGGGGGCACGTTTTCACATCTGTTACTGGCTGCGGGAAATGTTCCATCTCACATTATGTTTCATTTTAATTTCGTACATTTTGATCGTCTCCGTTTTTCAATAGCACCTTGAAGATAGTATTTCAGCCGTACTCCGGGTGTCCGAATGGTGACGACAAAGAAAGCGTTAAACGTAGTGGGTTCCAATTTTGAGAAAATATTAACCATCGTATATCTTAAATTGGCCCCATGGCCCGTGGTTAAAATCTCGAATAACAATTGTTTATAGTCAAAAGTACGCGTTCGTCCCACTATATCAACGTTACCAATTTCCATTAGCTCAAATTATTTATGGATATATAAGATGCTAAATCAATTCGGGGGAAATTGAATTTACGAGGTCACGGAGCAGTCGAATTATCGCATCACTCGGCAATAACAAAGCTAGCCGGAAGGATCATCGGTCCGAGATCACGTCCCGAGGACTGAAATCGAAGTGGAGTAGTGGAACGGATTAGGACAAAGCGAGTCAACGGCCGGGTCACAGCGCTATTTGCGTTCAGCTCGACACTCCTCGCCCCTTCCCGCCCTCGAAGCCGTGGCTAACTAATTTTGGCCATATAGAAACAAAACGCACTCGTTTCATATCGCTTTAAGACAAATTGGTGGCAACTCTATTTAGAATTAAACTAACCGTCCCGAATTATCTAAGTGGATCATCACGCTCAATCGTCAGGTCGCCGTCGTCTGCGCCGGAGTATGTGCAACTATGATTAATTATCACATTTATTGACCTTAACTATTCATCGTATCAGCTTGGGTATTATTATCACCAAATGTTTTCGTCTTCACTTAGAGTAATTAAATATCAGAATGAATACCTGTCAATATTGATTAACACGATTACCTAACAGTATAATAAAAATAATTATATTTGAGGGAAACGGGTCTCCAAGGTTTATAATTCAAGTTAAAAGGCGCACGTCATTAATGTAAATCTAAGGACTCAAATAGATATGAAGGTTAGTGACCTTCAAAACAGAGAGCGATTCATGAAATAGCAGGTAGACGAGGGAAGGATTGCTCCGATGGATTTGAATGAAAAAGGAGTGACGTGTCATCGGACGCATTATCTTTACGAACGAGGGACCGCCTTAAAAAAAACTATACGTTTGAAGTAACAACGAAATAAAACGACGCGGTTTGTGTCTGCATTTTGATAACATGAAATTATCGTAGTATGGACCAGTCGATTTCTTATGCGTTCGGTTTTAATTTAATTAAATAATGAAATTCAGTTCCAGGAGCTGCGTCGATATACTTCTCAATAGATGGTAATGAGGAGCATAAGTAGTTAACGTTACATTCTAAATACCTCTCACTGGCTGTGTAATTGCGGTTTTCAAAGTTTGTTTATGGCGCGGGAATTTCCTAGCCTAGGGAAAGCTAATGGTGTATTGTTATGTATACCTAAGCTTTGCTTTGCGTAGAATGGGATCACTTTTAATAACGAAACATGTAATGTTAAACGATTTACTTCTGAAGTTCAGAGAAATAAAACATCTACGATGGTTACGAAGGTGATCAATCGAACGAGCAAGTTTTGTAATATAGTAAGTCCAGAGATTTTAGAGCCCCAGACGCATAGTCTAGACTCCGTAACAACTTTTCATCAACCTGGCACAAAACGTGACAGTGTTGTTGGTATTACAAATGCGGGGAATGTATTCAAACGACCAGTCTTTGGACAGCGATGGTGAATTTTAAAGTGCTTCGTTATGGTGAAATATGTTATGACACAAAGATAATAAATTACACATTTATATATTACTTTTTGGTGTAGCGGGGGATCTAAAAGACCCTATTGTAGCTTGGCGGTAAAACTTCACGCCTCCTTTCTTTGTGATGTGGCTTGAAAATGCCAAAGAAACTTCTCATATGATATTTAAGAATTGAGTAGAGGTAACGACGGTGTAGGAGAATTAATTAATACCTTAGAGAACTTCTAACAGACACTGCAATACATAATTCATCGGCGCATACGGTTTGCGACCGAAGACTGATAATCGCAATATTAGCATAGGCCTTAGAATACAAAGAAGCTCGTGCTGCGCAGTGAAGACGGTTGTGTAATCGAGTACAGGTTGTGTACTCATCAGATTAATTAAATGTGATCAATAAGCCTATCTAGAAACCCGCTATTTCAATGCGTATATTTAAGTTATATTCGAATTATGCATACATAATATGAATTTCACCGTCTGTATGCTGTATAAGGTGTTAAGCAGCGAGTGGGCAGCCGGCGACCGTGAGCCGTCAAGTCGTGAGATTGGCCAGGTTCGCCCTCGTTGCGACACACCCTGAGTCAATCCGAAATATTCAACTCTCGTTCATTAGGGTTCAGTTGTGTTAAGAAGTTAGCTCGATCTCACTAGTTGTACCTCAGTAGTTGAAACTAGGTATCAAACTATCGCGTCGCATAAACGGAGGCCAGATGCTAAAACAAGACCATGTTAGCTTTTGCCCTTTTTAATATTATGTTAACGCGATACTACAACATAGTAATATTAATTAATTCTAAGGAGACGGAAAACGTACAAGGAAAAATACCCGTTGCACTATTTATCTACTCATTCCCATATTACGCATTGCATTATATCCATAAGCGACGTTTATTTATTTACTGCACTGATACAATATTTTGCAAGCGCTGCCAGAAAATATACCAACAGATTTACATAAAGGGCGTAACATGAAAATGCGAGCGGTTTCACTTCTCCTTGCATATTAAAACGGCGGAGAAAGAATATATTGTGCGATAGCTTAGTGTAGGGTCCGCCAAGATCGCATTGTGCCCTGCGACTGACGTGAACATTGAGGCGGATGAGTTTAGTAGTGATAGGTCGCTCGCAGCCCCGACAGTTGAGTATTGTCAGTGTTGCGCGGCCCTCGGGGTGAACGCTCTCCCGGGAGTCGTCGACACGGGCGATAATTACTGTCGCCGCATCTATGCTCGTCTGCCCGGCCTTCCACCGCCAGCTGGGCCCTTCTAAACGACACGGGAGCCTAAACAAACGTTGGATCCACTTGTAATCATTTAACGTCCAATGGGTCGCGTTAGGTAGATCGTTCATTTTGTCATAGAGATAACCTTTCTGTATGGATACGGATTTGTTTGCAACAGATCGTTTTAGTGTAGTTAGGGAGCCCGTTGTTAACTTAGGTCGGCAACAGTGTCGCAAGTCGACGAAAGCGTCGTGAACACTCAAGCTGTATAAGGAATTTATTATTTCAACTTGAAAATATACATTACGTAATAGAAACATTGTGCAACATTATTCGCAAATTGATGTAGATGATACACTCTTTATATCGAGTAAAGAGTATCGAAAAAGCTATCAATTAAAATAACGGCATATTCGTGTCGCAGATTCAATATTTGGTTTCCAGCGCGCAGTTCTCCGAACTCCAATTTCGTGCACCATCAAAGAGCGATGCAGAAAGTCCCTTTTACTCCAGATGGGAAGCTGTAAATAAAAGCATTTAACTAGCTCGCTCTGCCGACCGTGAATTGATTAATTACTATTGCTCCATCGAACGAAAACTCCGAGTAAGCGACAAATTGCTCCAAATAGCCGATGCGAACTGACAAAAGGAAATTCAGAGTGACTTTTTCTATCACGCCTAATTAACATATAGTTATCACATTATTTCCCGGATTCGCTAAACGATGTGTAATGTTTTATGTCGCCTCCCATTAACGTACTCATGATAAAGCATAACAGCGCACACAGCATACTATTACTTTCCGCTACCGGGCTTCATCTCGTAGAAGTGCCCGTAGGATAATGGAGTTCTCATCCAACAGGATTTAAATAATGCGTCTCGTCGTCGGTCACACCTGCTAATGAAACGACGAGGATCCGGCTCCGTAATGGAAAATAATAGAATTATTCATCGATGTGTGCGTGCCCCGACACAATTATTGTACTAAAGCTATGTACGTACTCGGGAGAACGTGGCTGGTTCTTGTGGAGTATTTTTAAATTGCAATTGTTAAAGTAATTGCTATGTTCGCAAAGGGCAACCGAGGAATGCCCGTTGCGTATGTGCATTTTGTTTGGATGGATTTCTGGTAATTAATATAAGAATATTCAATATAGATACATACGTGAGGGAAGTTAAATTTCCCGCGAATCCCGCGAATAATCGAAGATTTGACACTACTAAAAAGATGGCGGTTTAACGCGTCAGGCCTAAAATTGTTTGTTAAAAGAATGTTATCAAGTTGATTTAAGATATCAATAATAGTGTAGGAGTTTGCCGAAATAATATTATATGTTGCCTTCAGGTAACAATAATTGGTTTTATTTTTAAAACTTCGACTACGACGGACAAGCACTACAGAGAAGGTAAAATGTCCAGCTCTCTTTTCTAATTTCACAAACTAAAAACGCTGAGAAAATTTTAATACCTTACCAATGGTCTCTGTCTTTCTAATTGTCAATCAACGTGCATGTAAATCACAAAATAACTTGCAAGCATGCTAAAACTAGACTGAATGGAACCCTATGACACATTCATTATGCTAATATTGGATAGAAAGTATGTGATGGTTTCATATACCAATAGATTTCTATATTTTTTTGCTATTAATTTAATTATAACCCTTACATACATAAACAATTATTGACGATCGTATTAACTTAGAAATTCATATTTTTATTTCGCAAAAAATCTCGGATTACCTCCTTACGGAAATACCTAGATGCGTTATTACTGCCTAAGCGAGCCGCTTTAACTGTAATTTTGTGCTCTTACGTCGCATGACCTGGCATTTATACGAGATTTCAATATTTTGAGATAAAAATATCGGAATGTTAACCTACTTTTGGTCCGTTCATGTTTGTGCAAAATAAGTAGTAAGGTTGCGACTGCATTTTCGTTTTCACCCGAGCGTGACTCTCGCTTAGGCGGACGTAGAGCAGTACCCTGACACCTAGCTTTTTGTGGATATACTAATATATGAAGCTGAAGAGTTTGTTTGTTTGTTTTAACGCTCTAATCTCAGGTTCAAATTTAAAAATTCTTTTTTTGAGCATTGATGCTATAGACTCTAAAACATCAAGCTGTGAATAATAGAAGCTAAGATACAGCGAGAAATGTGAACCAAACAGGGCAAATTTTTCATCGCTGTGGGTTTCAGATAATGTTGATTGATTATATATGAAATAATGAACCCTCTTTAAATGATCTATGAAATGGTCGCAGACATAATAGACACTATATGTCTATTTTTTAAGATTAACTTGCAAGAACGACGGGACAAACGATGTCGTGGGCTGCTTAAATATAAGATGTAGAGGTTTGCAAGAACAAATTTAGATGTCCAAAATAACAATTCTACGCGGATGAAGTCGCTGACACTGCTAGTAAAGAATAAATATGGCTGTTAACATTGGAAAGTCGTAAATAAAATTAATGACACGCAATATAGTATAGTTTGTCTTAGGTTACCGCGGTAGTCCCAATAGCGTTATCATACGTTCGGTACATGGCAATTGACCCTAATATCTAATCATGTCAAATTATATCGCTTATCAATACACACAGTACATATTTGCTCGAAATACACAACCCGGTTATCGGGACAGATGTAAGGGTTACTCTAGAGCCGAAATATAATATATAACATGAGGTGAAATGTTCCCTAAGCGACCTGTATGGGTTTATACTGTGGTGAAGTCATCATCATTGGTGAACAATGAAATGCGTGACAATGTACCATTTTTATTAGAAGTTAAGGTTGCCTCTAAATAAATCGCAAGCTTAATTTTTGACGAGTAGCCCTGGCGGAGATTAAGGTAACACGGACGGTTTAGGACGAATGAGGAGAAAGTGAGGAGTGAGGTGGGCTAGGCGACGGAAGTCAGTCGACGCGTTTATCGGCACAGCGGGCGACTCGGGCTGCTGTATCACAGGAAATGGTGGTCGAGCCACTGGCTCGCAGTCCATTATACATATTGACCGAAAGCGTATCGGCCAGATAAGTTTGTTTTGAATACTGTCTATAGTTTACGCGAGTAGTACACATTTAAATAAAACACTTTAACGGTTTAAAACGCGATATATTAGTTAAACTTATTTGAAAATGATTTTTAACTTCGGCCCGGCGCTTTGGGTTGTTTTCCGGCGCCGGGGGGGCGGGGGGGGTGGTCACGGGGGAGACTGTGACCCGTGTGACCGACGTGACCACGGCTGCTGCAAAGCATCCGAAACGTCGGGCCGAAGTTAAAAATCATTTTCAAATAAGTTTAACTAATATATCCCGTTTTAAACCGTTAAAGTGTTTTATTTAAAAGTTTGTTTTGGTTAAAACGCATTCGTCGACGCTACCCAGAATACATTTCGTCCTATTTATTGCGCATAAAAGAATCATTGTTTAGCGGCGATCTAGTGACCTTATTTTAGTCGAGAAACTTGGTCTCACCTGAACGACGCGTTCTATTTTCATTGAGATGAACGTCTGTATCAGAGCGCGACACGACGGCATCCGACTCTAACGAGGGTCAGAGGCTGCAAAGTTTGCGTCTTTGATTTATAATGATTGTCAAGTTAACATGGCAGCTTATCGCTCGACCCGAAGGTTCTTCACCCCACTTGTGTCCTATATTTTGAGCTCTTACATGGCTCAAACAATTTTGGTTTCTGAACAACGGCGTGAAATTTATTCTAAAATAGCCGCAATTAAACGAGCTTACAATGTTTTGTTGCACACACGAGATGACTGTTATTTTTATCGTTTAATGAATAATGTTTAATATTTAGAGAAAAACATACTATTAAAATAATGTAAAGAGATATTACATTTTCCTCCGGATGTTGACGAAATATTGACAAAAGAATGACTTATGACATTAATTTGCGGTTTGAAAGCGATGAATCGCCTATCAGTATTGATTGATGTTTCCACTCCTTTGTACTCTGCACTGATAAGGGGGTATATTGATAAACATGTGCGCATTTGTAATTAGTTATTGCTTATTCAATATTATATCAACGTGCTTATTAAATCGGTACTTATCAGCTTCCTCGCATTATTCGTATATTTGCCATTATTTATTGTAGATATATAAAAGTTGGAGCATTGCGGTCGCGCTCCGACGCCACTGCGCAGACGTGTTTAGGATTATTAATTTGGTTCATAACTTCGTCATTGTTCCTGATGACAACGCGGTTTTAGCATGCGAAATGCCAACCGTGAGCCAATAGACGCAGAACGAATATCGAAACACCCAACGCCATTTTGAATGCCTTTAGGATTACATCTGTCTCTGTTTTTCTTTTTCGATTTCAAGCTTTGTAACTTTATGTTTTCATTTAGTAAAGAGTGACTCGCGTCAAAGGTCAATAAGACATGTGTCGGCTCTGTGAGTTTACGGTTATTGCGTCAGGTAGGATCGCCGCATTATATGCTCGGGCGCATCGGTCTTCCAGAGGACGCAGCCGAATGATTCAACCGAGGTGACGTCATCGAGAAGGCGCGTCGCTCCTTCCATAAAAGAGCACAATAAATAAAACAACAGATATGTTAGTTCTCGTTACTTACATGGACAATAAAATGTTTTAATTTATTATTCCTTACACAAAGAGGTGGTTTGAATGTACCGAAAGCTCACCTCGCTCTGGGAACGCTGGGACTATCGAGCGGGTCATCAGTTCGTTGAGTAATGGGTCTGGAATGTGATTGATATTTTTGGAACTTTGCCTTTGATGTGATCTATATTTGTAGAAATAGAAATAGTAAAACCTGGATAGAGTTTTATACTACATAAATGTTCTTCGTCAGTGAAACTTCTAGTAAAGATCCAATTGTGTCTCGCATTAATGAAAAACGCAAACTCGTCTTATAATCGTTATAACTCCTCTATCCTTGAGTGAGTCGTTCGTCGGACCTGCGAAGTGTTATAATTGAAGAAAATCTAAGCCGTTTTGCAAGTTTCCTAAAGCCTTGACTCGAAATCATAGTTATGATAACACCGTTAATTAATACTGACCTCTGTACATCCGAAGCACATCATAAACCGGTGTTAACCATTGTTTTGTAATAGTTTTAAACATTTCATAATTTTATATTCAGCGATGGAAGCCTCTATGGTTACATTTATTCAAGTGAAGACCGCGTTTTCTCACATTCACTTCATTTTATGGAGGTTAATATAACGATATCATAATCATTATATTTTATAAACTTTAATGAATGGCTACTTAAGTTTAGTATTACCGAGCTCAGTTAAATGTGACAGTTAATTATAAATTAATTTTGCTCAACAAAGACGAATCGGATAGTTGTATGTACTAAGTACCATATGATGTCACAGACTCAAATTGTCTTAATGGTCGTGAAGTGAATGCATGAAGCTTGATTTGACAGTTTCTGTAAGAATTGACCCACCACGTGATTCCCAGTAAGTTAATGTTTAAACTGAAATCAAGAATTAACTTGCTCTGTTGCTCCGTTAATATTTTAATTAACAACAACATAACAATAAATACTGTTTGTAGTTTACGCGAGTATTACATTTAAATAAAACACTTTAACGGTTTAATACGCGATATATATTAGTGAAACTTCATTGTAAATTATTTTAGCTGCGACCACGGTTGCTGCAAAGCATCCGAAACGTCGGGCCGTAGTTAAAATAAGTTTAACTAATATATGTCGCGTTTTAAACCGTTAAAGTGTTTTATTTAAACATAAAAATAGTTTACTTGCTGAGCAATTATGTCTATACTATCTGTTTTTTCGGTTTATTGAATTTTCTTCAACCATTTTAATTAGAGAGTGCCACAAACACAGATTGCATTTACTGAAATTTTCCTACTTGAATATTCAGTTGAAAATCGGTTTCGATTCCAGTCAAATAAATTTATCGAAAGAATTTAATGACTAAAGCAATGTACTACACGCATGATTTTCTTATAATTACCGAGTCTAATGATAGTATAACTATCGCATGTCGTTACCATAACCTGTTGTGAAAGAAAGCTGTAGTGCATTGCAGTGCGAAAACGCTATTGGCTCGGAGTCAATAAATTCTACACACTGTAGAAGTCGACGAATAATCCTCTATTTACCTGGTTTTGCGTGTCACCCTTTCTAGAATCACGATAGCACGAACGATTGCAAAAGAATAATTAATCGATGTAATTTTCTTCGTATCGTAACTTCGTAAGCGCTGACCCGTTTTACGTAGCTCGTCATTTTCGTGGAAATATTTTAACGAGTCGAGTGAAGTCGGAATTCTTGTACCTTCCGTGAAAAGCGCGCAGCGTGTGAGGAAACATGAAATTGATATTTTCAGAGACTAACTTCATTATTTGTCTCGATACACGTGGATGACGCTCGGCGCACTTCACCGGGCAGCGTGCCAAGTCAGCGGAGACGGAGTCGTCTGCTCGGAGGCTCCCTCTAACCCTGGGCCGCCGTGTGCTGCAAATCCTTATCGAACGTTGATTGTCGTGGCTCATGATCCGATCGCGAGAAAGTGATTCCATACATTCTAACGTTTTCAATCACAGTTCGAAAGATTAAAAAAAATGAGAGACCTAAAACCTTTCGACTGATAATCATAGCGTGTCGTGTAACCCTAAAATCATTATATGGGTGAAAACGGGGACCAAGGATGTAGGTGTTTCCATAGTGTGAGTTTTGACACCGGCCCTTTAGTCGATCGGCGACGCATTGTCTATTGCAGACTGGGGTAGTTTATCCCCCGCCTGGAAATAACCCTCGTCACGACTATGCCGATGCTAATACCCTTATGAGTTTATATATCGGTAGCCTCGCAGATGTAGCACCTAGCGCACGTGAATGTGCTTCGTGGCTCCTATCTATCACGAGGGCTAAACATTACTGCTTGACAATTAAATGACGCCCTACATACGCGTTTCACCGATATGGTGGTACGAGTATTGTTGCAGAGTGACCGTAGGCCTCCCACGCTTTTTGTGAACGCATCCATCTCGCGCCGGCCGCTCTCAATTCGCTCCGAACGAGGACGGCTTCGCATTGTTGTCGCATTAACGTGGCCATTAGCGCTTCGTGGACGCGAGCCACTCTGTTTATGACGCAGAGAGGCCTTGGCCTTGCCGAAGCCTCGCAACTCGGCGAGCGCCATTGGCGACCGCATTGAAATCTGCTTTTAGAGATTAAATCATAGATATGAGGTTACAGAGGAACATTTAGTGTTTGACATCGGATATTGTATGTTTTTATTCAGAAGTAATTCAGTTACATTGGTAGGTCGGTATCATAGAGGTGACGCGAGTGCACACAGACAGCCCGTAACGATAATAGTGTTAGATAACTTGGGCTGTCGAGGCACGGATACCCATGTGTTGCGGTGGCAGTGTCGAATGTCTACCGCGTCGCTTGTCAAGGTTCACGCTCGTACGCATGTACTCTCCGTGATTGAGTATTATTACCTGTTTTGATCTTCAGCGATATAGATCTTATCTATTTACATCGCTTAGATTTCTTTGGAACGTTCAGAAATATTGATTTGGTTTCAGTTAGGCTTGTAGGCTTATAATATCGTCATACGTACGCACACAGATAAGACGTAGAAATTTCCAGAACTCGACATCCACATTTGATATCGTTTTAATTAATACGCAAGAGTTGTCAAAGCGCATAATGAATTGCGGATGCATTCGCGTGAGGCGCGGAAATGCGTCGCTGTGCACCTACATATATCTGAGGACAGGGTGACGGAAGGCGGAAACATATTCCTACGGGGCACTCTCGTAGACGTAGACATTATAGAAATGGCAGAAACAAGCGCGAAGGGAGAAATAGAAATATTAATCAATGCATTTCTCTTATTATCTATGCTGTATAGCTGATTCAACGAATGAAATAGCCTACAGATTTCAACCGAGTCGTACTTAGTCATACGAATGCTTTAAATATTTCAATAATTATTCATCATTCCGCGTTGTGTGATTTCAAGGCATTAGCTCGGTGAGAATGCCATTTATTTTACATTTAATAGCACCTAAGATCGCTGCACAGTTAGACTGCGGTACACATAGGTAGATCTTAAATATCGGAAAAGAATCATGACTAACGCAAGTTTAAAACGCCTGCTCGAGAATCAGCCGCAAGAACTCCGAGGCTCGCTTGAGCGGGAACAAATGCGAGGATTCACGAAGCCAACTATTATTTGCTTGGCGATGTAGTTTGGCGTGTCACCCTGCCCGCCAACGGCCAGACATGTGGGAAAGCGCGCACATGCGCCGACCGTCCCCGACGAGTCTGCAACATTGCCGAGGTCCCTATCATTTACAACGGGATTTTGGCTACGAAAGACGGATCCGCTTGACCCGCGACACAGACAAATGTTAACTTCCCTCTTACAAGTCGATAACGACCACCACAGGGGTAATTTTAAATCCTGCTATTGTCAATAACTGTTGATAAATAGAGGGTGCGATCGCCGTCCTTCCTTTTAACCGTTGATCTTACCTCGACTTGCATTAATTGCACTGTACAAAACACACTTTCACTTTGTGAGAGGCGTTTAAAAAATTCATTACTTTTATTTAATCATTACGGAAATAAGGAAAATAAATACACTATATCTCCTGATTAATTACATTAACATACCGAATACTTTTCTTGAAAATAAGTAATGTGGATAGTAAAAATCGCAAGACCAGAGCGGCCGAAAGCTTAGGCCCGACACGGCGGGGGCGGCGAAGAGAACTTTGCGCAGACATCCTGCAAGAAGTGCTCTCCGGTATACTCCGCTCCGTTCAGGAGGACGTATGGAACGTAGTGAAACCCGACTTTCTTACTTTCTTCTCCATAATATTTGAGGAGCTCTGAGCCTTTATTTCCTTTCGCACATGTTTTTATTGGCTTGGAATCGATTCCCATGTTCGACGCGCACTGGAAATTTGTTAAACTAAGTTAATGCCGTAAACATTTTCTCTCTTCAATATGTTTATAGATGATAAGGCGTTTAAAAATGTAATAATGTGACATCTGTGGCATTTGATATATACACAGTACTTATATATAACGACATTTAGGTGAGATTCAAGACATCATTTTATTTACCTTGTCGGCTGCTTTATCATCCGACCCCCATCCTTTTTGTGATCCGCCCATCATGCAAGAATTGAAGAGCAATGCTGCAGTGTGGTTCTTGACTATTTCCAACGCGCAGGCGTGCAGTTTATTCCCATAACATTCTTTCGGGCCATGTTGGCATTCGAAGTCAGTTTTTCCATCGTGCTCGTGGGTCTGCAACGGACGACGCACCGGAGGAGACCGTCAACATTAGTAAGTAATTGCAAAAACGATTACTTGGAACCTTATTATAATTATCTTTTTGAAAAAAGAAAATGATTTTATTTATTAATCCTTTCACCAAATTGTAAGCCAATTTACTTAGTAAAAATATTGACAAAACAACATAATATGTATATACTTAATTTAAATTGTACAAATACTACAATAAGGAAAAGTATGTTAGAAGGAAAATGATCGGTTCGTTCGAGACAGGCAAAGGGACAAACCAAAAAAGACAGTAATAGAAAATTAGCATACCTTCGCATTTCCATAAGGATACGTTTGTATATCGAGGTATTCGTTGAGTTTCTCAACGGTTTCCTTGAAGTCTGTGCTTTCGAATTCCATGCAACTCGGGCAGTGGCATTCATAAAATAACTTTATGCTCACTTTATCTTCTTTCCTGGTGAGTTGCTAAATGGGAAACAACACTAAAGTTAATCACGACTACTATTTTTGGAGTTTCATGAAATAGTTCAAACTTACTTTGTCTTGTAAAAGATATAAATCGCCATCACCGAGTCCAATCGCATCATCGTCAAATAAGTGGTTTGACTTTATATCTAAAACATGTATAATTTTATTAGTACTATAATTGTTACGTAAAATGGACTCACTTCTAAAAGCGTCCCTTTTCACCTGTATACGCGCCCAGCACGACATTCAAAGAAAGTACAAAAGTAATGAACGTCTTCATCGTAACTTTGATTTGACCGTACAGAGGTTGTTTAGCCATAAAACGGTTTTATCATAACAGATTCGGGTCATCAGCCGTAGCTCAGTCGATCGCACGCAGCGAGTAGAGTAACCGTCGCTCGATTGACTCCATTTAATTATGCTTGTTCCTACTGTGCTGTTCGTAATGATGTGGTAAATACTTAACATTGTTACGTTCATTTTTCTATAAAAATATAGATAAAATGCTCCATTCTTATTGTTATGTGAATACTTCTGTATTCGTGATAACGTAGGTAGGTGAAGTTATTTCATGAGTGTTGTTCCTTTGTTATAAGTAAACTTAGCGTGCGTTCGTTAGATTAGTGAATTATGAAAAAATAAAATAAATATTATTAAAAAACATGATCTATTCTATAATCTATAACACACTGTAACGGCAGAAATAACTTTTGTCTATGATAAACTAACTAGCTGTGTTAGCGATATAGACATATAGTGTCACGGACATTTTTTTAATCATTTAAAGAAAATTTATTCTTACATACATAGGCATTTTTTGGATATCTTGACCTGTTTTTCAACCCACAAAGATCAATATTTTTTCCTGTTTTCTCTGGATCTCCCTCTCCCTCCCTTTCGCTCGTCCGCTCCCTTCCTTTCTCGACACATGCTCTGTCCAACACTAAAAACTTTAAAATAAACAAACAAATTCTTCAGAAAACTTTATTTATTAGTATAGACTATTTATAAAGATGAGAAATCTTTATAAATTAGTAGCTGCGTCAGCGACTTCGTCCGCACCATTTGCAAACCTCCCTTTTACCTGTTACTCACGACGTCCGTATTCTCGTCATCTTAAAAGATGGACACATACTGTTGCGAATTTTATTAGATCATTTAAAGAGGATTCATCTTTACACACATATTTTCTGGGTATCTACTGGGACCGATTTCGTAGCGTACCCAACGGAAACCCACAAGTATAATTAATTTTCCTCATTTTCTTTTCTTCACATTTCCCGTTTTATTTCCCGCCAATAGCCTTTTTTTTAATTCGAACCAGTAGTTCCTGAGATTAGCAAATTCAAACAAAGAAACGAAATCCTCAGCTTTATGTATTGGTATAGATAGTTGTGCCAAACGATGTCACGATGTAATTTTAAAAGATAAACATGTAAGAGGAGTTCTACGGAACAAAGATTTAACTACGTATAAAATGAATGATTCCTCTTTAAATAGTTTTTTAAAGGTTATCTTTAAAGGTTGATCTGCAAGAACGTCAGGAAGTAGCAGCAAGATTATTAAACAGTATAGTAAGTATTTATTGTATTATGGACATAAAGATTTTACTTAAGTATATGTTGTTTTAAGTGAAATGCTCAACGTGTTCAGTGTAGATGTAGTGTGGATTTTCACACAGTTTACTATGTATATTAATGTGACTTCATTGTTAGTTCCTAATACAATAGAACGAAAGCGAATACTTATGATTTTGAAAACAAAACGGGGACATAGGACGATAATATTTAGTATATTTCGGAAATGGTCTCCAGTAACTAGTCTTAAGTAGTATCACTTCGGTCTTTTACGGAAGCAACTATCTGAGTTTCGGAATCATATCTTCTTAAAATGCATATGCATACCCAACCGCCTAAAGTCAATCGTTTTTGTAATTTATGAAATACATACGTCTCGTACACTTGTGTGCACAAAGTACGATTTAGTAGACAAAGAATATAAAACAAATAACTTCAATACAGTTTAATTGTTATAGTAAAATGATTACAGCAGATCAGCGCATTCTGGAGGAACAGCAGCGAGGGCTGCGCAGACGTCTCGTGCAAAGTGTTTGCCGTCGTTTTGCACGCCGTTTATAAGGATGTGCGGCACGTGCTTAAAGTTGACCTTCTTGCTTTCTTCTCCGTAGTACTTTAGCAGTTCAACGCCCCTGGGTCCTTTCGCGCATCGTTTTATGGGCTTCGAGTCAATGTTCATAGATTTACCACACTGAAAAAATAAAGTTCACTTAAGTATATTCCCAAAATAAAGGCTCCCTCTGAGATGGGCACTCACTGCATCTGCCGCTTTGTCATCGGATCCTCGATCCTCTTGCGAGAACTCCATCATGCAAGCATTGAAGATCAGCGCTGTAGTCTTGTTCAGAATCTCGTGTAGGGCGCACGCGTGCAATTTGTTTCCGTAGCATTCGTCGGGTCCATTTTGGCAGATGAAAGAGGTCTCTCCGTCCTTTTCGATGGTCTTAAAATAATGTTTATTTTTAAGTGACCACTGAATTTAGTTCTATAGAATTCTGATACCTTATTTACAATAAATTTTATGATTTATTATGGCCCCCCGTGACCACGGCTGCAAAGCATCCGAAACGACGGGCCGTAGTTAATATAAATTTTAAATTAAGATTAACTATTATATTTTGTTTTCTAAAGCGTTGAAATTGTTTTATTTAAATGAGTACTACTATTAAATGTAATTCTTAAAGCACTCACTTGAGCATTTCCGTACGGGTACGTAGTTATATCCAGGTATTGACCGAGTCTTTCCACGACGGGTCTGAATTGCTCGGTGTCGAACACTCTGCAATGTGGACAAAAGGCTTCATAAAACAATTTCACGTCTACATTTTCTCCCGCAGGCTCGTTCTGAAAAATAAACAAGCGTAGCAGTCTGTAGCGACGGAAACTCTACGACAGGTGTAGAATCTGAATTCTTGGAGGCGCTACGTCCATCACTTTCATTGATTCGTAATTTATATCGTAAAATATACGAAAAGTGCTATTTATATTTCTTTTTCCCTCAGATTTAGATCTCACCTGGGTGTGGTAATATCCCCAGTTTGGCCTCGCAAACATATAGGTTTGGTAATAACTGTTGTATGGCAAATTATCTGAAATTAATTCAATGACGTCAGTTTTATTATTTACTTTCTTCAGTGATATTGTTCTACATTTTATTAGTTAACGTTTATTTACTTATGTAGTGACATTTAGTAAGCACAATACAAAGCGATACGATCAAATGTCCGGCCAAGAACTCCATCGCGAACCGTGTTCTAATAATTCACACAAAAGAGTAGTCCACCCCAACTATCAATCAAAACTAAGAGACAGTCGGCTTTGTTGAACTAATGTTTTCAAAAGTGTGCACATTAAATTTATACGCGACTCATTCTCACGATAACGATGTACTGTCTCGAATTCTTTTAGAGGTGTAAATATTTTTATAACTTACAAGAAATATGGGAAATGAATTCTCTATTTAAGAATTTATGGACAATAATGATAAAGTAAACACTTTACATATAACCTTATAATAGGTATATAGAGTGTGTTGTAGAAGGGGAGACGGATCGCACATTTTTCGTAACGTTAACGAAAAACCTTCGCTGTGTGACACCACTCTGTATCTATTAGTTCGCTGAGTGCACGGTAAACCACTTAAGAGCTGGTCGGAAACAGCCGAAAGGATGTTCAGGTGAACGGAATACCGACGATTGTCCTCGACTGCCGGCGTCGACTAGGGCATTGTTCTTCGCCCGCTGAATGGGTCTCGTTACCAGGATTAACGGAGTCACGCAGCGCTAGACGTTCGCCGGTCGCCGGTCGTCGTGTAACTTCGTCAAACTGAGCCTTTTCAGTTTTCACACACAGCTTAATAGAATTACTACTAAATCCCTTTAGCAATTAAGCTCTCGGATATTTCCTGTTCTGGATTGAGCGTTTTTTCGACAACAGTTCGTCGTTTGAGCCTTTAATTCGCACAAAGCGTAAATTGCAAATTACGACTCCGGAATTTAACCGAAATTATTTAATTTGTGTTCCTTAAATGTTTTCCGTCGGCAGTGGAATAATACTTCAAGTGAAATGTTGTTAACTCGACGGACATTGCAAATGATGACGATAAGGAAGGTCTAAAATCACACGAACGACAACATGACAACTCGAATGGTGCATCAATAAAATCACGGAACGCTTTTATGAGCGTTTTACGTAAAAGCAATGAAACCTGAAGGCAAATATTATTACGGGAGCAAATCTGAAAAATTCAATTTCAGACGTGATCTATCGACCGAGTTGATCATACCTTTCCGATATCCGCCTGATTTCAGAACATATTTTTTGCTCTGCGTTGGGCACGCCTATTTCGTCGAACGAACGAAATGCACGTCTGATGTCCTTTAGTCGGGTTAATACTACTAGTAGACACATTTTAAGCGTGGTTTATTGGTAGATGAAGCTCGCCAGTTGCAGGTGGAAGTTCCCACGAGTTTTACAATTAATTGTATGTTTGAAAGAAGGAGACGCCCTTCTATTTCCTGATACTTTTGCCCCTCGGCTACAATCATTTGGTTTATTTTGGTTACAGAGCAGATAGAGTACTTGCAAATGCAAACGATCACAATTGTATATCTGTACATTTAAAAGGCCTCCGTAATTTGTTGCAGTTTTGCAAAAATAGAGTACCTACATATATACATATTACTCTCACCCTGCGCTATATCCATGAAACATCTTGGACTTCCGATAATATTGATTGTTGTAAATTTGCTGTAGCCGTAACACAAAGTGACAAAAAATCAGGAAAACATCCTCCATAATTGTGTAGCTCTCGAATGAACTAATTCAATATGGATTTTCAAACAAAATGCGCACCCGACGCGCCCTGAGTTCCAATTAAAACTCGGCTCGAAATCGACTCAGGCTTTAAATCACCCTACTGGCATATGCCATCTACTGTTATTTGCATTAACCATTAGTGCTACGCGCATCGGATCCTCCATTTTTGAATTCTAGCAATTCACGAATAACTATACAAAATATCGTAAGATATTTTTCAATACAGAAATGCGCGTTCATTTCGTACACTGATGTTTATATATTAAGAAATAAAATCTCATGAAATATATATCGCTCCGTTCGGCGCTCCGGATAAGCAGCATTTTACTCCAATTTTCCGACCTTCGGAGATATGAAGGCAATAAGTTTGCACTATCTGCGAAGGGCGCTAGCTTCGGAGATTCTGTTTGTGTTATATTTTTTAAATAGGTACATTAAGTCAGCGATTGTCTAGACACTAGACGTAGCGGGAATATATTTTCGACGAATCATAACGAGAGGTATGAATAATACATCGGTGGTGCGACGCTTTCTGCTGTGATCTACACGACGAAAAAGGTTATAGCGAGTGCGAACGATAATATTGAATCTTCGCGTATTTAAGACATCTCAATAATTGTTCTGCACCACCACACGTAGCAAAAAATGATAAGAATAACACCTTTTTGTTGTGCAATGTTACCGAAGCAAGACGACAGCAAATATTCCCAGGCGAATACTAATTACTTTATAAAACTGAGGATGTCGACGTAGCATCATCCATCGAAAGTCGTGGTGAATAACTTTCTATTGGTTACCATTTTCACTGGCATAAGCTAGTAAATGAACCGAGTTCAAGCTAGTCCGCAATCTCATTTGGCGTAAACGAAGTTATTCAAGAGCGTATAAATATGCGTAACACCTTACACGTTTTATTGCAGGGATAAACACGTTCTTGAGAATATACGCGCGTTACCGTCCCTCTCCCTCGGGAGTTCCTCGTCTAGAAAGAAATTCCGTTTTCCTTATCCTGCTTTACCGAAGCTTAGTAGTTTTACATAAATATAGTTTTAAATAATTTAATTATCGTCGAGGATTAAGTTATTGAACGTCCACGCGAGGTTATAGACCGGTGGGGACGTCGACCTCTGCACCTTGTGTTGTCTGGACCCATAATATTCGAGTTCAGCTTCGTCATTATTGGCAGCCGAAAAAATTGCTTTTCCCTAAACATAAACAAACAAAATGAAGCAGATAAGTCTGCAACCTTCGACCTAGAGCGAGTGAAAGCGCTATAAACAGAATCTCACCGTTTGTTTGTTTAAACGAGCTTTTGGTATTAAAACGTGGGTCAAGTGTCGGGGTCACCTTCTACTCACTTATTAATACTTGCCTAGATCGGGCTCACTGCATGAATAGCGTAAATACTCAGATCTAAATAAAATATACTTTGTACGATATATAGCACTGTGATAGGCAATTCCACTCGCATCCTATTGTACATTCTCTGATCAAAGGCCGGTTAAATAGTAGTCGTTAATTAATAATTAGTCATATACGCGAAAGGTCACCATATCTCAACCGAATTTATATTAAGTGCGTGTAACACGCAATTGGAATAAGATTGGTTTTCCCTAATTTCCTTCCATTTGAAGTACTTCTACTAGTAGAAGTACCCACTTTACTGAAGTTTTGATTTCACTCGTGCTATGTACCAGCATGTGTATTTAATCTCATCAGTGACGGTATGACGATCCATTTGTGCTAATATATTTCGCGTTTCAAACCGTTTAAAGTTGGCGTGTACGTGCTTCACGTGTAAGCCAAAATTTTCATAAACAGATCGAAAGCTTCTCAGTCTCGAGTGGCACTTTTTTTATATCTTTACATAATATTTTCCGCTAGATAAAACCGCGCCACGACGCTCGTGAGCGCTCGACAATCTTTCATTTTAATTTGAATTTTCATTTCAGCAAATTATTTCGCGTCGTAAGTGTCCTCGGAGCTCCGCGTTGCATTGGAGTAAATTACTTCCAGGTTTCAAGGAATCGAGGTAAAAGGAATAAATAGCTCGGAATAGCGGAATTATGTATTACTTATTAAGTTACTGGCGCTGAACCTCTGTTTAAATACGTCAAAAAATTTAGAATGGACTATAAATACAGTAAGTACATACATACATCCGCCCCTTTATACATTATTATTATGAGTTTTTTAAATATTATTCTACTTTTACTAGTAAACTGTGGAGTCGTGCATCTCCGTACAAGTCTTTGAAAGAGAAAGAAACGGAGGAAATTTTGCCACACATAAACTTATCTATAGGTATATATATTAAAAGGGCAAGCGCAGTTATTTATATGAATGTCTCTTTATGAAAGCGTGAAAATTATGTGAAAATGCTGAAAAGTTAGCGGCAGTCCGTCGCATATCTTAAGATTACTACCCTCTTGAAAGGTTTTCCAGGAAGAACTGACTTCAATCCTTTTTTTGGTTTAATTATAGAAGGACAAGGGGCATAACAAATATCAAGAAACAATAGCCACAAATTCGAGAATATAAAAACATAGGACAACTTTTATTTTCAACAATATTTGATTGTTTTTCGGTTATGGTACGAACGTACAAAGGAACTTGTTGTACTTACTTGAAGTTTCGACAATAATGTAGTTGAAAATTGTAGGAATCGCAGATTAACTTCAGGGGACATAAATGTTAAGATCGGAATCTTAGATTTTAATATTTATCTAGTCATGCGATAGAGACAAGTTACCGAAACGGTCTAAAACATATATGTATACATTTACAGGGTTAAAGATAAATAAACCTAAATTATGCTAGTTTTAAGTTACTCGATCGAAAGTTTTATTTCACATACATTAAATCTCCATATTGCACGAGACGGTCTTTAATATTACATTGGAATTATTAAAAAAAACATTAATCGCTCATATACTTAAGTGAACCTGACTTGCGTAGTTTCCCACTTGTAAACTCATTCGCAAGATTCATCATAATATTCCACCCAAGTTTTCAGCCAGACGTGGAAAATTGTAAAGTGCATTTCGCTTAATGCGGAGATAGCTTTAGTTTCCTACGAAATTATGAACGCGAAGGTACATTACCGTCCGATGCAGATATAAATTGAATAATATGTATCTGATTAAAGTTTTCTTAGAAAGGAATTATCCCACTCCTTTGTACAGTTTAAGTGGAAGACGCGGTATGAAAGTGGAGTGCAAAGTATAATTGGCAGAAAAATGGTGGATCTCGAGGAATCCAGGCGAATATAAAGGCGCAACTACCCGACGGGATCTGTAATTGAGTTAAGTCCGTACTTCCATTAATTTACGTGTGAATGCCCAATCCATAATAGGGTAACCTCTTTTCGAATCGGAAACTTTTGACTAACTGACTGAAATAAAAATGTGCGACACACTTACGCATTAAATCACTCAGCTAATCTAGAACACGTGCGCGGTTTCTGAAAAGGGCTTTTAATCTCTCAGCAATAAAAATATATAACCCGATATTCCGTGTCAGTGGACGTTTAAGTTGCGACTCGCAACCCACTGAACAGAATTAACTAGGTATTAGTTGATATTAGTAGTTAGTCTAGCGAATGACCCAGATTTGCGGTGCATTTATTGTAATTATTGTTATGGCACCTAACCCTCCGGGGTAACGAAGAAGCCTTTAAACGCTATTGAGTTCTCGATGAATCCAATCGCGTTCCGTTTCAAATTAATATGAAAACGTAGAATACCTGAAGGAATTTTATTTGTAATATATGGTTTTAAATATTTTCTAATGTTAAAATTTCAAGATAGTAAATTGCTTCCTGAATTTTTATAGCCACCCTGATTGGACATTATTGTTCCTCGATAAAAGGACCCGACCCAGGAGATTCAAGATTCCAGTATAAACTTTTTTAACATCAGAGACCTCCTGTTTTGGCACGAGGTCGGTACCAGTATAAAATAGTAGTTATTATTAAAATTGATTGAAATAGGAGATCGCTAATCGTGTAATTTTTTCCAAGAATGAAGACCTGTCGATGTCTTGTTCGCCAATCCCGGTATTTACGATGTTAAGTCCTTGCATTCTTACGTCTTCGCTGTTCTTTGATATTATAATTTCTTCTTTTAGCTATATTATAGAAGCACCATTTTAATATTAATGAACTTTTCAACTCATCGTTTTGTTTTTGATAAGAATTACGCGAAAACGTTTTAATTTGTAGGTTCATTGAACGTTATTAAATATTCGATTAGTTGTGTTTGGCCTGAGATCGTTTTTAGCCGATGCGGAATCTGATTAAAAAATAAGGTTTTTTATAAAACAAGAGTTTTGAAAGTGTTCTATGACATTTAATGTTATAATTTTCTTATATTGTAATAATAAATTAAATATGAATATGACAATGTGACTTAACAGCAAATAATATTAACATTGCCAGAGAAGAGACATCTAGCGGTATCTATGTAAACAATACATTATATCTGTTTTGACTGACTTTTATGTTGACAGTATGGAGCGGTAGATGGTACTACTATACAAAATATACTACTAATTTAAATATACGTTATTGATTAATTCTAGCAATGCAAAAGCGGTTACACATAATAATTATTTTTATTAAAGCCAACATTTATGTCGACGACAGTCATGAATATCTCAAAACCTAAATACAATTTTAGAAATCGAAAATAAATTGAAAAAAAAATTCAATTCCGGCAGGACTTGAACCGGCTTCGTCAGCGTTCCGTGCTATTGCTCTACCAATTATATAGTGCCAACATGTGAAAAAATATTAAAGTTGTCAAACGAAATACAATTTTAAACTAGATGTCGCTGTCTAATAAATACAAAGTGAACGTGTTATTCAAGGTTTAACTTTTTCTTTTCAACTAACAAAACAGTTTATTGACAGGTTACAATTCGAAAAGGTAAAGCCACTACGTATTGCGTTTTATCATTATTGTATTGATTACGTTACTTATATACGCTCATAGGATTAACCGTCATATTCATTGATATTATTTATAACTATGTACTTAGCAAACGTCGTTATATATTGGTAAAGTACAACCTCTTCAAAAAATCTTGAATAAATTTTATGAATTAAGAAAACATACATTATGATTACTATATTCAGTCACTTTCGTAAGCGACGAGGTGGCCGAGTGGTTAAGGCGTTGGACTGCTAATCCAATGTGCTCTGCACGCGTGGGTTCGAATCCCATCCTCGTCGATACTTTTTGTCACGTTTTTTAATTTATTGTGACGCAATTTTGGCTACATAGTTTTTAAAAGTATGTTTGTACAGCTAATAATTTAATTAATATACACAATTATGTTTAAACATATATTTGTATTTGATAACTAGATAACAAGGTAACATGAAATCGCACATACTTCACATCTTTTTTTGATTAAAAAAAACAAATCTTTTTTTGTGCAGGATAAGCTTGGGGTTGTCGTAATATAGCGTGAAAATGCTCCACTTCAGGTTGCATGGAAGGGATCATTGTTTTATAAGCTTTTGTATCCATAAAACATAAAGTTAAATAAATAAAATATCGAATGAAGATGCTCTGTCGTCCTTTTTACCATTTAACATAACCATATTTTACAACTGGTGGTATTTTAAAATATAATTAGAAGATGGGATTGAAATCGTTTGTCGAGTAAGTTTTGCCATAGCTCTTATCAGTGTAATCACCAGTAAAACAGATATAAGTATGGCCCGGTACAAATTTATCTAGACCTGCTTTTATTATCTTATCGTATTAGTGCCCTTTATTTTACATGTCCGTAGTATAGGCGACGTGCTCTCGAGGTGGAATAACGCCAAAGTGCGGTTTATTTATCGACAGGTGCATTTCTTTTGTCCTTTTTTATTTGTGCCGTGATTGTGTATTAAAATAAACATCGTATTAGGATTAATCGACGAAGTGCAAGAGGAAGTTACAGGCACATTGTGTAAATCATTACACATTTTTATGATCCAATAGGTAAGTCATATTAATGATATTATTTTAACTTATAGTATATTTATCGTCCCTTAGTTTTTAATTTTATAATGAGTTTACGAAATTAATCCATTAAATTGTATGTCTATATTTCATACGCATAGAAACATTTATAAAAATTGTTGCGCCAAGTTGCACGCAGGTTTTTTTTCCCTAGAATTCCCTTTCTTAGAATTTTAATCCTTTTTAACAATCGAATAGTCACCGCTCCCAATATTTTCCAAGATAACATACCATTTGATAATACTCGTTCATATTGCACTGACTAACTCATTTTGATAGCTTATCTGCGTTCCATATTTTCGGTCTTGAAAAAACCAAATAAATATTGCGATAGACGAACTTGACATACATACACATTGTATTTTAATTGCAAAATCGAAAGCGGGGCCAAAATATGTACGTGTAATTATGCAAAAGATAGTATTTCTTCCAGACAAAAACAGCATGATCTGGATAGCTATCACTTTGGGGATCGCCGCGACCGGCGTCAATGCCCAGCTAACGACACAGTCGAGTATAGCACCCCATCTGCGAGAATGCTATATGGACCCTTTGTTACTGGACAGGAATAATCTGCCCCCCACGACATTGCCCGTTCTTATAGACATCATTCAAAAGATCGAAGATGATCCCAACGTTAACATGGACCTGCGCCAGTTAATCGTGCAATTACTGCATACGTGAGTTACACATTTTTCATCTTTAATTAATTAATAATATAACATAGCAGTTAAATATAAGTACCGTATATAAGGCTAATAAGAATAATATATATATATATATATAAGGCAAAGGCAAAAGGCCAGTCGAGACTCAGACTACAGATTCACAAATTTAAATTTATTCTTATTCTATTCCAGTTACAAACAAGATGGCATCGAATTTCATCAACCGAATGCTAATGTACCCATGTCTAACTTCCTTCTTCCTTACGCCCCGACATTCCATTCCTTTCACAGACATAGACTTCTTCTTACGAAAATAATTCCGGCAAGTTCCCAAACATTACCTAACAACACAATTAGCTCTGCATTGAAGGTAAGACGACTTCTAACCCGATATACAAGTGTAAGTGTGAATGGTCACGTATGTAATCATTCGTTAATGTATTTACAGTGCGCTTTACATCACATGATGTCTATAACGGTCGACGGCAGAGTACGTGGCAACGAGCAAAACTGTAATCAGCTGGCGCAGTACCGCGCATTGAGAACTGCCCGGGATATACCGCGCAACCTGAACAAAGATGATGTGGAAATTTTAGATTTGGACACTATGTAAGTGTTAATTGCGATGACTTGGTTAAAAGTACATCATTAAATCAGAAGTATACTCATCCATATGATATTCAACATAGTTTTAAAGATAAGTAACAAGTCATTGGCATTCAGGAAGCTCGCGAAGACGATGGGACAAATGCGACACTTTAACCCGAAAGATGACGTAGAATACACAAATACAGGCGGATCGCAATCGGAACGCCAGGTCTTAGGAGAGAGCCAATGCCCCTTGTTGGGAGGAGTAGTATTTACAAGGTGGGGTGCGGTAGCGGCGGGTCACCTCCTCGCTGGAATCGCCGGGGGCGCTCAATTTCAACGCATACAGGTGTCGGATTTAATTAGAGGTTCTACGAGTAACTACCAAGTTCCTCAGAGTACTATTTCCTCATTATATGCCTCAACAATATCAGGTGTGGCCGAATGCTTCATGACTATCTTGGTTTTGTGAAACGAGAAATGGCGGTTTTTAATAATGAATAATTAATCTCTCTACTTAGGTGATTTGGCAGAAGCAGTTCTTATACAAGGTACAGAAAGAGGAACTAACTCGATCACCGTTGGTGTCGCCGGGAATTGGAATTCAACACAAGCTCCGAGATATTACATGCTACACAATCGTGTAAACGTTGAAGTCACGGACCCAGAGTTGCGAGGAGACATCGACGGATTCGTCCTCGGGACTTTATTAAATACAAATGTTGCAGATGCTTCTTCCGTACGGCTATCTCAACTGCTCGACATGTATTACAGTCCCAGGGTAATAAAAATACCTACACATATCAGTACCTACATATTTCACAAAAAATACATTTTTTTAAATAAATTTTTCAGAACGGTGTCTTTGACCAAAACAGAAGAGCTTGCAATCGCCGACAATTACGACAAGAAACAATCACTAGAGATGTCTTGGTTTCTGAAACCTCCGCGTTCGTTGCCGCTTTGGATACCAACATGCCCCTGCGAGGTACTATTGTTAGCGGACTTGAACAGTTGGTCTCCACTGCGGCTGAGAATTTTCAATCATACACAAGTAAGATATATTTAAAATTTACGTCGTCTTCGAAGAGAGTTCTCATTATAGTGTTGGTTTTTAAACCCAGATAACTTTTGATTTCAGCTAACAGTCTGAATGACTTGAGCTGTGTCAACACAGAGACGACGACCAATGATTATAGGCTAAAAACAAATCTCTATTTAGTGGTTGATGCCACGTGGCCTTACCAGGCAATATATCCGGCGATTTCCTATCTTTTGGACAACGTTGAAGTCGGCAAATATGGTTCCAGTGTCACATTACTCAACGCTTTTGATGGAAGCATTGTTATAAACAAAACATTTTCATTGGCCGACTTCCACACTCAGTATACTTTAGCTCGGCATCAAGCGAGTGAGTATTATTCTAGACGCTAAAAATTTCTTATATTTATGTACGAATTTTATTGCCACAAAAATGTGGAAGTGCACCTCAATTATATATTTTTTCTCGGGAAATTTGTAAAATGTGTTCTTCTTTTGATAGTGTTTAATGGGGTGAATCTCGAGTCCACTCTGACAAATGTAAGGACCTTAATGCAAAACGAGTTGGATTACGAGAAATCGACTAATTACGTTGGAGGCAATTCGACTGTGCTATTGTTTCTGCTTAACTCGGGAAATTTACAGATAAACGTGCCGGTGATCGAAGAGGCTCGTAAAATAAACGAAACCATTCCGGGTATGTGCTAAATTTTGCTTTCTACATCATCATCATCGTTTTATATTTAAATAAAATGAACCGATTAAGTCTTGAGTGATCTTAAGTGGATTTTGATAAACACATCGGATACATTGACCTCCCTTCTTACGTTATAGACCTTCGCATCTTATTCGCAACATCCACCAATCAGTTTGACAGTTTATGGAGAATGGTTCGCGATATGCACAACGATATTCGGACTATATCCTTGAATACGGAAGGAACTAACGTTGAGGTCACTATGAGCCCCGTTCTGTCTAGAATTCAGATGGGTAAGTAACACTTTATATCCTTTGCTTCTGCCGTTATTCTTAGATAAGAGTAAAATGCATAATTTTATAGTAATTGAAAAATATGAAATGAGTTATCTTTTATCAGAAGTGAAATTTATCACTGACATTTAATATTACAGTTGGCAGAAGAATTGTCAACTCAAATTGCGGTTCTACTTTCGAGGGCCAATTGACTTCCGGTAACCGACAATTCGATGACTACCTAGAACCCGGATACACTAATTATTACTCGATAAGCCCGAATTACTTCTTTGGCAACGCCAACAGAAAGATTCGCATCTCGAGAACAGGCGGCGGAGCAGGCAGTCTTGTCATCTGCCAATCGCGAAGATTTCCACAACCGAGGTAGGAGGGTTCTTGGTTCAGGTTCAATTGCAACTTTTTAAAGGCTATCATTTTTTTAAATTTTGTACAACAGTTCTATGATGTACAATGCGCTTATTTATTTATGGATGTTATTATTCTAGACAAAACTTGACGGTAGCTGGGGTCGACGCTAACTCGGTAACTTGTCAAAATCTGGTGTCGGGTAATGTAGAAATTAGTCTTCAATCAGCCTGCGAAGGTTTCTGGACCATTGGATCCTGTCCAAACTTTTTCATTTCGGTTCAGTCTCAAGTTCCTGACGGTTCAAGCTTAACAAGAATATGCAACGGTAACTTACAAAGTATATAATATAGCAAAGGTTTATAGTGCCAACTGATACTTAACACCGGTAATGTCAAACTCTTTCAGAACCAGCGTGCAGATTTCCCTACAGCATACGGTATCAAGTACAAATTGAAGAATTAGGATGTTTCAGTGGCGCAGGAACTGTTAGAATAAGTTCAATTCTTGTCTTGAGTGTTATCTTTTTATGTGTTTTAAATAAAGTCTAAGTGACAGTGCAGGGCTCACCGCTTTAGCTGTGAATAACAGGGTTTTGAAGAGTTCAATTTTGAAATCAACCATACTTCACAGACATAAGATTATGTCACCGACCAAGAAACACGACAATACTATTGATAAATAGGAGCCCACCTTTTTATATTATAGATATATTTTGTAACCGGCTTAATGTTAAATAAAAATTAATTATTCGTATTGTACATATTATTAAGGATATTTTTAGGTATTTACTTAAAATTAAAGAGAAGAATTTTCTGTTGTAATTTTATTAAGAATATAATATACCAACTTATTTAAATATGACTATAAGACTACTGGATAATCATGATAGTTTCTGTTGTGTGCTCGTTTTACCTTACAAACCTTATCCTACTCTATGCCTTTACTAACTAGTGCCAATTGTCAAGTGTCAAAATTTGACGCAATCCAAATGTCAGTTAAATCTTATCTGTCACTGTCTTAATATACGAATGCGTGAGTCAAAGTGATACGAAGATTGTAAACAAACAGGGAACTTAAGACTTCTAATTCTAGTGTTTAAAAAAATGTCAGGCGAAGACTGTGAAGCCCTAGACAAAGGAGATAATGACGGTCAAAAGCCCGACAAAATGTTCACCCTCAAAAAGTGGAATGCTGTTGCGATGTGGAGCTGGGATGTAGAATGCGATACGTGTGCGATTTGCAGAGTCCAAGTCATGGGTGAGTCTTTTGGGATAAATAAATACGACACACATTGCTGCCTAACATCTAGTTGATTGGGCTGTATTAATTATTACTCGTTAGACTAGGTTTGCCAAAAATATTGCTAGAATTTAGTGTCTCGTAATATGTGGGTATCTAGTAATTAGTTTCAATAACTGGGTAGCATAAATATATTTCCTTAAAAGGTGAACATCATTTCTGTATTTAAAAAAATCTTTAGTTTTTTAGAAGTTATGTATAACCTAATAAATATAAGTACTCAGGTCTTAAACATTTCTAATTTTTATAAAGTATGTTTAACATTTCTAAAAATTTTGACATTTCAAATTTTGTCAACACTGCCTGTTTAAGTATGTCATATTACAGTTAATTTTACACTTGTTTTTATGTTATTATACAATTTATATTAAATATCTAAAATAATTAGTAGGCAAATTGCTGAGTTATTCTATTATTTTCCTTTTTATCTTTGCCATTAATTGCAAAGTAATTATAATACCTGTATTTAACTACGAGGCCTTTTCAAGACCCGGGACATTGTTATTCTAACTTGCAATTGAAAACCGACAATGGGATTTAGAAATCAAGACTTGTTTATTCTTCACCTTGTTCGCTGATAGCAATCTTTTGGTCTTCTTTTCTAAATATAATATTTTTGGGCTTTTATTTTGCTCATAAATAATGTTGCTCTTGTTTGTAAAATAATATGTGAAAAGACGAATTCAAATTCTAGAATGCTAAAATTATCATATCATCCTTCAAAATAAACTGTCTTCTAAAATGTATTAAGCCAATTATGAACTCAACTTAAGAATGCAATTTAAAAGGTATGCCTTCAGAATATGTTTGTTCGCAAACATTTATTTGAGTGTTGCCGTTTATTGATGACATGCTCAATCAGGTTTTTTTTTATATTGACACAGTTGTTGGGTAATGAGTTCCGGATAGATTTAACATCTAACAATTGTTCACATTCTACAATACTTGTACTCTCATTTGTATTTTAATTATTACTAGTATAGCTTCTTTTAATCAACAACCACTCGGTAGTGGTTTAATATTAGCTATAGAACTCATACGTCGCGATCTTGGACGTCGCCTACCGGTTAGTTTATTTTCAATTTGTTCGAGACTTTTACCTCTCGTCTCAGGCACGCACACCACAACGAAAAATAATCCAGTGAAACAAATGCCGCCGAACAACCAAAACGTACCTGACGGCTCTATCGCCTTCACGAGGTTGTAGAACGTTTTGGTTACTATAAATGAGCATATGCAATTGTAAGCCGTACAGAGCGAAGCCGCGGCGCCCCTCACTTTACCTGGTAAAATTTCTCCCATCATGAGCCACGGAATAGGCCCGAAAGCTAAGGAAAATCCGAGTAAATAAATCATCACGCTCGTGAGAGGCAGCCATCCCAGGTTTGCATCGACCGACGTCGCTTCATCGGTTAAGTAGAAGAATGTGCCCAAAATAATTAACGTCACAGTCATCGTAACGGAGGAGATGTAAAGCAGAAGTTTCCGCCCGGCTCTATCGATCACCGCCGTAGCGATGAAGGTCGATATAAAGTTTACCAGCCCCACGATGATCGTCGCCAGGTTCTCGTCTATGGAACTTCCGGACATCTTGAATATTTCCACGGTGTAGAATATGACAGCATTGATTCCCGATAACTGCTGAAAAGTCATCAGGCCCAGGCAGATAGATATGGACTTTACGTATTTCTTATTAAAGATCTCCGTGAACGACGATTGATTTTCGATTTCGGCATCGCACAGAGCTATCTCCTGCATTTCGTCATCGATCTTCGCGCGCTCGCCTCTCAGCCACCGCAACGCCTTTCGCGCTTCCTCCGTCTTCCCTTGCGATATATACCAACGCGGGGTCTCCGGAATCAGTAGCATCAGTGCGAGAAAAGGAATCGGCAAGGCGGCCCCGAGATAAGCCAGGTTCGACCAATCCAAATATTTCCCAGCCACGTAACAAATCAGAATCCCAATATTTCCGATCGCCGTGGGGAATAAGCCCAACGTGCCTCGAACTTCGGGTTGGATAGTTTCGCCCAGATAAACGGGGAAGGCCAGGGAGCCGATCCCGACGCACAGTCCGCCGATAATCCGTCCGGCTAACACTAGATGAACGATGTTAGCCGCGGCTATCATCATCCACCCGACGAAGAACGGTATAGCGGTTATGATGAGCGTCCTGCGTCGTCCTATGTAATCGACGAGGGGTCCTCCGATGATGCCTCCGAGGGCGGCGGCTAAGGGCATCGACGATCCGATCCAACTGGCCTGAAAACATTAGGTAGACTTTAAAAACTTGTCATCTTGTCTTGTCTGAGACTTAAAAAAATGATCGCATTTTTAATTATCGGATCACCTCTTCATCGGAAACTGATATCCTTGTACTATTTTTCATCGTGACGAGGGCGGGTGAAGTGTACGCTGATGAGAATCCGACTATCAACGACCCCAACGACACTCCGACGGCGGCCAGCACCTAGAACGGAACGTCTATTTCACAAATGGTATAGAAAAATGTCTCATAAGAAACATTAATCCTAGTGGGATGACGATATATCGCATTCCAGAGTCGGAGTACGGCGCGAGACATATAACGCGCTAAATTAGCGAGGCGAGTAAGCGAAGTGCTTGTCAATTTAAGCAATCGACTATGATTGTTTTCAGCGCGTACTAAATCAAAGCGGCCACACCGCACCATGATACTCGTTGAAAATTGCTAAGCTAACACTTTCTATTCAGATAAAAATCTAAAGCAATTCGACTTTTTACCATATTTAAATCACTATTATATCAAAATACCGCATAAATGTCAACTACGAACCTGGGAAAATGTGTATTTGGGTTTGTCATAATCGCCGTCGCCGACTGTAATGCTACAGTGCGTATCGGCTCTCATTAAAATTTTCATTTTCGCCGAGAGCCCCCGGCCAAGTCACTTTTCACAATAACGAAGCGCTCGGTGTGAAGCCGGCCCGTTTATTCGAGCAAATGAACCCGTCTCATCGCGGCTGTCGCTATTTTATATGGACACAAATTGATTGACGAAACTGATTGGATTCCGAGGTTGAGGCATCAAAACAATGCTTCTCGTATCGGTCATTACTCATTCCTTAAAACGGCGGCGAAACCAGACGCCACCGTCCCGTGCGAGGAACGAGGACGTTAAGGATAACCTTCTTACATTAGGCATACGAGGAAGGAATCACGTGACGCTGCAGTCGCTTTATATTATACATAGGCGTTGAGGTTTATTTTTCAGAACACAAATATAGAGGAATAAGAGGAAAACTTCAGCATCCTATGATATCATTGTGATGTGTGTCGTGCGGTATTAAGTCCTTTATAATAAACTTTTCATAATCATAACGATTCAGCGGCAGAGTCAAAATGCTTTTTAATGCTCCAACTCCTTCACAAGTAGCAAAATAATATGTTAAATGCCGTCGCAGTTGTTTGTAAACAAAAAGTCTTTCCATGATGCGATTGCAGTTGATAGCCGTTTGTATCACTTTATGTCCTGCACATGCACCGGGTGTGCATAGAACAACAACGGAGCACTAACGTATTCATCGGTTATTTACACTTTAATTTTTTTTGATATTCACAAGAATGTGAAGAATTATTTAAGAATTAAGAAACTTTAATATTATTTGATTGCAAAAATACCTATATTGCTTTGGGTTCGTCCTGTTCGTCGTATTTTACTTCGTCTCTAATTGTCCTAAATCAAACTAATTTAAAAAACTAACTAACAATATTTAACATACTTTTATAACTTCGTGAGCACCCTCAGGTAGCAAATGCATTTTTCTAATTGGCGGGTACAAAAGTTATCCATAAGGTTTACCATTATCGACGAGATCTGTTTTAATTAATCATTTCTTAGATAACTCTGTAAAATTGTTATGTAGCTATATAGCGCAATAATAGTCGAGTTAAAATACTAGGGGCAGATCCCATTCTACGCATTAGCCATGTTTTATGTAAAACAATATTATGAATACCGCTCTTAATTATGTCGGTACAAACGCAACTCTGTTTTTGTTAGACTTGCTACGAATATTCGGTTACTATTCGGTATGTCTTATATGTATTTGTAAAGAAAAAATTAAGCGCTCAAACGGAAAATTCTGTAATTAAGTGAAGAAAGTAGCAACAAAGTTTATCATTGTGAACATTAAAACAATCACAGCAGTTTATATTTAAGCGCTAAAATCTGACCGAATAATTCTGCCGAATATACTATTTGAAGCCTAGATTTTACTTTTGTTTTCGCGTACGTAAGTGGAATATATATTGTTGAATATATAATATTATTATAGCTTTATTATTTATAACCTATACAGAAAAAAACACAAATAAAAAGAGAAAACATCTTACGTACTAACCTATAAATAAAAGGCGGGCTTATCGCTAAGCAGTGATCTCTTCCAGGCAGCCTGAAGTACAGGAGAAAAGGAATATAACAAGACTTATTAAGTGGTTAGGTGTAAGAAATAACAAGCAAAAGAAAGGGTACATCGTTAAAGAATATATAGCACAGAGACAGTGGGGGAGAGAATAACTTAAGAGTCGGAAAGATGAAGAACGGAGGAATTGAGCTTTAATGATATTAGTGGGAAGAGAGTTCTCGAAACGACTCGCGTAGCCAAAATCATTTACGAAGACTATTTGTTTTTAAATAACATGTCTAACACTAGCAAGAGTAAATTTGTACTTTTTACAGTAATTATCAGTTTTTTGCTAGTAATGTTACCTAAGGTCAATATTGTACGCATCGTGTATATAGGCTTAAACCTCTTCACTTCTTGCCCCTTTATAAATTTATTTACGTAGTTTTTACATGACGCTCGCTGTATTTGCATTTTTATACAAATTAAAATAAAGTCCAATAAGAATATGAACAATTAAAATATCAACCACCCACCCACCACCACCCAATACTTGTCAAATCCAATCCAAGGTCCAGTGTGTCGTTTGAATAAAAAACAAATAAAACAAATTTTATCACCAATGTTTTAATAAAATATAACAAATAAATATGAACTCTGTAATATACGGAGTCAGATATATGATTATTTCTACGGGCATAGCCATAGGATAAACTAAATTAAAGTTTACGTAAAGTTCCAGTTTCAAATGCTATTTGACTTCATTCAACGACCAGAAAGGCTAAGCTGGTCGTTCGTTCCGATAGCATTCGAGACGGACATATTTTTGGTTAAACTAATTGTCATGATGTTATTGCGAATATTACAGATCTAAGCTATTCTAGGCATTAACTTGGTTAGTTTGTACGTATAAGATGTACTGGGCTATTTTTCCATAATTACTCGACCGGGTCTAACGAGCTATACATAACCACCATTGCAAATCGCACGTGAATTATCTAAGGTTATCTTAACGCAAAAACAGAATTTACATAATTCTAAAGGAACTGTTACATTACACTATCTAATATCGATAATATGTACAATAATGCTACGTTAAATACAATCCGAATCAGTCTTCAAATGCGGCCGGCGAACACGCCGAGTACGTAGTGTACTCGAATGCGCGTTGCGACACCCCACACTTTACCTCCCCTTACAATATAGACACAGCACTAGGCGTTCACCCGACGTCGCCTGGAATGTAATACGACATTACTACATCAACATCCCCGTAACTCATCCCTCCCCTAGCACACATTTTGCATTTGCTTATTACCCGTTATCCGTATTCTACGAGAACCGCCCGTTAATTTCTTTTCGATTTCTTCTAAGCTCTTGCCCCTGGTCTCGGGCACGAAGAAGATGACGAAAAATAGCCCAGCTACACATAAGGCGGCGAATAACCAAAAGGTACCGTACATCTTAATCGCGGCGATGATGTTGTGGAACGTTTTAGTAACAATAAACGTGCACGTCCAGTTGAATCCTGTCGCCAGAGAGGCGGCCGTCCCGCGTATTTTGGATGGCAAGATCTCGCCCAACATTAGCCACGGAATGGGACCGAAGCCGATCGAAAATCCTAGAACATAAATTACGAGGCATGCCAGCGGCAACCAGCCGTACGCGCTCACGTCGGTTCCGACGGCTCTGACGTAAAAGTACGAGCCGAGAGCGACCAGGGTAACGATCATTGCCACCGAAGAAATGTATAGGAGCATTTTTCTGCCTAAGCGGTCAATGATGGCCGTCGCGATGAACGTAGACACGAAATTCACTACGCCGATTATTATACTGCACACGTTCTCGTCGAGCGTACTGCCGGCCATCTTGAATATTGTAGAAGCGTAGAATATTACAGCGTTGATACCGCTCAACTGCTGGAAAAGCATGAGACCCAAGGAAATTAAAACCGCCGGCATGTATCTTCTTGAAAACATTTGACCGAAAGCGTTTCCCCCGCTTCGGTTGGAATCTTCTTGCGATAGCGCGAGATCCCTCAGTTCCTTATCTATGTTTGTGCTCTTCCCCCTCAGCCACTGCAAGGCCTTACGAGCGTCTTCGGGTCGCCCTTTAGTGAAGTACCATCTGGGAGTTTCCGGCGTAGCGAGCATGAGTAAAAAGAAGGGAACAGGAAGAGCCGCACCGAAGAACGCCAAGTGCGACCAGTTGAAGTATGTTCCGATGAAGAAGGCGAGGAGTATTCCAGTATTACCGAACGCTGTCGGCAATAAACCGAGGGCGCCTCTCACTTCCGGTTGTAGCGTTTCGCCCAGGTACACCGGGAAGGCGAGACTGCCGATCCCCACACAAATGCCACAAAACGCTCGACCGGCGAGCACCATCAACACGTTAACCGCATTAGCGATCAACATCCAGCCGACGAAAAATGGAACAGCGATGCCCAGGATAGTGTTCTTCCTTCCCAGATATTCTATAAGCGGACCTCCTACGATGCCTCCCAGGAGCGCCGCCAGAGGCATCAGTCCGCCGACCCAGCTGCTCTGTAACAGGGATGGCATCGTTAAAAACATTAACATTTCTCAAACTCTATTTAGGAATTGAGTAGCGGAGTTCATTCAGTAAAATCTTACCTCTTCGTTTGTTATAGCCAAGGTAGCGTTCATGCTCGGGAGGGCCGGCGAGGTATATCCCGAAGAAAAGCCCACGATGAGGGAGCCCATCGATACGGCTAGCGCAGCGAATAGCTGTAAAACGAGCATTTTTATATTTCGTTGCGTTTGAAACACCGATCCTTCTCGAGAAGCGGGAATAGAAGGAAATACGTCGACTGCGAAAGGTTTCTTCGATAGTTCTGAGCTTCGTCGCATACTTTTCCATGTATATTTGTCTAAGTAATGGAGGAAGGTTACTCTGTAGTTTACGAGTATTTTATGGCTCGCCCCTGAGTCCACAAAACTATGGGAAAGTTTTATAAAACCTACTTCTCTTTTTTAATATCGACATTGTAAGCTTAAAAATGTTTGTTCGTTACTATTTTACACCGTACACTTACTGCATCTTTATAATTCGCAATATAATCTGTAAATGTAACTGTCATTGTTGTCACAGAAAAAAAATCTATACGCAAAGAATTGCTGAATTTAACTGGACGCGTAATAAGCGAATGAATTAACTGCATTTTTATCGCCCACATGCTCGGTTAATGGAAAAGTTTGAAATTTATGATAGTTTCGAGAAAAAATGGCAATTTCACCCAAACAATAATTACTTGAATAACTCGAGGTTGTAATTCCAACTGACCTGCGTCCATAGGAAAAGACGTTGCGCGGCAGCTCCGAACGAAGGCCCGTCTCCGTCGATGCCATAATCGGCTTTCGCTTTGTTATTTTCCGAACTGAGCTGCTTCACGTACGGCACCGAGTTCCGCAAGTTTTCCTCCTTCGCGCCCGTAATTTCCATCTCCATCTTGTATTTGAACTCGTTCCCCAAACTTATTTGGCGAAGCTGTTGGAAGTGACGGCGAGTCTCCTCGAACGAGTCCTGCTCGTCTTCGCTGCTGCTCTCGGTGGATACGACTTCGGGAATCGCCGCGTAGTTGGGGGCGAGGGTTCCCTGGGAGCCGCAGGACGTGGCGAGGGACGTGCACGTCGTGGACGCGGAGAGCGTGGGCCGCGACGGGACCCTGGCGTACTTGGGGCCTCGCGTGCGGTAGAGGCGCTCCTCGTCGTTCTGGCCGCGCCGACCCTGCTCGCTTCCGCCCTTAAAAGATACAGTTAACTTAGTGCTCGTAATCGAGACGGACTCACTAAACAAAGACCACTGGCATCGATATCCGCGACGGCGTCCCATTTATTACATTTCACTATCTCGCGTACATAAGCCGAGATAATTGTTGTGAACTTAACATCTCTGGGGTCACCCGAGCAAATATTGCTTATTGACCATATTATCGAGTGACCATATAGTCTTAGCGTGCTTCCGATAACCCTAAGTAAAGGACGAGCTCCTTGACCCCATTCTGAGTATATAGTACGGTTCCCGAATAAAAGAAGCGACGCGCGACAGCAGCGCACCTAGAACGGAAAAATAATGACCGTCGTTTGACGGTTCCGATTCATGTTTGTTGATATTATCAGCTATTGCTGTCGGGGACATAATGGTGTTTATGAAATATATAGTATATAAACGATGCATTCTTTTGTACGCAGACTTTCTTAGATTATAATATTGTGCCTTAACAAAAAAATTACAGTATTTCGTATAGGGACCTTTAAAATATTTACCTCAAATGCATTGAAAAAGGTATTATGCTTAATAATTTTTCTTCTTTTTCGCTTTCATTTCTGTTTCGAAGTATTCCTGAATATAATGTATAAATTATTTTCGCGAATTTTAACTGTCACATCATATTTTTTATTTATTTACATGACAGAAATACATATAAACGAACAATAATTCTAGTTAATTGTAAATGCCATATGGCGACGTCACGTCAGAAATGAGTAGCTTAGGTTTTATTAAAGTAATATCCGTCGAATTCAAGTAAAATATACTTCACGCCAACTTGGGAACTCTCGAACCCTATCACGTTGCAAATACATGAGTAAACAAGACATAATTATGTCAATAAACAATCATAATGTCAATACGGGTCCTTCCAGAACTTTGCACCACTTGTCTTGTAAAATTTGGCCCCTTTTTATGTAATGGGAGTTAGCTAAATATTTTATCACCGATGTAGCATATTTTAATAAAATGGTTTGCGGCGGTCCGGCTGATCTTTTGGCGTCGTCAAGCATGTTAACGCTGAATTGTTGTTGTTTTATCCGAGATCCGAGAGGTGAAGTGTTCTTACATCTTCTTTAGAAATTTATATTTGGAAAATTAATAATTTTAACAGCGAAAAATATTTTTACAGAAATACTATATTAGCAATAAGAGTAATACAAGACCGCTGGATCTATCGTAATAACCCATATTAAAAAGAGTCAAAAATCTTTTTGTGACCCTTAAAGCCCTAATAATATTGATAAAAGTGCCCTCTGTAGGAATACTTCGAAAACGGATGATAATTTGAATCGATGCGTGCAACTGCCTCGGTTACATCGTAGTGCCGACACTGGCCGCGGCGCGAGTTTCGTTTTATGTACGTTTCAGTGGTTTCAGCGATCACCCCACACGTTATATGTCATGCATACTATGATAAACAATATAATATAACCGAGAATTCTACACAATTTTACATGCTCTTTACGATTCCATGTTATGTTTAAAAATATAATTAAGGAACAAACTACGATCGGTGAAGGCGTTGACGCTGCAAGGTCGGCCACAACGTAAGTGCAAGATACTTAATGCTGATGTCATGATTTTTGGGCTGAAATTATTTAAGATTTCACATCATTATCTGTCGCCTGAATGTTGGATTAAATTTAATGTAGATGGCGTCCTTTTCTCCAGTGATATGGATGGAGTTGTAGTCTCTTTGTTTATTTTTGTTTATCGCTGCTGTTGTGGATATCGATAGTGGTTGCCAGGCAACGGATAGAATCGACCGCACGCTCAGCACAAGACACGCAGCGGGTTGCGCGGTCGTAACTTTCCAGAGCTTTCGGCATGCCATAGCGTTTTCGCGTAATTCATTTCCTAACTGTGAGATTCAATTTTTTTCCAAAAACATAATAATTTTTTACTTCCATCGGTTGAATTTTACGCTTATAAATATTTATATACCTTATGCTAATGTTTGGTAATTATGGATAGTCAGGGAGTAACTCACCATTTCTGTGGAGAGCTGCTTTAGGTAGCCCATAATCTTCCCCATGGGGTTGGGATTATTCTTATTGAAGCTCATCTTGACTCCTTCACTTTGTCAATCGCACTGGAAGTCCTATTTTGTTTGTTCGGCGAGAAAAGTCGCTACGTTATAGACCCTTTCGGCCTATCTCTACGATTAACCGTAATTACAATCCAGATTCGTAAGATTCACCGATGTCTAAGCGTACACATCACTAATCGCAAGTTTTGAAAGGTTGTTCGATAGATCTACTCGCAAACCGACCGCGGCTAATCAAACACGGTTCTCCTGAAATGTTTGCGCATTGAACGCAACCGTGAAATAAATGTTCATTCAAGTAATGTTCAATTTCGCGCCGAAGGCCTGCAAGGATGCACCGCGAGCGAACCGATTTCTTCAGAGCACAAGTTATCTATTGAAACTTGCAGATGGCAGCGCACAATTTTATAGAAACTCGGCAGAACTCGGCGTCAGCGCCCCTCCCCCCCGCGGCGCCCCCCCACGTAAACGTGTCACGGCGCCGCGCGTGTGTGCCGATATTTTCATGTATGCGTGCCCACACATACACACATTTCCATTAACTCTGCACCTGAATACTGTATCTATAATGTGTTAGAAATGTAAATTTTCATGACTTAGTTGAATATCTTTCCTTGTACCTTAATATTTATCGTTTTCAGCGTGATAGCTAGCCATTGGATGTAGGCAAAACGCACGTCCTAGATAGGCATCGGGTTGGTAAAACTACCAAACAACATTGCGTAAGGCTGTCGTCACGTAGGAAGGTGTTAGAATTTTTCAAGCTCGTATGATTCACTTGCTTAAAACCGTACTTCCAGATTATTTTTAATCCAAGGTCATACAAAATATATATAATGTCATTAGTAATTTATTTTAAGGTCCTACCTCTTATTGCGTAAAGTTGCAGGAACAACAGTGTATTGTCAGCTGTGGCTGTTGTTGCATGGCTATTTCAAAATATATGTACAATGTATTCGATCCGGAACTCGAAGGAGAATTAATTATTAAATTATTATTACTACGGATCACGGATACATAGTTGTTAGTGCTCTTGCGAAGAGAGAATTCCAAGAAACAACGAATATTCGTTGTGTAAATAAAAATGTTATCAATTATTTTTTTATTCTTTACGCTTCATTAGTCGTGCAAAGTTAATGCAACGCTTCTAACAATATACTGTTGCATAGCGAAAAAAATGTCATAGCCAGACACGCATAAAATAAATATAGGAATGAAATATCCCCGAAATTATAAATCAATCGAGGTGTTCGATTTGATTTGCAAAGAACCGCCAAATTATTTCTAATCTTATCCATACATCGGAATATAGATCACAAAATATCACAATGAAACGTATAAAATACGTTTATATCTTGACACACCCATTTTTAATCAGTAATGTACGCTTTCTTTAATTATGGCGCGTAAATAATAGTAATTATTGAGCAAATAAGTATTATTTCCCAATATCTTTGCTTGTACCCGTGTGCTTCATACTCCTACTTTGGTTCCTCGGCTACAGCCCTTGGGGAAATAATCTGTTTGAAAAATATCTACTCTCGGCGATTATGGTCTCCCTACCCCGGGCACGCGCGTGCTTTTGAGCGACCCGCGTGCAGTATCCAATTGTGGCTCAATTGCTTTGATGGAACCATATTATCCTATTGTTGCGTTAGCGCCGCTTTTTGTTAAATACCGTCGGCGATTTTTAACATCAACGATAAACAGATCACTTGCAACTATCCCGCTCATTGGCAATATTATTATTTACTGATTGTCAGACGTAGAAACTTTTAAGTGCAAGATAGTGTAACGTTTACATAGTATTTCTTTTTCGTGGGTTATAATTAGGTTTACCAATGTAAACAAAGTATTATTCTTAGAAGCTGGCGTAACCGTCCCAAAACATGTTGTCTTAAATTTAAATGCATTGCGTTGCGTGCTCTACGTCACGTGCACACGTTTCGTGTTCAAAATAGACGCGTATGTCACGAGCCACGGATGCCGAAAGTCGACGTGGGTCAGCTGACGGCCCCGCCTCCAGAATCGTACGCACACAGTCGGAGATTCGCCACAGTGGGGACAGACGCTCTGCGTCATTCTAGTCCAGAAACTGAATGGATATTTTGAAGCAATCGAATTGCAATATTAACAAATTCGGAAGTTTCTTTTGTATATGGATTCATCATATTAGAGAAGAAGTTTTAATGATTACAATACATATTAAGGTCGTCGATATCTTATTAATTTTTAAACTCCCTCGGTCTAGTTCGCACTTTAGCGTCATCGATGGGTCATCCCTAAGAGAGATTAAGTAGCATCAGTAGCATTTTAAAGCAAGCTTTATTTTATAATGCGTATTTGAGGGAAATGGTTGAAATCTACATGCGCGCGTAGGAATTTAACAAACCTACATGGGGATTCACGCAGACATAGGCAACTGCTCCGAATTGAATATGCCTAGCGCCATGCGCCAGCGAGACCCGTGGCCTTCTCGAACCTTCCCGTGTTGAATGCGCTCTGTGAGGCGTCCTTTCGATGGACGTCTATCGATAAACGAGAATCTCTGTTCTGTACTTATCGCACGCTAAATGATTTACGCTCTTCGTTGATAAAGATTACCACATACGCCTTCTACTTGTATTTCAGTGAAACTGTAGAGATTTTATTTAGGCTGTCCTGCCACTTTACTGACGAAGACAATGTCCTTTGACGTAATGGCTCGTCATCTGAGCTTTATTTTCGAGGATCTTGTAATAATTTGATTACTAATCACCGTACTTAGAGACGCATGCGTCACGCGTCTGTCTCGGACGGGAGTGTCTTATCTTATCCATTAATTTAGATAAAACTCTTTAAAATTTTCCATCAATATAAGACTAGGGAAAGTTGTGACATTAATTATTGCGAAGTTGCCGGGGACCGGGTGCGCATACGCGCCGAAACTAGAAGGCGATGGCCTGACGCGAAATTGAAGAAATCGGAAGACGAGCCCGCCCTCTCGCGTCTGGAGCGCTAGGTCGGGGAACCCGGTGTTGCGTCACGGCCGGCGAAGGTCAGGGAAGCCGGGCCCCGCGTCGGCTGCATTTGCCCTCCAAACGGTGAACCAAAGGGCGAACAATTTACACTTTGAAATGACCTGTTCGTGAACGCTCGCCGATAAAAGACATACATTAACCTGAATATACGCTCTCCGAGTTATGGGTGCTTACCGTTAGGGTTGACAATAATAATACTTTTTAAAACGATTGATTTTGAACTAACGGTAATAATATATATAAATTTAACATTCCGGTCACCGCTTAGTACTCACGATGGAATTAAATCGTCACTCAATCACTACCCTCTGTGTAGAAGTATATAGAGCAAAATAAACTTTAAAAATGCCCAATTCATTTTTGGCCTGGCTACGACAGGAATGCCCACTGCCTCTCGTGACTCACCTTTAGGTACATATTATATTCTAGGTAAATATTTTGATATTATGTAAGGCGCATTCTTTCAAAATGGTTGGTCTATTTTCGTCCGCCTCTATGACTTATTTAGTGATAACGTGCTTCAGTTCTTTACTCACGTTTCTTAACACACTATGGTAGTTTATGTTCCATAAAATTCCATTCGCAAAGGACTAAATATTAAAGGAAAACTGTGTAGCATACTCAAATACACTTTTTCAATGAGAGAAACAGGGAAATACGTTGGATATTGTAATTATTGCGGTTTCCATTTACTATTTTTAATATATCAAACGTTTAATACTACAATTATATATTATGTAAAACCAAAAACAAAAATTTCACAAACACATAGTTGAGGTATTCTCAGTGGGCAGAATACCTACACGTACAACGAAAGTATATCAAACTTAATACATGTTCGTTATTTGCGGTAGCAATTAGATCCGAAGTAATGAGCGCTAATAAGCAATATATGCCAGTTCGCAGGGTGTAAATGCGCGTACCAATTATCGTGATTCACTTTAGTTTCTTTATAAAAAGCACTAGGACGGGTTCTCGTGCGCCGTGTACTAATAAGGACGCTCGCCCTCGGTGCCTCGGACCACTTCAGAAATATCCAGCTAACTTCTATTCTCGTGCTTTCGTCCCGCCGATAACCTGATTCCTTTAAATAGCCTTCTAAACCCAGTCTTCGCTCACCAGGTAATATATAAGCTGGGAAGCCAACGTGGGTTATATAATTAGAACTAAGTTCTACTAGTTGTACATATTTTTTTAAACTAAACGAACCACGACGTAGTTAGAATCTGCGCTGGAATTGTATAAAGAAATTAGTTCTTATTGGTATCTATTTGGTGAATTCAGCCAATGGGCCCTTACTGTCTAGTCTCTCATACGTAGTATCGTTAATCGCACTTTTATTATCAAAATATGTTTAGTATCTCAACTCAATTAACGTACCTCCATCGGAATAACTTTGCAAATTAAATTAACGTTTAATCATCGTGAATAATTTGCGAGTTAGGTCAATCGTTATTTTTAATCGCGTTTCGTCATCGACTGACTTTATTTCATCTTTCCGAGCCAAGCTCATATGAGAAAGTGTCAATTGTTATTATCGCCGTTTTTTTTTTGTAAGGAAAGTTAATATCCACCAATGTACAAATCTAACCATAACTTCAGTTTAAATTATAGGAAATTTCCTCCTTAAATATTGATTTTGACGCAAGTAAAATGTCGATTAAGCCTCTCGTGAATCGCATGCGCTTATCGACCTTGTGTATATTTTCACTAAGGTTCACTACCACTGGCGAGCCTGAACATTTTACTAACACGAGTACTGGATCGCACACACACTCTCAAAAATACAGATATGGTTATGTGTGAAAGTGTAAATGGCTAGCTTCTGACTAGTATTCGATTGCTTATTCGCACTAACGAAACTGGCTCGTGCGTTGAACGTACAGCAACTAGTTACTTTAAAAGTGCCAAACATTTCCATCACCTCTTTTTAAATATACTTTTCCAGTTCGCCATTTTGTATCGACCTCACAAGTTGGTCATCGTAGTATTTTATCAACTTAAGTTTAATGCCTTATTACAAGTATTACTACTAACAGATTCGATCTACTTTATTGCCTACATTAATCAAATAAAACCATGAAAACTGCGGCAAAGAAGACTCGAACCTTAAAATAGCAACATCAAGTTTTTCACCAGAACACATTTCAAAGTATTATTTAATATAAGTACTGGAAATTTACCAAGTTGTCTTCTTAACAATATGGGAAATCTGAACATTGTAACATACGTGATCTCATAGTTTTCAAAACAATCATTTAGGCGTCTTATTTCGTTCAATTCAATTAGCACATTTCGCACTTCAGTTCATTTTGAAAACACCTGAAACAATAATTGAAATGTCATGTATCTATATATTTTGAATATAAATCACATCAGAATTAGTATCTTTGATTAATTGTGATCGATAAAGGAAAGGGGGTGATTCAGACCACAAAAATGTTTCGTCGATAAGGCAACTAGGTTGTTATCAGTACAACGAGAGGCCTATAGTTGAATAAATATGATAAATAAATCCGCCGGGGGCTTAGCGATGGCCGAGTTCGGCGCAACGTCAACGTCAAGGGAACTTCCGGAAGTGTCACATTAGCATTCACGATTAATGGAACGTCACCAACTTCTCAAATCTCTCGACTCGACGAATCGGAGCTTATTCGTGAAATAGAAAGCTGCTTCAACCTGGATTTCTAAATTATTTGTGGGTATATCATGACCCCCATTGTTCGGTCGTAATCGTACCCTTGTCTCTCCGTAAGGACATTACTGAGCTACGACGTGCCGACACTTTCCGAGAGAATATCTCTACCTCGGCCCGACTTCTCCTCGAATCGTGTCGTGTATGCGAATAATTATACGAAAAATTTAATTTTAGCTCTTCGTTTACTTTAATCGTACATAATAGCTCTAATTGTGACAGCCGTAAAAATCCGGGCTCTATTTGACGAGAACTAATTGTTGTATTTACTATTTTCCGTTCGCTTTATGGACGGTTGCGTAACACAAACAACTTGGAAGATTATAATTATTGTAATTTAAATCGAAATTAGCACATTATATGGCGCCATAATGAAGAAAACAAACGATTACGGCAGACAATAATTGAATATCGTCAGTCGGTTAGATCGTAGTGTAGCATAACACGATTAGCGCTCATGAATAATTTGAGCCTGAATTCTCGCTTCGCCTCGCGTCACTCGACGGGGAGGTGGAAATTTTACGAACGGAATTATTTTAATCTTTCACAGAGACGTGACTTTCTCCGCCGACATCCCAGTGTTGCCTTATCGTCTGCCTCTAATGCAACCTTACATTTTCCGCGTCGCTCCTCGACGTGTCGTCATATCGATAACGGTGCGAGTTCAAGCTTATTGATCGAGTAATTCTTTTCAGACGCTTGCCTGAGGTGCCAGGGCGAAAGTAAGAAGGACTCCTACGGCAAGCAAGACTGCGTCGTCGTGTGGGGCGAGTGCAACCACAGCTTCCACTTCTGTTGCATGTCCCTGTGGGTGAAGCAGAACAACCGGTGTCCCCTTTGCCAGCAAGAGTGGTCCATTCAGAGAATGGGCAAATAAGAGGTCGAGAGGTGTTATATTGTTCTAATAAAGGCGAATGCAATGATTCCTAGATTACACAACCTCTAATAGTTTACAGTTACCCCGTTAGCGTTAGGCGATAGGCGCTGCCTATGTTCGTAACCCGTCTAGACTTTTAAACTGTGGCTCCCGCTTACTGAGGTGGACAAAAATATTTGCTAGGTTTGACGCGGACAGAGATGAACGATTAGGGTTCAGATCAATTTGGTAGTTACGTTGTTTTTAATTTATATAACGAGCTTACAGTGACCGAACTCGGAGACTGCGGCGAAAGTTTGAAAATTACGCTGCTATCTCATATCGATATAATTAGTGACGTCATAAAGTGTCAACACATCTCTTCGTACACAGCCTCAACTAATAAATCACAGCAGTTCAAATATCAATTAATCACGATTAGTGTAAAATAAATAGCTCCACTTGTCTTCAATTGTTTGTGTTCAGGTAATCGAGAGCCTGTCAAATATGCCTTTTATTATCTTTTCTCTTCTTAGGCCACTAATCACTTTGGATATAATAAATACAAATATCTCCCGATCTCTTTTAAATTTTAAAACTTTACAAGTAAACTGAGTTGACGTATGAAATTCCTACCACTTCGTACATGCAAAATACAAAATCCAGCCATACAAATAGTTTTACCCCTTAGTCATATTATGTATTGACTATCTTACATGATACACAAATCCTGAATAATGAATTAAACGCTACCGAGATATTAATGTTTATTGTGGACAAATGATTATTAAATAATTCATGCATTTAATAGTATTTGTTATGGCTCCTGCGCAGTAGTCTAGAATGTGGGATGTCATACCTGCTACATTATTCCATTGTAATAATTGCATGTTAATATTATACAGGATCACATCAAACCACTCGCAGTTACGCCTTATGCAATGTACGTCGGAAAAATATTCACGGGTCCAACATTGTTCTAATTAGGTGATTTATAATTTCATTGGAACATGTTGGACTTTGTCTGAAAATCTGAATATTAAATGGCGCACACGCACAGCGCATCGTATTTAGACGGCTGGTGTATTTCATTGTTTGTCTTCCTCTGTCATAAGAAAATAAAATAATTTAAATTAAAAAGGCACACTCTCCATTTGCGTTAGTGAATTTCACTTTCAAACGAAGCCCGTTCTCAAAACAGACCCTGTATACAGAACATACAGAGATACCAAGATTCTGCGCAGTATGGCGTTTGCTGTTTATGTTGGGGAGTTGTAAATTTTATGTAATACGGCTACATAGTACATAGAAATGGAAAAATCCCACGAGACAATTTATGTAAGCGATTGATAGCTACAATGTCATATTAATTTGGACTATTGTAGTCATAAATACAGATGTGACGTGCAGAAACCGATATTTGTTACGATACTCGGAACCCTATCGCAACATTCTCGGACTCAAAATATATCACTACGGGGATAGAAGTGGTATGAAGATATCGCGGCCTTTTTACATAGCTACTCGTTTTTATTATGGACATTCGATTGTCAATTTTGGTTTTTATGACGAATTTGAAGCCGCTTTGCCCTCTGGGGGGTTTAACATATGTAATTACTATAAGAATCTGCGCCTTACGTGTTGAAATTTTATTGTAAAACTTAGATACAGGTTGGAAGGCGACATGAAACAAAAATATAATTTATACATGGAAAACCTGATTATAAGCTGTAGATTTCGGGGTGGAATGTTTCAGATGTTTACAGAATAATAATAATAATAATCTAATAATATTTGTATTCCAAAATGTGTGGTGTCAACAGTCGAAGAATAGGACGATGATTTCAAATAAAAAGTTTGCTTTATCGTTACCCTTAGGTCCCGCAAAGACTTTGTTGAGAACGAACATCTTGGGAGAAAGACATTGACATCGTGAAGTTAATTAACCTAAATTCTCCTCCAAAGATAGTAACAGACGTCTCAAAGATTATTAACGGATTTGCCAATAGATGCTACTTGTGCAAAGTAAGTGCAGAAGTCTTCGTAACTCAGTATATTATTTTATTTTTAATGGCCGTCTCCAAATACAAGCTGTGACCTCGCCTGCCTGAAGGTACATGTTTTCAAAGATATGAAAAACCGTGAACGATAAGTTATTTTAAAAACATTTTATTCTTTAGCGTTATTACTGCATATTAAGTATTACTTATAGTTCGCACATTAGTACCAACTGATACTAAATAATTTTAACACTCCTACGACGATATGACAATATAATATATTTTAATGTATGTAAGATTACTTGTAACTACTATGCAATGCTGACTGGCAGAATCATTTTACGACCTAGATTTTGAGGGCGTAATATAAGGTTTACGTGGCACTAATCGAGATCTAAGTCTATAAACAATAAATAGCTGTAAAGGATGGAAGTGGGTCACTGCAACGGTCAGTGGCGCCGGACTCGTTGCGGCGAATGAAAGAATATACATCGTCGTTATGGGATAATATGGTGTTATCTTCGACATTAGGGACACCGTCCATTTTTAGTCTCCGAGGCCGCTGCGACGCATCCGAAACGTCGGGCCTTTGAAAATATTTAATGTAAAGTGTAAATAATATGGTTTCGTTCAAAAGACATCAAAAAGTCGTAAACAACGCACAATACCGAGAGAGGAAAACGTCAGTAGCCTGTACAAGATAATTAGTCATCAATTATTCATCATTATGAAGGAATTAAAGGACGCATTACTTACCTTATTATTAAACATCACTTTGAGACTGACACGTATCGTTCCAGTTTACTTAAAATGAACTTTATTCGAATAAGTAAACCATTGTACGTACCTATTACTTCTATAAAATAATTTTTTTTTTTTATATTATTACTCTTTGACATTGTATTAAGCATAATAATTAATGATTATCGAAGTTATTACGTCGACTTTACATTTTTTATCGTGATAAAGAAATATTCAAGTTAATCGTATCCGGCGCGGTTAGGACTGCTACGTCCCAAAGGACCAGTGTGCGAGGAAATCATTCAAGTGAATTTACAGAAATGATAATGTTCTGTCTACATGTCGGCAAAAAGGATCGAAAAAGTGAACATTTTTCACGATGTAGACGGACACGTTCCGCCACACCCGGCCAGGCCTCCGGAGGCAGCCAATCGCAGGCCTCCGACGCTAACTGTAGTCTAACTTTCAACGAACTCAGCCTTGGAGGCGAGCTATCGTTGCGTCAGCCAGACTGAACACTCGGCGATATGCGGTCGATATCGATTCCGGCGAAATATCCATATTTTTGCATTACATAGAGTTTACACGTCATTAGCTTCTCCGCGTTAGCTGGAAGAAAAGTAGGTAGCGTCAAAGATTTTAAATAAATTTGATTGCAATTAATAATATTGAACCTTAAAAGTAATTTTTGCGAGTGCGTTGCCGAACCGATGACCTTCGCCTTAGGTACGAAAAAAATCTTCCGCGTGTAGCTTATTTCACAAAAAAACTTTAATGCCCCTATTGAGTCGAATAAAACACTGGGACCATTACATGTGGAATATGCAATAAGCGTAAAATAGGAAGTCCTGGGAAATATGCAATTTTCTCATCATGCCAACGTGCATACCTGCTATTACAGAAGCATCTCGTAGATCAATATCGATTCGCAATTAATAGATGCAATAACGTGACCGTGAAAAACTGGCAACTAGGTTTTTGAATTTAATTCGTGTGAATCTCATTGTTTAACTTCTTGGTCATTCAGCCTAAACTTCTATATTGTTTCTGAGCCGAATCGGTCTTATTTGTCGAAGTGCTAGGTGACGCGTTTGAACGTATCATTATCGTATGTACAACAAAAAGAATATTTAATTATTCGTTGATAATGATTTTCTTAGTCCGGACACCCGTAATTTCCCACTCGGTGGTTGCATAAGTGGATGTTTATGAAACGGAACGCTCTCGCATTGCGATGTCGCCATTTTGTGCCGAACAGTTGTAACAGAAGATGCTAGAAACATCGTTGAAAAAACTCGTGGTGAAGACAAAATCAAAACAAATAACTGCACAAAATATGCCTATCCTGCCGTTGTATATACTGAAATTGACTAAATCGACTATTATCTGAATCATTCGAAACGTACTCATAATACCATTGTTTAATCTTATTGTTGGTTTAATATGTGCAACTTCCTACACGTAACAAAGCCGGTGTTATCTTCGCTATTTGCATACTATTATATCAAAGGATCCTACTTCCATATAGATAATAACTCGAAACAAGCACTCGTTATGCCCCACACGAGTGAATCTCGAAGGAATTTAGATGTTTCGATTGTTTATTGTGTCTCTAGTCCTATGGGTCTCGAGCTCAAAGTGGTCGTTTAAGATTCCGTGTCCATTGTCGCATAAGTATTATAATTAGTCTGGCAAAAGATAAGTAACTAACGATATAGCATGCGTGCACATCGCATATACCGCTGCGCAGTTTATGTAAGTGCCTTTACACGTTATTATATAATTGCAAAAATAACCAATAAATACCTTGATCCTCGTAATATTATCTTGTGGTCGTCGTATTTAATAACATTCCCTGCGTGTATGTCGTTACACGTTATTTCTATTATCTTTGTTAATTGTGCGGAGAACATCGTTTCGCGAATAAGTCAAATTCCTCCCACAATTACTACTTATTCTACGATCACTATCAAACACTCTGGTATATCTGGATCATTTGCTGTAAAGAACTCCCACTTAAACCTTGTCCCTCGGGAGGAAGTCAGGAAAACGTAAGACCTTCTAACTCTGGAGAATATACGTGGGAAACTAAAACCTATAAATAAAAAAAAGAATAACACTAATAATATAAGCACGATGTGTTTATAGTATTGCAGGTATATCTTATGTAAGTGCTATTAAATACGTATAATATATATAAATAATTACGATTATTACGTTATTTATATATAATATATAAATGTAATAATATAAATGTATATTTATAATCAGCTGTTATCGACTTCACTTGCGCATACGTGTTTCACTGAATTTGCAAGTTAAATGCGCGCTCCTTTAACCTTTGTAGTCGAATTATTGCATTCGACCTGAATAAGTATATAAACAAGAGGCTCGTTCTACAGTCGCGGGCCCTAGAAGAAAAGCCAGGACAAAATAGCGCATTTGAGGTTTGAGAAAATCAACGAAAGGAGGTGTGTCCAGGTCGTTGACGTCGAATGCCGCGAAAGTGAACTCGATGTCGTGGATACATCGGTCGGGAGAAATGGACAGCAGGTGCTGTATGCAAACCAGTCGTAGGATTGTTGAACGAGAACCAAATCAGTGCCTAGAGTTGGCGACCATTGCTACGGTTGCATCACAAATACGACACGTTGGAAGCCGACGACCTCTAACTGTGGCATTATTTTTAGAAACCTAATTCTAGAATCCTGCTTAACAAAATGGCCGACAAGCATAAACTTTGTTTCTTTCGAAAATGGTTTCTGTGCCGCCAAGTAATTAATTTCGCTCTAATTTGAAACTGAACACTTAAAAAACGTGTTTGAACATTATTTAAAATGGACTGTATAACAATAGACTCGTTATACGGTACTACACGGTAGTTTAATTAATTTTATCGACATTTTAAACCGGTTGAAGTGATAAATGTATGTAGGTTGTTAAAACCTTTTAGAGTTTTTAGTAAAAATTTCGTGAATCTTAGAGACATCATTGTATTTACTATTTAAATATTATGTACACTAAAATTGTCTCTTTTCTTATTCATTTGTTTTTATAAAAAGAATTAATAACTATCATCATATTTTGCGAGCTAAAACAATGTGCCGGTGCAAACAAAATGATTGAATTAGTTATTCCGCTCGACATTTATCCTGTAAATTAGTTTGTATCACAATTCGTAATTATTAATGCGGAATTTCGTAACAATATTAATAATTAGGTATTAAACAATGGGAGACTATCGCTTCCAACTCTGACGCAACAGTAATCTGTGGCAGCCCGCGATTGGTGGACTCCACCGAGCCCCCGCACGTCACCCGACACCGGCTGCCACAAACACTCGTGACTAAAGTCACACTTCACTAATTATTATATTTTGCACAATAATTACTAATGCCACTCTGTTATCTCATTTCGTCATTTCTTCGAAGAAAGCGACTTCCTGGCCACACCTACCGAACGGTGAGTACACTTTTGCAGGAACCTTGCAGAGTGAATAATTTATCACCTTCGTTGTTTGCTTTAAAGAAGTCTAGATGTTTCATATTTCATTTCATATAATATGTATCATTACTTATCTTAATTTTACAATCGTCTCGAATAAACTATAATTCAACCGTTTTCAATTAGATGTACACGCGAAAACAATTAGCTTCGGACGACAGTTTTAGTGGGTAAAAACACGTGATCATCGGCCTTCAGAATTATCGAAAGCACGAAGGAGGAAGGAAACCACGTGCATTGTGGGTGTGTCGCTTCACCACACGTTAGGTGCGTCAAACTGTATCGGAACATTTGTTGGGCTAATATTATTTATTCTTACTAATGGGGATTTAACCTCTAATAAATCCAGCTCGCTGACATACGTCGTTTCTTGCTCTTCCACCTTAAAGGGACCGGAATACATAATAGAAAATACGCGTCTTAGAGATGATAAATCGCTAGCAATTACTGATATTTGAAACGGTTCTGTGAATAAGAACCACCTATCTGCTTAGTCAATTTTATTTATTAATTATTTTTATAAAATGTATAAGTTCAAGGGGAGTGTTTTAAATTTCTTTTGATTCAAAATTTCTGTTAATATTGACTTTATGACACGTAATCTTCTCAGCTGAGGTGTGGAATAAACGCGCGTGAGATTTTTTAAAATTGATATTATTAGTAGTTTTCATGAATTCATCTAAGATGCATTTAAAAGTGCAATTGATAAAACATAAATACAGTTTCGAAGCGATATCTTAGTCTCGCTGTAAGGGATACTTGAAACGCCTTTCGCAAAATTACAAAGAAAAGACACCTTGATGCGGTGATAAATAATAGTACAACAATTATTATAGGTTTTAAACAAGCGAGTTTCTCTTTTTCCTCAAGACATAAATCGACATCACAGCTATATAGAGGTATATATTTGTCATTAGCAATTCTAATTACTTTTACAATGCTATTTTGCTACAAAGATTGTAGAGTTACATCGTTGCCGGACGAAACCGAATATTTTCTTTGAATATTCATTGGCGAAATAGCCCTGACAATAGACTGCAAAAAAGACTGTTTAAAACGATTCAACTCATTCGCGGGAATCGTCTCGCGCGCGCCAATAACCGTGGGGGTCAATTGATCCGAAAAGTTCACAAAAAACCTAATTGACAATAATAAAGAATTATTATTGCTGGACTTCAACCGATCTGCGTCAACCGTTTGCTGACGTCATCGCTTCGAGTAATTGATGCAGTGGTATTAATGAAGGCCAGCCGTTCCTATCTGGACGCACACCGGTTCAAATATGCTCATGAGCTGACGGGCGGCCCTGAAAGTTCACTTTATAGATTTCCTAAGTTCTCGCGTCAGAGGAGTTGAACCAGCTCTACCGCGTTTGCATACTTTTCTATTTCCTGTTGCTGTACTATTACTAACTTCTAAAACCTACAGATTAGCACTGAAACTCCCTTATACGACAGATAACCAGGGGGTTAACTTTATAAAAGATGAAATACCCAGCTCTGTAACATCTTGGTAAGTAAACAGCGTCGTCGACGAATTTTGGCTTTGGACATTAGGAATTTTAAGTTCAATTATGTCTAGCCCATAGCAACAAAGTGCTTACGTCAACGGATTAAGAGATGATGCCTCCAAATTACTTATTCAATTTTAATAAAATGAATTAAATGTGCTCGACCACAAAAACTTATTCTTACATATTCTAATTTTATAGAAGAACTAGAATCTCAACCCCACTGTTTCGTGGTATACCTAGTGAATGTGATTCAATTTAAGAAGATAAAAGAGAAGGTTTTAATGCTCTCAGAACCTCATCGTACACCACTGTAGTAACGAACTCGAAAAATTCCATCGCGGTGTTGTATCCAATGATCAAATCGCTGAAAATAAAAATGACATGCCCAATTGAGTCCCACATTTGAAGTGAGTGTTAATAAAACGCGTACGAACACTATGAGCAAATAATAAAAATGCTTCGTGTATCAATCGTAACATGACCTCCACTCGCACACGGGCAGCTCGAGCACACGCGAGCAGTTAGAGGCGTGTTCGTGTACGCACGAGGAAGCAATCGTCACGACGTAGACCACCACAAGCGAGACGCGAGTGTGTGCGCGTTCGAAGAATGCGATTCGTTTGAAAAGGCGCCAGCGGACACGTATGCCAGTCACCTGACCGTCGCGACGAAGCCTTCTGCAACAGCGAAACGTTCTTTAATGCACGTATAACACATTCCAATGTGTACCGTAAGTGTACGCTAGCAAGACGCAGCGGAAGGCGAACCCGAAAGGAGTAGTGTTGTAGAGATGAAATAAGCTTGGTCAGGAATGACGATATTCCAGTTATGATTTGCGACGCCGCGCCAGAGGCGCCCGAGTTAAACCTAGCGCCTCACACCTTAAGGCGCACCCCGAGCGCACGTAGATAACATTTATCAACGAGACATAAATAAAGACGGACTATTTTTAGGTGAACCTGCAATCGGTGTTATAAAGCCAATATTTGAATACTAAGTGTAGATAATAAAACGAAAGTCATGCCTTGTCATCTCCCGCGAGAATGTCGTGAAATACGTTTGATATTGACACTTATTATATTCAATTAGTATTTTCGATGTCTGGTAATTTGCCGAACAAATAGCGATGGGTGATATCTGGATACTTGTAGCCAAAGTCAGCTATGTGATAACCAGTTTCAAACCCACATTAACGCATTTGTTTGCTCAGTTATTAGTGAGGCTTAATTTAAGGCCATCTTATATACGATGTCCTTAATTGAAACTGCGTACATTAAATATTAGAAAGGAAATCCCACGACCACTCGTTCAATGGCAAAATGTAATGGTTAACGTTGAAGCACTAAAGCATTTTTGTTTTGAATATCCTTAAAATTGGTCAAAACAAAGAAAAGAACACATCTTTACTTTTCGAGTTATACTAAAATAAAATAAAAGTGAGATTTTGACCCCGACGTGATTTGAACACGCAACCTTCTGATCTGGAGTCAGACGCGCTACCGTTGCGCCACGGAGTCCATACGTATGATATTAAAATTGTAGATCGGTTACTTTGACTCTCCTAGTAATAATAATATCAATCACAGTATTGATTATGAAATATCCTTTTGTTTTTTAATATAATTCTATCATAAACAATATAGGTAAGCAACATATGATTACTTATATTAATTTACTCTTATTGATTATAACGCCATCTTCAAACGGATTCGAGAAACAGTAACAACAAAGGTAAGTAACAAAGTATTGCAATTAAATTACATATATTCTTTGTGGTGAATTTATGAGACAAGTCGTAACGTACTTTGATTAGGAATAGTCCCTAAACTAAATAATAATCGTAAATAAATCATAACATAATAATGTCCGTTAAATTGAGCATTCATTGCACAAGCCCCTGTGGCCTAATGGATAAGGCATCGGCCTCCTAAGCCGGGGATTGTGGGTTCGAGTCCCACCAGGGGTATTATTTATTTTTATTTTGTTTCTTGTCTTGATACAATATTAAAATGTACCAGATATTTACAAAAAATAGTGCCAACTTAAATATTGTTAAGTAAATTCAATCAAATACTGTCTATAGGTTACGCGAGTAGTACACACTTAAATAAAACACTTTAACGGCGGTTTAAAACGCGATATATTAGTTAAACTTATATGAAAATGAGACTGTCAGTCTCCCCGTGACCACGGCTGCTGCAAAGCATCCGAAACATCAGGCCAAACTTAAAAATAATTTTCAAATAAGTTTAACTAATATATCGCGTTTTAAACCGTTAAAGTGTTTTATTTAAATTCAATCATCCAAATGATTTCGTTTTCAATGTTCACTAAAACAAATATTCTATTATCTTTTGTAAATAGAAATTTTGTTTCCTGATTTTATTTAGTAAATGCATTTATATACTCGTTTTATGTACAGTTGAATAAGTCAGGGCTAGAAGTCGACAAAGCAAAGAAGTTCTTGTATCCATTATGATTTAATTAAATACACTAACGAGATCAAGATAGAAAGCCATAAAACTTTCCAAATGGGCGCCGGGCGGACAGCTGATCCCAAGAGTGGTAGACAGCGCAAACCTGAATGCTGCAGGTAATAGCCCACTTGGTGCGGAAAACGGCATTCCACGTCTGAAAATTATTAACTGCATGTTATTGTTCTTGAGACATTAAAAAAAATGTAAAAATATGATTTCCTCTTTTCCGCTATATGCCTAAAAAGGATAGATCTTCTTACGTGCGCAGAGGTTCTGCGTAGACGATGCGGTGACAATAAAATTGGCCGGGGGGCAAAAGTCCGGCGAAGGGCAGGGCTGCGTCAAGTTGAACGAAAAGGCCTCTCTCTCGGCCACGGCTCGGCAGGAGCGCGACGTCTCCGCGCCGCGCCACATGCACACCAAGATGCGACCTTGGCCGTCGTTACGAAACTGGAACACGTCCATAATGTCAATTTGAGAAACAGGTCCGTTGCAACATTCACTTCACTCGAATCGTGACTTCGAAATCGATCTTTAATCCGGATTGGTGGACGCCAACAACTAATTACAACTATACTATTTTTCACATTGCATATGACGGCATTATGTAAATTAATTGAAATTTACGACACGGGCGGGACATAAACCGTCAGTCACAGCGTTCCGTGCTACTCGAACCGATTGAGCTGCCAAATCAAAGAAATATTTTTCTCATTGTAAATAAAATTTTAATGTAACTGAAATAAAACTAAGTTTAGGTAACCATATCTGAAAGTCATTCAGGTATAATATATGTCAATAAAAGGGCCTTTCTTCCGCTCCCAATGAATTGTATCTTAAACGATTGCCTCATAGATTACCTGCACTTGGATCGAGGCCTGCTGCCACAGATAAAATGGGTGGATGCGGTACGATTGCTCTCGGGAGGGCAGAACGAAGTCCTCGTACGGGACTTGTGCGTACTCTGTACCGTTGAAAGCGCACTGAGAGCCCACGATTCGCGACGGTATCACGTTTTTGAGCAGATGCGTGTCCACGGCGGAGGCGACGTCGCCGACGGATGTAGACGAGACCTTAAACAAATAGCAGGAAAATCAAGGTCATTAGTATAAGGAAAAAGACATTGGTGATTGTATTTTGGGCTTCGTATAGATAGTCCTCTAATAATCTTTCTAGAGCCGAAAAACATATTATTTTCCGAGTGTGACAGGGAAAATCTGGTGGGTGTGTTCTGGCAGAACTTAAAATGACGTATGCACATACCCTGAGGAACTACCATCGCACTCTACTGACCGTTAAAAAGAGCTCCGAGTAGTCCATGTATTCGTTGTTTATGTTTTTCAGATCTGATGCGTCCTGAGCTGCGTAGGCGAAGAACACGTCGAAAAAGCTGGACCTGAGAGTTCTCATCAGCGACCTTGTGGTCTCCAGTTCCTCGGCCGACAGACGATCCGTCGGAGTCACCACGAGTACCACGGTGGTGGGGCCGGCGCTACGCATTTCGGAAATGTCTTGCAAAGTTGCGTTGCGGGTGCGTTGGAGGATCGACGACACTACGTTTGGGAGGTTTAGGCGATTCGGCCCTGCAATGCACATGTGCACACAGTTCATTCAATTCTATCGAATAAAGTTAAGCTATAGGAGAAAATATATGATCAATACAAACAGGGCTGACGGGCTCGTCGGTGTAATGGGAGCATTGTATGGCCAATAATAGATAATAATCAAGGGAATGGTGGTTTTGATCCCCACCAGGTCCAACATGTCACAAACCAATTTACAAAAAAAGGAAGGTGGATATTGATGTGTAGTAGGAGTGTCGAAATTTCACCGGGCCCGTGTATCAAGTCATGTCATATAATAGCGGTTTCCAGCGAATAGTCTTACATCCGTCGGTGTAGTTGGCGATGGCTGTGAACAACGCGGTGAGGTTGTGGGCGCGCGGCACGATCCATTCGCCCGTGTTGCCGTGCAGCAGGGCTACGCTACTCTTCTGCATATTTATCTCGAGGCTGCCTCCGATCCACCTGAAGAACGGACACATAACAGGCACAGTCAAACAACTGTTACTGAAATAAAAACCTGTCTCTACCCCAAGCACAAACTAAAGCAATGTGTTAAATACTTGTATTTTACAATTTTAGAATAATTGTTCATTAAAGTTAGGATACAAGTAAAGATAGTATTAAAGTACAGTTAATAAAACAAAGGGCGAAACTCGGGATGGAATCATAAATGGTTCTAACTCACGACAAGAACTGTTGAACTCGGTATCCATCCCAGGAACTGTCGGTTGCAACGATCAGGTCCATAGTGGGAATGTTTCTGCTGGCAACGCAATCTACGTGGTACTGCTTCAGTACTGAAGCTGGAAAGACATCCAAAAGCAATTTCATAACATATTTAATTGCTTTTAATTAAATACTTTTTGTAGATTTTGTTTTTTCAAAATTTCCGAAGTCGGTGATAACTAATACTAACAATCTTCTTTTGTTTAAACTTTTTACACATTTACATAACATCTATGTACCCAAGGTTCGGTACAACCTTTCGCATCGCCATTCTATACATAACTAAATAGTATCGATACCTACGAACATAGTCCATGAAGGCGGAGACGGCCGCGTCCGAGATCCTGTTCATTTCCTCGAGCGGAATGTAAACGGTGACCTGCCTCAAGGCCAGCACGTGGGCGAGTCGAGACGTCTCCCTGAACAACACCTCCCTCGTGACTACTTCGGAGAACAAGACGTGTCTGTTGCAAGCGCGCACGTTGGGGTCGAACGAGACCCCCTCATTGGAGTAGTACATCTCGACAATTTGCGACAGACGTAGCGTTCTGCGTTGTGCCACCCACGACGGCACGTGCTGCGCTAAAATTAATCCTGGAAATAATACGGCATATTATGTTAATTAGGAAATAATTCTCCTTTAAGTATAACTTTTTAATTATAAATATTCTTCCAGTCGAAGCCGAAGACAAAATCAACCGACCGTCGATTCCCGCCAAAATTTCGGCGTCCGTCATATGCCAATCGGCCGAAGTCGCATTCGGCATGAGCAAGTAATAGTCTCTCGGGAGCAGCGTGTCGTTCCACTTGTTAATCGAACCTATGGTCATCCGTTGCGGTGCAGCGCCCACTCTGACGCCAAGATTTACCACTACCTCTGCAAGGTCACCTGAAATGGAAACAAAGTTCATAGTAGAGACATTATATGCGGTCTAAATCAATAACTCATACTGACAACACTACATACAAGGGCGGAACCACCTTCGCTGCCAGGAGGGGGTCACATAGTCATGTTCAAGTCTTTACCTTTCATTTAATTTTGATAATTAAATAGATACAAATGAAAAGTAGGTATTTTATTAATGTATATACATAAACATACTGTACTTCAAAATATGCATTCTTAGTTGTACACTTGAAGAAATTACATAAATTACATGTATTTACAAAGTATTATGTAATTTCTTCAAGTCCTGGAACCAGCTCATCCAGACCATCATTCTGGATCAGCGGTCGCCAGCGACTGCATATATCTATAATTATACTCATATAAAAATCAAGATTACCGGCTAAAGTAGCGACCCAAACGTTGCTTATGTCGGAATCGGTTCCATTTTCGTTCAGCTCTAGTCTCTCCAGCTTGGAGTCCCATTCTCTGAGAGCCATATCGAGAATCGTCGTCGGTATCTCTTCTTGGAACAAGTTAGTTTGTAGTATGTCAGTAACAAATACTTGTTGAGTTTCTAAGGAAGCAGCGATGGCTGCAACTACGGTGCCCGGCGCAATAGCTCCCCAAGGACTCTGAATAACGCCGTCTTCGATGGGGCACCTGCTGTACAGTCTGAAAATTTTACGCCACAAAGAGTTATTAAGAATATATTTATTTTAGATAACTTGGTAAAAGCGTATCTCTTAAGTGAATATTAGGAAATGAACTATTTGTATAATAAAGCAAAATGTCTGAACGTTTTTCAATATCTTCATAGCTGTCCTAGAGATGACAAGGTAATCAACACATGTACAAAGCACACACCTACTTGCACTGGTCGAAGCCATATGTTGCCTCCTCTCTGCCGAGAGGGGGCACACGATGTTCTCGTCGCCCCTCTCCCACGGCCGAACCGAAGAACTCAGAACCTTGTGCAGCAAACATTTTTCTTCTAGAGACAACGTCTCGTCCGCGACTATCAGGTCTTGGCTGGGCAGAAATAAGTCCATGAGCATTTTATACTTGTGGAACTGGAAGGCCGACGCCCGGTACGGCAGCAGGAACTCCGATTCGAACACATTCGCCGCTCTTTCGATGCCGTCTAATCGTAAACTGAAATGAAGAGAAATTCATAAAGGTAATTCCCCTTAGGACCCCTAGAAAAAGCAAAACAGAACGATCTGTACCTTCTCAATAGTGATGTGCTGAATAACCGTAAATCCAGACGACTCTCTAGTTCCAGACGTCTGACTAAGTTCAGAAAGACGTCCAACCGTTTGGGCGCTCCCGGCGCTGGCCCTCCGCCTCGGTAACATTCCAGTAAATGTGTTGGAATGCTTGACAATAGCTCGGAAACACAAACTATACAGTAAATATGATTAGTTTGAACATTTCCTTGCGATTAGTCATACAGTCTATGTAACATTCAACTCATTCAAAGATTGTTTTAAAATATCGCTTCTTTTATGTTGTAATACATCGTTATATAAAAGACAATACGCAAAAAAAGCATTGTTTATTTTTTTTCGCATACTATAAGGCCTATTGTCTAATTAAATACACAACAATATAAGGTTACTTACTGTGAATCGATGCAAATAAAAGATAGAGAATTTTCATTATTGTAACAAATTATGTTGTCATTATTAAAGTGGGGTCTCTGAAAACGTCAAGGTATTATCTTGCATAGATTGGTTCAGATAAGATAATAGCATTGGGTAAGTAGGGCGTTGGGCAGGACATTAACCACGCGACAAAAAAGGTTATAAGAGTTCAGAACAAATTTTTTGCAAAAATATTTTTATTTAGTACAAACTGTTACTATGCAGGAATTGTACAAAAACTAACATCTACATAAAGAGTTAAAACATTTTGTTCAACATGCATGCATGTTATATCTAGAATTTTTATTAACATTTCAATACAAATTTGAAATAAAATACAAAATTGCGCTTTGGTTTTGAAAATCTCTTTTACTATAATTGCCTCAACGGGAACTTGGCAAACCTAACTATAAATGCACATAACAGCTATCGTATTTTTAGATGTAAAATCTTTTGCTTTTAATGTTTGAAATACTGCATTACTTAAATTACCTTTTTGTAGTCCATATTGTCTTTTGTGCTCTTGTTTAAAAACTTCTTTTTTTAATACAAATATCTACTATTTTGATTAAAAAGAATAGAGTTACAATAAAATAATACCTATTGACTGTAATTGTATTGTGAATTTTTGTGTATACTTCAAAATTAATTAGTTTTACCCTCTATAACTGAATCCCATATTATTAGCGACCTACAGGATCTTTTCCTTTGTAATTGTAATCACATAACTTTACAATTATAAATGTACACATCCTGGGTTATTATAAGTAAAGCAATTAAATGATATCAATGTAAAGGTATTCTCACACTTTCCAAACACTCACAAGGAAATTCATACGTGCAATTGTAATCCACCTCTATCTTAGTACCAACTTGGCCGGTTTGCCATCAACTAGACGTGATGAACCGTGCTTGAGGGTGAATTCTCTCTTTAAATATGCAAACATCAAGTCTGTGATAAGAAATATTTGTGCTGTCGCAAATGAAAGAGTCACTCCAAAAAAGAAGTTTGCATTTGCTGATCCAGAATATATCCAAAGGTGCCACACGGTCGGTCCTAATGCTGACGTTATGATAAATGCGCAGCCTACTATAAACTTTTGCTGCATAACTGAAAATTAACAAAATATCATTTATACACACATACCTGTCATAACTAAAAGGCACGGGTGCAGGGTGAAATGTATACTGACAGTTAAATAAATGCTTCCATATAGGTAGAAGGGCTAAATAAAATCCAACATCCCCAATACACGGGTAGGACCTAAATATTGATGAGAGAGCAATGAGTACTGTTGCCAATAAAACAGGTTCGTCCTTAAACCTCAATGTCAAGGGCACAATGTATAGAATCAGAGCATTTATTTGGAAAGCACACACAAAGAGCAGTCGAAAATGCTCAAACATCTCTGTAAAGAAGTACCAAAACAATCCTATGTTTGGTTTGAGATCGGGAACATTTAATCTGAAAGTGAAAATAAATTATTTTAATTGTAATGTCAGATTTGTAAAAGTGATTTACATAAAATTTATCTTAAATATGTACTTACATAAAACCATATGTATTATAAACATAACTATATGATCCATCCATTATATATGCCGATATGTAGACTAGAAAACCCCAACACACAACAAAGACTAAAAGAGTTCTGATATAGGAGCACTTGTTGCAGCCTTTACTTTCATCCGCTAATAATATTGACAAAGGTACAATTAACGTAACAGGATATAGAGCTTGATGGGTAGCGAGTGCAATAAAAGCACAAGCGAGTAACCTATGACCACTAACGGAGCCCCACAGTGATACTGCTAACAGCAAATTTTGAACTACTGTGGTTGTCATTCCAACACAGTTTAAAACTGAGTAAGGATTGAATAAGTATACTGACAACACATATTCTGGCACTTCCTTTAACTGGGAATCGGACAAAAGCAATGTTTTTGAGTCAGTGGCTATATTTTCAGAGATTTTTCGTTGACTATTCTTGAAGACTTTGACGAATATAGAAGCAGTCTTATAAAGAAAGTACGCTGTTAGAATGTCCATAAATGTAAATATTGCAGGTAAAAGATATGGTGTATACTTTAGGACACCGTAGAAGAATATAAGAAGCAGAGGCGATTCATGAAAAGAGTCACCTTCGTAAGGATTGATTTTATGTTCATATAAATAAATTCCTTCGATCAACCTCTTCCACGAGTTCAAAGGCGTCGCTATTTCGACTCTATTAGATAAAGTTTGCCAATAGTCCGTGTGAATGAGCCAGTATCTTACGAGGCCAGCTACAATATATTTTAAAATCACAGCCATTATCGCTTTTGTGATTCCAGAGCTTTCTCAACATTTAATATTGGCAGATAATTATTTTTGTTTGGTCACAACTATGGTATCTTTTCTTATTTCGTTTGTTTCGGCATTGTTATACTATGCTATTACTTTTTTAAATAATTTTATTTACAGAGGTTTTCGACTTAAATTTGACAGTTGACAGATATGAGCAATGACTGTGAGAGGCCTCTACCACAGATATTCATGATTATTTTTTTTTTACTTTTTTTTGAAAATGATTAAAACTGTATTGAGCCTCGAATACTAACCGGACGTTATTTTTTTAAAGAGCTGGGAAAACATTTCAATTTCATGAGTATTTTCCTGTACAATATTGAAACAATTAATTTTATAATAATAATATTTATATCAATTTAATGTAAGTACCTCTGTAATAAACTTGCACGTCATTTTTTTTTAAATTGCCTTGTATTATTTGTTTTTTTCTTGTTCTATTTGCATTTTTTCTTTTAACTTATTTGATTCCTTTTTACAACAGAAGAATACATTGTCACAGGTTAAAAAGTAAAGAAGAGTGGCTTGAGAGCATCTACCTGTGCTATATGGTGACGAAGTTTAAGCTATAAGTTATTGTCGGTGAATCATTAAACACAGTTGAAAATAACAATTTCATTTAAAGGGGGAGATATATATAGTGGGTTAGTTTTGTAGCTTAACACAACACTTGGATTCGCTTCTTTCTATTTCATATTATATGGCACAATAACAGCCGCTGCTATTACTTACATCACTAAATTTTTATTAAATTTTATACATATTTTTCTATATTATTATTCGTTGTTATACGAATATCTATAAAATATTGTACTTAAAACAATACATATTAATGTCGTGTTTAATAATTTCAATCAAATTTGATTAATCAATAACCTTTAATATGTCAATAATTATATTTCGTTTCTTTTTGGCGATTTGAAATGTTTAAATAAAACACTTTAACGCTTTAAACCTTAAAGTGTTTTATTTAAATGTGTACTACTCGCGTAAACTATAGAAGGATTTGAATTGTTATTTAGCTAATTCTATCGACAGGTTATACTATTAGATTACAACATACAGCTTTTTGCATCTATAAAAAAAGTTTAATTTAAAAACTAGAAATAACAGCTTATGAATATATTAATAGAGAAGATATCATATATCTTAAGACTTATTGGGAAACAACGTATCATACGGCACTTTTAGAAATATCTTGTTGGCTATACGAATGCCAATTTTATTCCAGTTGCTCTGGGCAAATGGTAAGAATTCTTTGTATAAGGGACGCCAGTTCTCGTTGGTAATTCTTATGCCCAAGTCCGCTAGAAAACAGAGTCCAATATTATCATAAGTATATTACACACCATATATTATCTAAAGATCTCATTATCGAGATAGAAACTTACTTAGGGGCTTGCTTTCTGGATTTTCATTTGTAAGGAAGGTTGTCATAGTGCCTACATCGGGCCGCATATAAAAGGATATGATCCTCACGTACATTATTCCGTTAATGACTTCTGGTTTGCCATCGAGTTTCCACGTATAAACCAAATCGGCTAAAACGTGACAAAAAATAAAAAAATATTGTTACGATTGTACTGACAGGTACACTGAGATAATACTCACTCATTGAGGTATTGAATAGTCCGTTAGCAAGAATCTTCAAGGAGTTGTAACTACCGCCACCTTCGTATTTACCATTGACGACTACATTAGGCGTAAACATATCGACTTCTAAATGAAAATTATCTTCGTCTGCCTTTAGTCTGAAATGATTGTGAGCGACAATTAGACAAGAAGAACAGGGGTGGCGTGGATAACCGATTGTTAGTTAATTTAAAATTAACTCAAACCGTAGATAACTACGGGTGAGACTATGCATGTCATTACGTTAATTACAGATGTAGGTAATTGTTAACCTTGACCATCACCCTTCAAATGCACTAAGGTTATGCGATTATATTACACTTCAGTAAGTTCAAACGTACGGGCGTACAAAAAGTTATCTTCTCTAACGAGATATATGCGTTACGCCACTGATTTTGATTTTATATTTCTTAGATCTCGTACGAACCTCGCATCTTTCACGGTAGACGCACTGAGACCCGCGACAAAGATGTCGCTCATAACCATTTTTGCTTGAATCTGAAATATAAAGTTGACACTGCGATCATTCTATCGCTCAAAATATTAAAGGAGCTTGAAATAAAATTATTGACTTATAGCGATGATTCGTTGAAAAATCTATTTAAGATTGAAAAAAATTGATTCGGGCGGGATTAGAAGTCACGACCTCGGCGATCCCTACACGGTAGGTCTGATTTAATCAATGTTAACAGAGTCTCAATGAGGACTTTAATTGCTGCAATTTTTTGTTAATCAAGGTCCGGAGCATACAAAGCCTTTATTACTTTTGTACGTTTTGAAATAAAACATTGTTACAACAGCACGTATGTGTTGAATTTTTATTTTATTACGAGAGGTCAAACAAGTTGAACATCACCTTGAAGTTTTTACAGAGAAATGTGTGTCTTGTACGATACAACTAACGCTTACTACGTAAAAAGAAGGCTGTACGAATTCGACAGTAGTGATATTTATCGGCTTGGAACAAAACACTGGCCAGCTGGTCCATGGTGATTCGGTGGAATTATTGAATTTGAAGCACGGTTTAGTTAAAAAGAGATTGCAAAATAGATATTTTAGTTTAAAAGCCCATTTATAGTTAAGTGACTCGTTAGAAGTAAAATGTTACAAGGCAGACCCATTATGTTTTAACTCTACTAACTGATCCGAACTCGTTTAAATATATGGGAAAACTGTATAACATATTAGTAATAATATGTTATATTATTGTACAACTGTTATAGATTAGAAAAGCTACCTTAGAAATAAAGGACAGAGATTTGACGCCTAACATGTTGACTCGTCACTTTTGTAAGTATTGAGATCTATTTTAAGTATACAATCTGAATATTATTAAACAGTAGGTACACACCTGGTTATTATTATATTCCATTTTTAAATCTTTCTGAAGAAAGGGGTCCAAGGGCGGCACTCCCAGATCTTTGCTACCCCCAGCTAAATCCTTGACGCCCTTCTGTACGGCCTCCACTAAGCATTCGTTGATCTCGAGAGAGTTTCTATCGCATATTTTTAAATATTTCTCTGCAAAAATACATCAATACTCACAACGACTCTTAAGTAAAAGGTGTAAAGTTACCGATTTCAATCACTTACCGATGTCGATTGCCGCATAACACATCGCGAGAGACAACGTCACTAAGAAGGATACTTTGATCATTTTGACCTACTTAGTCCTACGTTTTTGCAGAATTAATATGAATAACGAGACGACCTACTCCAGTGGTGCGCCGAGCCGCGGTGGTCGAGGCAACGTTAGCTGTGAATAGTGGAAGCAGTGAAGCTATTGCATAAACGTACCCAGTCAATGTCACCCGCAGCAGGTTCTGCACAATGATATGTTTACGGTCGTCGTCCACATCTTAATCTTGAAATTATTCTTCACGCATTGTTTTACGTACTTAATATCTAATTTATTCTATCTGTATATTTTTTGTTAACTGGAAAATTGTGTTTACTGTACGTACATTCATTTAAATCTAAGTCGGTATTTCAATACTAACATGTAGAGGTTACCTAATATAATACAAATACTCGGGTTTTGCGTAGGTATTAAAAACTAAGATTTCGTATGTATTATTTCGATGAGATTCATAAACTTTAAAGTTTAAACACTAGTCGGTATTAAGCCAACTGTATAGGAATAAATTTAATCTAGAAACGAAGCCAATTAAATATTAAATTAAGATTATGTCTCAATTGTTTTTATATATCTTTCCCATTCTGTTATTATTTAGATATTGTTTTTCTTTCAACATAGATTAATATTAGCTGAAAGAACAAAAGATGTATAAATATTAAAGACTAGCTGTGTCTGGGATGTCACCGTGTAGAATAGTTATTTTGAGCATCGAAATTTGTTTTTGCAACCTCCTCCTCTTATCTATATAAATTATAGCTGCTACCCACGACGTGCCTTAAAACTACAGTGTTCCAGCAGTGTGTGTTGTTACCCTGCGTGATCGAATCAGGAATGAGGACATCCGTAGAAGAACTAAAGTCACTGACATAGCCCGTCGAATTTGCAAGGTGAAGTGGCAGTGGGCTGGGCACATCGCTCGTAAAACTGACGGCCGTTGGGGCAAAAAGGTTCTGGAGTGGAGACCACGTACCGGACGTCGAAAACCTTCTGGACGCCTTCCTACCAGGTGGACCGACGACCTGGTCAAGCTAGCAGGGAAATACTGGATTCAACTAGCGAACGACCGGTCGTAGTGGAAGTCTATGGGGGAGGCCTATGTCCAGCAGTGGACACCGAACGGCTGAATCGACCCACGACGTCGGTTGTGTTCTTACAAATTACTCTCAAAAGATAGACATATACCGTCGCGGACCTTTTGTTACATCATTTAAAGAGGAATCTTTCGTACATATTTTTTGTATCTTGAACCATTTTCACAGCGTACGCAACGGAAACCCTTAAAGATGAATAATTTTCCCCGTTTCTTCCACATTTCCCACTGTATCTTCTATTGGTCGCAGCGTAATCTTTTATAGCCTAAATCTTTCTTTGATAAATATGCTAACTAATCAATTCGAACCAGTAGTTTCCTAGATTAGCGCGTCCAAATAAACAAACTCTTCAGCTTTATTATTTTAGTACAGATTGTAACCCAAAGGTTCGTCAGAGAACAATTTAAACAAGTATGTTACTTGATGTGTGAAATGCCGTTTCCCCCTCGCGAGGCATGGGGCGAACATATTTCTGTGTCCGTTTCACTGATCGTTTTTTTTAACAGGCAAGTAGTTGTTCAGACTTCTGTAGCCTACCCGACTGGGACAGTTTTTTTTCGGTTGCCCTGGGATTCGAACCCAGGATCTCTTGCGCATAACGCAATGCTAGGCTATACGTTTAACCATTTGGCTACAGAGTACGGCAGTTACTTGGCAACTACAAAATAGTTACTTTATTGAGTACAGAGTAACAGTCATATCGAACCTAACTGTAAACTAACGGAATGTGTTTTTGCTTTATTTTTATGGTGAGGCGTATTAAAATTAGGATTATTAATCAAACTTTCATAATTGTAAATGCAGCGATCTCTACCAGACAACTATCATGAAGGGAAAACTAGAAGTAAGGACTATAGGTGGAGAGGATCTTGCATAAAAGGCAATAAGTGTTTGAAACGAATTAGTACGCAGAGATTGAACTTTTCTGACAGTGGACACGGAGTTTCAGACACCCTGAGTTTTAATAGTGAAGGAGATGTTGAAGAAGCAAGGTGTATGCAAGTTAGGTATGGCGATTGGACACAGAAATGTGTTTGTGGGAGATAAAGGGGCTGCATTTTTTACATCTGGGAATTTCTGGTTAAATTGTATGGTGAAACGGATGGTCCAATAAAAATTCTAACTCTCAAACACACCATCGCCAAAATCGTCTCTATACGTCGGTTGTTATTTTTGTATTTGCAAAATATTCGAGTCAAAAGAAATAATGAAACCTGGCCAATAAAATCCGTTATATTTGTTACAAATAAACAGTTCAAGCATAGGTAAGTACACCTACTCGAATATTTAGGCATCACGCTTAATGATACCGTCTCAAAAAGACATAGCGGTACACTAAGATTAATTGAGAACTCGCAAAAAGCTGATCCTCTAGTTTAAAATATTGCCATAATTAAGATAAATAGTACTTAGCCGAAACCAATGTAATGTTAGGCATATCTTAAGACTGGCATTTAATATGAAATTTAATCAACCGTTCTTTAAATAACCATCAGACTACATTTTGTTTTCGTCAATGTATAGTATGTATATAAGGTCATAGTAGTGTTATGATTAATGTCACTGTCTAATGCTTTTGTTAATTTGCCAATGAGTAGAGCAAGGAGTGGCGGACAGTTTGGTTCCTACGGGTCATTGACACAATATTAATTGAAGGAGTAACTAATCTTGTACTCGGTAGATTAAATTGTAACTATTACGGTATGTTAATATATTAATTAGAATCTGTACTAATATATAAAGCTGAAGAGTTCCTTTGTTTGTTTATTCAGCAGAAATGTGGACAAAACGGGGGAAATTTTTCATCTCTGTGGGTTTCTGATGCGTACGCTTCGCTTTAAGACGTTTTAAAACACCCAAAAAATATGTATATAGAGGAATGATTCCTCTTTAAATAATCTGAAAAAAATTTCGCGACACTATATGTCTATCTTTGAAGATTAACTTGCAAAAACGACGGGACGAAAGATGTCGTGGACAGCTTAAATATAAGATAGTTTAGTACGGGTTTTCAAAAACAAATTTGGATGCTCAAAACAACTATTCTACGCGGACGAAGTCGCTGACACAGCTTGTGTAAATTATACACATTATGCTATTTTACAAGGCACTTACTACATACTAGGCCTATCTAAACAGGCACAAATCTTTTGTGTTGTGGGTTGCACAAACATACATACATGAAACCGACCATTCTTACCTACCCGCTGAACACATTTTTGTGTCCGTTCACTTATCAGTTTTATTTACAGACAAACTACTTGTCTGTAAACAGATCAGACTTCTGTGCCGTGCCCGACCGAAACAATTTACTGTCTCTACGCGATTCGAACCCAGGACCTCTCGCGCTTAACGCAATCCTAGGCGACACGTTTAATGCGGTACCCACGCACTAAAGGCTGTTTTCTATTATCTACTACTAAAGTAAATATAAAATAAAATACTTTTGTAAAATTTTCGAGTCCCTATCTATATAAGTTGGTGGTAAAGCGCCTTGTAGCTAAATGGTTAAACGCGTTGCCTACGTAGTGTTCTGGGTTCGAATGTCGGAGAAACATTTGTTCGGTCGGGCAGGGCACAGAAGTGGCACTACTTTCCTGTGAATGCAAGCCCTCAGTGAAACGGACACAGAAGTATGTTCGCCCCATACCTCACGACGGCACACGGGGTTTTAAGGCCTATATAGGCCAGGGAAGGGAAAATCTTAAAATCGAAGAAAAACAAAATCGGGTTCTTGCCCCCTTCAAAATATATTACTTTTGAAAAGTCTGCTATGGAGGACCTATGTATATAATTTGAGCACATAATTTAAATATATTTGTCACTGTCAAGCTATCGCGGTTCTTGAGATAGTCTTGCATGCAAAAAAAGCGAGGTCTTAGAAATACCTTTAAACTACGGAACCTCAAAAAAGAACCAAAACATCGTAAGCCATAAAATAAAATTGCATAAGCAAGCTATTGGTATAAGCAATTACACGAATACATCAAAAACCACCTTTAAAACTTATTTTCATAACACTGTATTTAAATAAGGTTCTCAAAGGGATTGACTTGGGACGACCTTAGTCCGGTGACTAAGACTACACAAGTTAATGGAGTCTTATCGAATCATATTTTGATGCAGGTTAAGTGGCAGAGGGTCAACAGAATTCAAATAGTGTCAGAAATCAGTTTTGTTTAAATGGATATTGATTATATATAAAAACTAGCGACCTGTAGCGGCCTGCGACTTCGTCCGCATATAAAATTTGGGCATCAACATTTCCGTCCCGTCGTTTTTTCAAATTAAGCTTAAAAGATAGACATACTGTCGCGGACATATTTTTAGTTTAGTCAAAGTGTTTTATTTAAAGAATCCTTCTTTTTTAATGATGTAAAAACAATGGCTACGACAATATACGTCAATCTTTTAAGATCAACTCGCAAGAACAACGGGACGAGGACGACGTCGTGGACAGCAAGTCGTGTATATTATAGTTAATAATTAGCGGGTTTCTTTACGCCACTTTAATTTAAAACACGTCTAAATCGCCTCCCAAATAATTACGTATAATCAAAAACCCCTCTTATCGCCTTTATAATCATTTTAATTTATAATAACACCGAACCTACATTGTGATTTAGCACAAAGTGATGGAAGATAACATCTGTAAAGGGTTCGTTGATCTGCAATATAAATAAGAGGCATCGATCACTCTTTTGTTTCGAAGCATTAGAACGGTGAATTAACACGTTTCAGATGCACTAATCCGAGCGGCGTCTTAAAATCACAATAATAATGGCTGGCAAATGTCAAGCCGGCACAAAAGAAAAAGCTCTGTTATCTCTTGAGCAGAATGTAGAGCGACACTTTAAAAATATTATAAAGCCTCCGACCCGAGTGGTGGAACCATTTAGCGGACAGACTCCTCGCGAGCCGCACATCCTCGCGGCGCTTCCCTTTTGATCCTTCGATTCGAATATTCGGGTGCTTTGCGAGCGCGATTAGATAGTGAACCAATTCTGTTTTCAATCATTCCACGATGACTCTGAGAACTATAATATTTTTTTTAAGTTTAATGGCCATTCACTGTTTGCATGTGTCTGAAGATCTGGGATTTTCTCAAAACGACGGCGCATTTTACACCCAAGACGCTGTTTATATTACCGGTAAGGGACCTTTATTTATTTATTGAAATAGAACTAAACTAAAAAATAAAACGAGATTTTTGTATTTTTTTTGACATTAGTTAACATAAAATATTACAAGATTTAAAACCCCAAAAACGTTAACATTGCACGAATAAAATGGACCACTACATATCATGAAATCCTTTAGAGTCACAAAACAATACGCGACATTGTTAGTATGAGGTTATTGGGCTAGAGAAAGTCAAAATTTGCGCCTTAGACGCCGGGCAAACACTGAGCGTAAAATGTTCTGATATGGTGGATTTGAAACGAGCGCTCGACAAAGCGAAGGCTGTGTCGCTCAATAAATATTTATTCATCCGGCCATCGACCCAGTACCCAGAATCATTAGACGTTACTTTTTCTGAATTAATTCGCCTGCCATTTGAAACGATTCAATGCAAATTATTTCTGTACGCCTACGCGGCACACGACACTAACACATCGATCACTTGCTTTTTTAACAGCGCTCTCATTTTTTGTGGCTCAACATTAATTAGATCGGTGAGCAGATTTCGCCATCGAGCGGGCACACCTGACATTTCCTTGCAGAGAAGAATTGAACCCGGAATGGTAGATGCAACAGATCTACTCGTTTGTGGACACTGAATTTGAATAAAGAGCGTCGTCTACAAAGAAACAAATAATCGAATCCATTCACCGAAATCCATTCTTATAAATTCATTATATTGCTCGATCTTAGGGAGCCGATTGCCGGTACGACCATATTATGGAAAAGTTCCAAGTTTGGATACATACATATAATACATATAATTAGTAGATAGACATCGTAGTTTCACAGGAAAATAACTCCTCCGAAAAGAGACGGGTGGTCTCTTTCGCTTCGATGAAGTAGACCCGGCATCCATAATAAAGTCTGCGGCTAGGAATACTCGAAGCGACTTTAAGCTCGTCTGTTCTCATGAATGTCAGAGGGAACCAAGTTTAAACGCAGAAGCGGTTCGGTTGAAAATTGCTCGACTTCAAACTGACATCTTCAAGGCCGGTTCTTTACTTTGACGCGTTTTTATTTTATTTACTAGTTATATATCAGGTGAATAATTGCGTACGATAGGCGCTCGCAATTCCTGGCTTCGGAATAGGTCAGTCTCAAAGGTACGATCACATCGGCAAAATTCAAACATTTTAATTTAAAAAAAAACACAATTCCGAGGTAGTCGCGGTGTGAACCGTCGAATATCTCGTCTACAAACGGCACATAATCGTCCTCGTATGGACGGCTCTTCTAGAGGTTCAAATTTTCCTAAATGTTTATTTTGCAATTGCAAACTTGTTGTATATTAATGGGCAATTATATTCAATTAAAAAGATATCGAATTCCGATACGTAGTCACAAATCGGCGACCGTTATGTCGCGATAAAAAACAACTAACATGTTGTCGTGAGTAATACTTTTGAGACGTCCTCTGAATAATAAAAGGTTCGGTCATAATCATTTTGTTTCACATTGAGAGTATATATATATACACACAATTTCAGTAGGTGTGTATCGAACCCGAAGCCCGTATGAGATCAACCGAAAAATACTTATGACACATGTAATTAATACTAACGAATAACTTGCAGCAGCGCGGCGAACGAAGCGTGAGGCGAACTCGACCCGCGACGGAAAGCAACTTTTATTTTTGCAGTCGCGACAGGTAGCCCTTTTATTTTACTCACAGCGAACAATATTTAATTAGCACTAATATATCTTGTCAACCGTTTATAAACCGATTACACTTAATAGAGCTGTTATTTACTTATTTTTAATGACTTCCACCACCTCGACACCTCCACCGTGATCTTTATTTTTTCAGAGCGACGATCTACATTGTGAAACCACTTTAGGGAAAAAAGGAACTTGTAAGAGTTTTCGCGATTGCTATCCACTGTTCAAAGTCGTCGATTTGTCCGGATATGACGGGTGGGTCATGGGGCATTACGACACTTGTAGCTACGCCAGCGGGGAGAACAAAGAAGTAAGAAATATAATAGCTCTTCACTAAATGAAGGCGTTAATTTTATTTATTTTAAACATACCGTGGTGAATTTATATTTAAAAACATATTGCAAGATCTACGTTTTTATTTCTATAGAACAACTTATTGGGCACTCCAGGGTTGCGGGTTAACTCGCTAGGGAGATTATACTTTTTATTTTGTGAAGTGTTTTATTTTAGCCGTGTTTTTATTTCTTACGCGGCCAGTGAGTGTAGGAACAAAAAAAACCTCGATATCGATTCCAGTTTAACTATATGTCTATTTGACAGGTTTTCGGAGTGTGTTGCACGGAACCGGTAGGCACACCGCCGCAGCAGGAGCCCGATGTACAAAGGCTCGGTGTCATCCGCCCAGCCTTGCCGCTTCAGATCACGCCAATGCAAATACCGGGGTTGGTGCTGTTTTATTTGAGACGATTTAACGTTACGCGTCGTTATTCTTTTGGTTTTCCTCAATACTCGCGTGCGGTTATTTTTAATTGGAAAATACATTAACGAGCAGCACACTAAATAAGTAAATAGGATTAGTAGTATTAATGAAATACCCGACTCGACTGGCCATACGTACGTAAAATCAGGACGGAAACGAACTTTCAACAAATTCCACGGTGCACAAAGTAATTGGATAAGCTAGTTGCAATGAGTCTAAAAATAGAGCAAACATTTTGAAGACCTTGCCTCAATTTAGTACTCAGAGTACCCACTGCAAATGTCAGCGGGTACGTTTCGACAGCAGGAAGTTTTGCACGTTTGTATTAGACGGAGCGAATTAAATGACGGACTAACCTTTCGGATGACAATTATAAAATGTCAAGTTAGATTATAAAAAGTAAAAGGTAAGTAGTGCAAAACAACTAAGTACTACCTGTATTTAGATGAGTTTTTATCGAGTTACAAACGAGTACTCTCTTTAAATGCCACTTCCGTTTTATTGTGATTGTAGGTACCTATGCTGTTAGTCAGTTAATTATGCTGAATTAATTACTGTTTCCCGCTTTAGTTTTTTGGGCAGACCTCAGGCCTCGGCGTATTCTCAATGGTTCTACAACAACATGAATCAACGTCAAATCCCAGCGCAGTGGCCGCCGGCATTGCCTCCGCTGCCAACACACCCCCCTAACCACACCCCCGCAACGCATCCACCTTCTCTAGGTGCCTTTTTGATTACTTTTTCTTTTTGCTTTTATTTATTTTTTATATCAGAGAACGTACGATATGCACTACAGTTTATCTTGTGACATCAATTTCAATAACAATCTAATAGAATGGCCTACTAATTATCGCTATAACCCACAGTCGCCGGACAGGTAACTCCAGCTCCACCGAACGCTTCGCCCAGTCCGCCTACAACCACTTGGGGCACGAAACCACCCAGCACAACGAAGCAAGTAAGAATACAAACATTTAAAGTTACCCTTTTGAAGGATGAAACAAACTTATAAGCATAACCTATTACAGACGTGGCCCCCGATTTATCCGACGCAACCCACGAGGCCGCCGACACAGCCCGGAGCCGATGGCTCATGCGGCCTCAAAAATGGTCCACAGGTAGAATATAAAAAATTAAGCTAAATTATTTGCAGAAGAAACGAGTAATAATTGAGTTCTGTGGTGTCCCCAGACATACGAGAGCATTCAAGACGAAGAGCGGATCGTAGGCGGACAAAACGCAGATTTGAACGAGTGGCCGTGGATAGCGGCTTTGTTCAACGGAGGTCGACAATTTTGCGGAGGCTCGCTCATAGATGACAAACATGTGCTCTCAGCGGCACATTGTGTGGCTCAGTAGGTTTATCATAATATTAGATATTTATTGCTGTTTGTCAAGATTTTTCAAACGCACTTAAACACTTATTTTCCGCTTTTCCTTTTTAGTATGACATCTTGGGATGTGGCACGTTTGACCGCGAGGTTAGGTGACTACAACATAAGAACGAACACCGAAACGCAACATATAGAAAGAAAAATCAAGAGGGTAGTTAGACATCGTGGATTTGACATGCGCACCTTGGTGAGATAATCTTCGCAGCGACCTTATAAAGCACGTTTACTTCTTACGCTTCATTGAATGTTTCGTTTCAGTACAACGACGTAGCCATTCTGACTTTGGACCAACCCGTTACATTCACAAAGAACATCAGGCCCATATGTCTGCCTTCGGGTGGTCGCGCGTACGCCGGACTCATTGCGACCGTCATCGGGTGGGGCAGCTTACGTGAAAGTGAGTTTCATTAATCAAATCTAAATCAAAAAGCTATTGAGTTTCAACATCTTCGCTTTACTTATTACACCACATTTTAGGTGGACCGCAGCCATCCGTTTTGCAAGAAGTATCCATACCGGTGTGGTCAAACGCTGAATGCCGTCTGAAGTACGGCTCCGCCGCACCTGGAGGTATAGTGGAGCACATGCTATGTGCCGGAAAAGACAGCATGGACTCTTGCAGTGTAAGATTAATACTAACGCATTCATTTAATAACTTAACAATTAGGAGAAAGAACATAGTATACGTAATGAACCATTTTCAACAGGGCGACAGTGGCGGTCCGCTGATGGTAAACGAAGGCGGTCGATGGACACAAGTCGGCATTGTATCCTGGGGAATCGGATGCGGAAAGGGTCAGTATCCCGGAGTCTACACTCGAGTCACCGCCTTCTTACCCTGGATTCAGAAGAACTCTAAGTAGAATGGCCACGGCAAACAATCGTCTCACTCTCTAAATGAAATAGCTCTTATAGTATTAGCCGATTGCCACAATTGTTAACATTCAGATGTTTCGCTTTCAACAAAATTACTCTCAATTGCTTTGAGAAAGATGACCGTTTTGTCTTTCTTAATAAATTGAATATGTCAAAATTATATGTGCCAATTTAGGATAAATAAAATAAATATCTATTATAAAGCATGGTTTTACTTTAAATTCATTATAAATAATGTTTGGCATACCTAATACCTAACTACGATAGATAATAATCTGAATTGGAAACTAATACATAATTACAACAACCACTACATAATCACTCGTTATGGCTTAATTAATGGCATGCACTACAAATCCGCAATAAATAAGGAGGCATAATGATGTCGACTATAATTACTAAATTGTACATCTTAGGATCAAATATTGACTAAATTCCCTAATATATCACAAGTCGAAGTTGGAAACTTGAAGCTGCTGCAGGATGTTGCGGGCTGGAATAAAATAGGTGTTGTGAGAGTTTGCTACCGGCACCCTTATTGTTTGAAATAAAAAATAGAACCTTAATGGTTGAAATTCCACTCCTTTTGCTTTTGGGCTTTAGTCTTAAAGAAATCTTTAAGACTAAAGATTTCTTTAGTCTCCCCGTGACCACGGCTGCTGCAAAGCATCCGAAACGTCGGGCCGAAGTTAAAAATAATTTTCAAATAAGTTTAACTAATATATCGCGTTTTAAACCGTTAAACTGTTTTATTTAAGCCTTTTAGATGTATGAAATCTTTGGACGAGGTGAAATCACAAACCATGTTACAAGTGACTAAAGAAATCTTTAGTCTCCCCGTGACCACGGCTGCTGCAAAGCATCAGAAACGTCGGGCCGAAGTTAAAAATAATTTTCAAATAAGTTTAACTAATATATCGCGTTTTAAACCGTTAAAGTGTTTTATTTAAATGTGTACTACTCGCGTAAACTATAGACAGTATTTATCCAAAAGGCTTCTAAAATACCTTGAAAGTAGCCCGTATCGTGAATATCATCTGGAGAAGGTATAAAAGGCGGTTCGACGCTCAGTTGGTTATCCCAATCTACGTCCTTGAAGAGCGGCATCGCACGCACTTCGGCAGCCGCGGGGCGCTCACTGGGGTCCATGGTGAGTAGGGCTTGGATCGCACCGACGGCGTCCGGCGATAGAGCCTCTTCGTTTTCCGGCCATTCTATGTCTGGGGAAAATCGACCAGAAATTGTTTTATCTTGAAGTAGCTTTGTTTTAAAAAAATTGACAGATTTCTTTTGTTTAACTTAAACAAGTACCAAAGATGTCTCAATTACTAAATTCAGTCAGGCACTCACTCAAAAAAACTTACTATTCGCGATTATTGCGAACGAGGACGTAGGACACAGTAGCTCAATTGGTTACAGCCACAGCACGGAACACTGTGGATGTCGGTTCAAGTCCTACGCATGTCAATTCAATCGTGTCAATTTTTTTTTCAATCTAACATCTATTTTTAATTTTTAAAAACTTACTTTTAGACAAGATGTTGTTGAAGACAGCTTGCGGTGTCTCATCATTGAAGGGGGGAATACCGGTCATAAATTCATAAAGGCACACACCGAGAGCCCACCAATCGACTTGAGGCCCGTGACCTTGTCTGAGATAAATAAAAAAGGATTTTATTGAAAAACTTGGAAATGAATCAATCATGCCTAAGTTCTTATTTCAATGCATTACCTGAGTAACAATTCCGGTGCTAGATAGTCTGGAGTTCCTAAGATCCTCTGATCCGATACTTGGTTCCCACGTCGCACGCTTTTTGGAGTTCTGTATGGAGTTTGAGCAGCTATCGGTGTTTTACAAAGATCTGTAGGCGATTTGCTGCCTTCACCCTGTGAAACCATGTAAATATGTCGCGTAACATTACTCCTTATACTTTTTATTCAAATTGAAATTTGTCATCAAATCAAATAAATAAATGAACGTCACCTTACTTAACCTTCTCGTTGGAAAAATTTCAAGACTCGTGGAAATGTGTTTTCCAAATAAAATGGACTTGTCCTTGTCTTTGGAACCTGAGGCGGGTTCTTCGATCGGCAAGTTGAATCTCGTGGCTTTCTCTTTTTTCTTCAAGTTGTTTTTACTGTTCGACACTGGCGTCGAGAATATCACTCCTACATTAAAGTGATGGCTGTCGTTTTGTGATACCCACCTGAAATTTTACATGTAACATGATGTACAAAATGTGTTACACCCAGAATCAATTTATAAGGAAGAAAAGTTAAATTATAGTATATACCTTTTCTTTAATACTCCTTTGATGGGATTCTTTCGTCGCTCTGGGGTGGGATGTATAGAAATCCTCTTGGGTGTGTTCTGTGTTACATCTAGTTCTAACGCCATGATCTCTTGAGTTAGACCACTGTGATTCTCTTTAGACTCCAAGAGACTAGTCACTCTTGTAGGTGTATCTCCATCGACATCCAGAATCCTCTTTCTTTTTTTTGCCCGGAAACTAACCATATGAGAGTTATTCATTCATAATCATACTCCAATTACTTTAGCACTACCATTACCAACACATATATATTATGTATAAACATGAACAAATTCTTTTAAAAATATTTAACAAGTTAAATGAAAAAGAAAAATTTACCTGGGAATTCTCTTTAATGACTGTCCCCTACATAAAGGTGAGGTTGACTGATCGTGCTGAGAATCAGCAAGGGCAGACTCTATCGAAGACCCATTGGCACTACTGATATCTGTTGATTTATTGCTTCTTGATGTCGAACTGTTTTTGGAACTTTCACAAGTATGGTATGAACTCAAAGATTCTGAGCCCGAGTCTCGCGACTAGAAAAATCATAAATGTTTATTTATATAACTTTTTTTACTCACTACCTTTTGATGCACTTTTATTGTATAGCTAAATGTCATATGTAATGGGCTTTATTTTACCTAGCTGGGTACACCATAGCAAATATTGAGCATATATTCTAGTTCTGTATGAAGAAAACTTACACTAGTAAGGTCTAAGTTAATGCTCTCAGCACTAAGAAAGGGATGTATTCCAGATAATTGAGAGTGTTCCGTGGAATGACAGCCAGAACCATTGACATCATCGTAAAATATACTTTTTTTCTTTGCTGAAAATTTCATTGAAAATAGCAAGTAATGTATGTTATAGATATATTATTTTATAACAACTTTATACAATTAGATTACCAGATTATAATTGGCACAATATGATACTTTACAAAAGAGCATAACTATCAGTGAAATGTTAAATATTTCAATAGTAATAAAAGTGCAAATCTAATTGTATAATGCGGTTCGGCTTAAATTAAGGTCATCATACTAGATTGTATAAGTGCATCAAGAAGGTTCTCACACGCATCTGCTGAAGTGGATTCTTGTGTACTATCTCCTCCTCCTGACCCAAAAGAGAGATGTGACGTCAAGGATAGCAGTTGTCCAGGAGTTCTCATGTTCAGACTAGGTGTACGATTGACAAAATCAGATATCTCTAGATCTAAAAATGTTTTTTAATCAGTATCTTTTGCTAAACATTTTATATGAGTGTAGTTGTCTAAGTCTCTATAAATACCTCTGTGAATTTCAATCTTTGATAATCCAAAGTCAGTTAGTTTGACATGGCCGTTACTTGCAATTAACATATTGTCCGGTTTAAGATCCCTATGCACTATGTTATGTTTGTGCAAATAGTCTAAAGCTAAAGTAACTTCGGCTACATAAAATATTGCCATTGGTTCTTCTAAAAATCCATAAACGTTTAGCAAGGATTTCAGGTCACCTCCGACCATATACTCCATGACCTGAAATGTTAAAAGAATAATAAATTCAACTTAGTAGGTGGAAAGGCAAAGTAACATTGACATTTTTTACTCACTAAGTAAACTGATGATGCAGATTGTAGTGAATAAAATAAATGAACACAGAATGGACTTCTCGATAATGCCAGTGCATTTCTCTCTGTGACCACCTGTGTCACCATGTTTTTATTTATCATTTCAGACTTTTTCATAACCTTAATGGCATACAACTGCTCTGGATTGTTTTTCTTCTGAGCAAGAAACACTTTTCCGAAAGCTCCTCGGCTGATAGGTTTGATGATGGTAAAGTCAGTTATCTCCGGTAGCTGAAACAAAAAGATTTACCATATTGTCACATAATTGGAACACAAACAACTTTAATAAAGTATGTTGATAGGTACCTTATTTGTAACCTCTGGGTTTATTTCATTTATTTTGTCAAGAATAGTGTGAGAAGGCAATATTGTATCACATATTGAAAAATCGGAAGTCATTTTTTAAATTTATATTAAGATATTTGTTAAAAAAGGGCTTACTATTCGAACATATAATTATTCTGGTAAATAATTCATAAAAGTAGAAAGAGAGCAAGCAATGAGGTTTACTATACAGATCTGTATTGATTAAGAACGTGAAATAATTGTTACATAAGATTACATTTTACGTTTACGGTTAAAGGGACTGAAATAAAGTATTTAAATTTTTTCTCTTTCCCGCATATTGAACGCCAACTTTCCGACGAACAGCAATTTGCAAACAAAACAAAGTGAGAAAAATAAGTACATCAGGGAGATTATATTTATTCTTCTGTAGAAGTTATCATTTATCACTGAGCAATAAAATAAACGGTAATGTTAATTATGTTTTTAATTGCACGTTTAAGTACGAATTGAAATATTTCTGTTACTAAGTTTTAAATCAGTTTATTTTTGACAATTAACGTTATTATACTTTGTGTTACGTAGGATGATATATTTGACATTTGATAGATTCATAAGTTGGACAAACGACTTTTATTGATGAGTGATAGATTAGATATGTATATACTAACTAAATATTATACAATATGTATACCTATTAATATTTAGTCTCAGAAACCATAGGTTTGGCTTTAGGCTATAATAATATAATAGTTGTCAAATTTTAAAAAACGGTTAAAATTAAGGGTTTTCAGTCGCAACCGTTGCGAAAACGGCTCAAGATTACGGTAAAATATTTTCAAAAGAATTATTCTTGTTTACCTAAACTGAAATTATTGTCTTTCTTTAAACATTAATTCGCAAAAACCAATGTCAGGTAGTCTGTAACATAATATAAACTTTAAAGGCTGGATAACGAGAGTCATCTCGGGTTCCTTTTTTAGTTTTATGATATAGGTGGACAGACAAGTATGCTTTGTATATTCGGAAAATTATGTAGAAAATACAAAAACGTAAAGCATAACTTAAGATATTGTTTAAATACGTATCATTAAGCTTTGCACGTTAACATGACTGTTTCATACTGTTCGATAAAGAATTGCTGCCACTCTAGCTGATATGTATTTAAAAAAAAATTGCTTTACACTCCTCGATATTTGTAAAAACAATAATCAATTTTATTCTTCTAGTTGACATGACATCACGCAATTGGTAAACGCTTGTACTGTTGCTGAACAAAGTAAAGGTTGATGAGGATTGTCTTCATAGCACTTCATCATCTAAAAAGTGTATGTAGATGTTGTTATTTACAAAGAGTTAACAGGGACGCTTATTAATACGTAAATTATATATAATTTTCAACTACCCTTAAGTTTTCATAAGATCTAATGTATAGATTAACACAAGCGGAATCAATTATTATCGATGATATTTCTCTTTTTTTATTTTAGGTATATTTTTAAAAATTACACGAAATGGATCTTCCGAATGTTTTGACTTTCTGTATTGGTATATTTAGAGAAAATTCTAAAAATTTTATATATACCTTTGATCGCCTATCAAAGCATGGTGTGATTTTTTGTATTCGGTCGTGTGCTATTTTTGGTGGATCAAATAAGTTTTTTGTATTTTCAATAGTTTTTTCATATTCTGTCTCTACAATTTTATTTATAAGATGATGTTCATTTTTGAGATACTCAATTCTGTGCACCCAGTAGTCGTGCTCATCATCGTGGACCTCTATGGCTCTGGTATTTTCTTTGTAATTTAACTCGCTTGTTTGGGTCTACAATTAGACAAATAATTATTAAAAGATTATCTACTAAACACGGCTGTTGTTTTATTTTAATAAAAATGTTTACGTTATTATTGCGACTTTTTAATAATGTAGTTCTGTAAAATTTACCCCATCTAAGGTGTTGATGTTTATTTCATCATCTGTAGGTTTCGGAATAGTCAGTGCTGAATTCATTGCAAACTTATTATCGAAACTAATGCGTCGTGTATCTTTACTGGGTAGATGGCCCATAGTTTATTATTATTTTCTTTCAAAATTTTGTATATATTTTATAAAACATTTCTTCCAAACAGCTAAACAAGACGTCAAGATATATATGAAATTATCTCTGCCTCGTGGAAAAAGTCTAAGGTAAAAAGTTTGAATTGCACAAAGAAAAAAAAGTTATTTAATTATAAACTATAATAATTGATCGATGGTATGTATTAAGTATTATTAATGGCCGGTCGGCCGGTAATTAATGCGTATCGTATTCGTACCACAGATACATTCATGGTGAGTTGAGTAATATCTGTGTCACTTACAATACTATATTTTATTGTCGTCATTAGGTAATCTGTGGCTTGTGTTTGTCTAAGTTATTTACTCTGTAATAACATTTTTATTCTTTGTAAATTACAATTTCTATTAATAATGTTTGCGATGTTTATATGCTCAGCGATGTTAATCAGATGATCAGTATGCTTGTTGAAATAAAACTTAAATAACCGAAGAATTGAATTGACTTTGATAAGTTTTAATTGGTAAAACAAGTCATTATTAAAATCCTTTTTACATGTTACCATAGGCCAAAGCTATTTAAACCAATCCATGTTTACACAAAGAATATTTTTAGGTAGAAATTAAAAATAATGTCTTTGTACGACGATCTTGACACTATAAAAGCGCGAACCACTGAAAAAGTAGCGGGCTGGTCATCAGGAATTAAGCTGTTACAGTCACAGCTGCAATTAAAGAAAGCCGCGGTTACTCAACCTAAACGAGAAGCGCTAAGAAGATCCAATCAGGTGGAAAAATAATGTAATGTAGTAAACAATTTGTCTTAAATTGCAGTTCATAATATAAACTTTGATTTTATAATTTAGGTCCTAACGCCTGTAATAGATTTAAAAAGTAAACAAAAAGATGAAGATGAAGTTAATTCAAATAGTCCAAAGTCACAATCTAAATCCTTCAATGTTTCCCTGAATGTACGAGATTTCGACTGGAATGTTTCTAATGAATATGATCCTCTGTGGCCTAACGATTATGAAAAAGTTGCAAAAGGTAACATTATTGTAGAAAGAAGTAGAAAGATTTTTTTTTTGTTTTCACATTTCTTTGGCTGATGACAACTTTAAATAGTTCCTATTATGTTAAAATTTAAATGTTATTTCATAAATTCAATTTATTTTTTAGAAATGCAAGCTAAGAGACTACAACTGGACGGAGGTGGTGAACGGGATAGATCAGAAAGAAAACGCAAATCTCGTTTTGGTGATGATGATGCACTACCTGAGAAAACTTTAATACCTATGGTAATTTTTATGCACCTTTTGTAGATCAAATTTAAAATAAGGCCCACAAAACTGTTCAGGAAACATTACTTTTCTATTGATTTTCTGTATGAAATTTTTAGCAACCCGAGGAAGAAGAAGCAGAAGAAATTTCTAAAAGAGCAGCAGGAGCAGCAATCGCTCCGCCTCCATCTTTAACAACAGAGACACCATCGCCTCCACCTCCGAGTGCACCTCTAACACCAACACCTTCATTTTCTCTTGGTGGATACGGAGCCAGCTCTGTTGCTGCTAAAATCATGGCAAAATATGGATTTAAGGTATATTGTTGGATATTTCTTTTTTGACTGAGATGACAGTAATAAGTCTGTTCATCCAAATTAATAATATATTATAATTTTTATCTCATTTGTGTTGTTGGTCTTTCAACTGAACTACCATGTTTCAATTTATATATGCATTATGAAGAGAGGTATAATATATCAGTTTTCTTTTAATTTCTAGGAAGGCCAAGGTCTTGGAAAAAAAGAACAAGGAATGTCTGTGGCTCTGCAGGTTGAAAAAACTTCAAAAAGAGGAGGACGCATTATCCATGAAAAGGATAGCAATGTGATGCCTCCCCCAAGCTTTGCTATGCCAGCTCTGCCTGCACCTGGTTTGTTACATATATTGGAATTGTTGGAATTAAAATAAATGTTCAAACTAATGTATACTAAGCTTTTGCTTTTTTCCTCTTTTTCACAGATTCTCCAAACTCATTGCAGTCAGGAAAGCAGGAGCCCTCTATTACAGAGATAATGAAATCACCTAGTAAAGTGGTTTTATTGAGGGTAACCTTTTACATTGTTCATTTTGTTTATATTGGTTTTTAATATACAATATGGTAGGGAACAATCTTTTGATCAGCTTTTTATGCCAGAATAATATTATTGTACAAATCTTCAATGTAGTATCATAGATTCAATTTTCATTGAATAAATGAGTTTTCACGACAAATTGTTATAATGTACATAAAGTCAACATATTTTATTACAGAATATGGTGGGGCCAGGTGACGTTGATGAAGAACTAGAACCGGAAGTAAAGGATGAATGTAATACTAAGTATGGAGAAGTGGTGAAAGTTGTCATTTTCGAGATGCCTAACGCTCCTTCTGATGAAGCTGTCAGAATATTTGTTGAGTTTAAACGGATAGAAAGTGCAATTAAAGCTGTAGTGGATTTAAATGGAAGATTTTTTGGAGGAAGACAAGTAAAAGCAGGATTTTATACAATAGAAAAATTTTACGCGTTACAATTAACTGAATAAAAGATCAGTTTAAAAGCTTGTTTTAATACAATTAAAAACTAGAGTGTATCCCATTATATTTGAGATTCCGTAATTTAGAGAAGAGTTAATATTTTGTCCATAATTCTGTAGGTGACAGATTATAAGGCAATGATATGTGTATTAAGTTTCGAATACCCACTAAGCTATCATAGTTTTAGAACTTAATTATTTATAATTTATATTTTTTAAATTAGAATTAATAAAATTTGTCCAAGGCCATAATAATTAAAATCGAATATTTTACATTCTGCCATGGATATTAATACCACAGATTGCCAAAGACATTTAGACAAACGTCTTGTAGAGAAACATAACATTTACATAAACCTGTTGTGTCAAAAGCGTTGTAGATTAAGATAACATTGTCATATATTTACATTTCACATTGATAGCCAATAGAAATTAGACTAATATTTTAAAAAAGATTAATTATTATTATCAAGGAGTATTAGGAGTAAGGCTAAGGCTATATTTTTATAAAATGAGATAAACATATAGTAAGGTACAAAAAGAGCGATAGGTACCTTGAGTTTATGTCATTAAGTATTAATCAAATGTAACATGGCTTTTTATTTATGTAGTCGTTATAAAATAATTGTTATAGTTATGGTTGTTTTAATTATGTGGCAAACATACGCCAACTATTCTCGTTTTATGATGAAGAAGAGTGCCACCACCCCAGCTGTGAGTTATTTGTAAACGTCACAGATATTACCCTAGCAAAGTCAGTAATTTAATAACAGGTTACCCCAATGTCTTTTCAGAGCAACATTATACAACTAGAAGATGATTCTTTCAATAAACATAAGCAAGATAAAGTTAAAATAAGAGTTTATTATGAGACACTATGTCCTGATTCAAAGCACTTTTTTGTCAAGCATTTGGGACCAGTGACCGCAAAGCTCTCCGATTTTCTTGATATCATTCTTGTGCCGTATGGAAAAGCAACTGTAAGTATTCCATAAGCAGCTTACAAAGTTAAAGATACTGCTTTTCTTCAATGGATTTATTTATTTTTTTAGACAACTGAAAGAAATGGACAATATTATTTTAAATGTCAACACCAGGAAGAAGAGTGTTACGCCAATAAGGTACATGCATGTAGTATTGACATAGTAAACAACATGGAAACAGCTGTTAAGATAACAGTATGTATGATAGAGGATAACTTTGATGCTGATGGAGCTCTTCATAAGGTGCGAATAACATGTGGCATTTATATTGTTTTCAATAATTCAATATAGACAAGATATTGGTTTTGAACTAGCTTCAAGTATCAGCGATTTGATCAAAATATCCATCAGTTTATGTAATTTTTTGTTATAGTGTGCAAAGCAGCTGAATATTGAACCAGAACCCATTTTGAACTGTGCTGGCACTGCACACGGGTCAGAATTATTGAAAAAATATGGAGACGACACTCATCAACTTCAACCTACATTCATACCTACAGTTACATTAAATGGTTCGAGGGAGAATCAAGCAGCTATTTTAAAGAACTTTTTACTGGAGGTCTGCAAATTGATTGCAATGCCCTTACCTCCTCCATGTTTGTGACATTTTCGTCTGATAAATAGCAAGTATATGGAGGTAAATTAATTTAATTTAACAAGTGTTTTATGAATGGTAAAAGGCTTTCGTGGCCATCATGCAAAGTTGCTTGGGTCTAGCTGTGCTGCCGTCAGAAATGAGATCCATTTTTGTGTATTATGGTTATGTATGAATTTTCTTATAGCAAATTAGACCTCTGTTTTGACTTAATAGATCTTTTATGGTTTCCTAAGTAGTTCCTATAGGTATTTGTATTACCAACATATTAGACCTTATTTATTTATTTTTAATAAATCTTTCTTAAAATTCTATAAGAGGCTATCTAGGTGGTGAAATAAAGTTAGATAAATAATGTAGATCAAATTTACAAATTATTTTAATTTTTACAAATTTTACTATTAAAGGCAACATTTGGTTGTGATTTTTGTTTTATAAGGATAAAGTTTTTGCTCCATTTTATTATTTAAGGACTTTTTATACCTTTTACGATTTGCCTTGCCTCTCCAAATTCGTTTCTTGGGAAAATGTACATGTCACATTCTATATACTAGGCTTTGCATTAACGGACTGATAATAATATGCCGAAATAAACATTTTAATATTTTTAATATGACTTTAATTTACACAAGCTGAACTGGCAAACATTCTTTTGCCATATGAAGTTTTTCGACGAAATTTTATTATTGTGTATTTTAGATTGTAAGGAAGAATATTTTTCCCTCTGTTTCTTCGCTTCTGTTGGTCGTAGCCTGATGTTTTATAACCGAAAGCCAGACAACCTTAACAACTAGAATTTTACATTTCGAACTAGTAGTTCATGAGATTAAAGCGTTTATATATAGTAAACGTCGTAAGGAATATTTACTCTTTGACGACTAAGTACACGATTAATCTACTAAAAGTGTCAGCAATCAACAGAAGATTGTAACCTTTCTTTAGTGAATCCAATTCGTGAAGCCGTCTGACAACACCAATTTACTGCCGCCTAAATAGCTACCTTTGCTCCAAAAAGTGTTCGGAACGCAATAATAAATCTCGCTGGAATCACGTTCTAATTTCGTGAAAGCGCCGTCTCGCTTTGCTAATTAATATGAATGGCATTTGCATCCGGCTTTTTCTCGTACGGACCATTTTCAACTATTGTTTGCGAAGATCCTCACAATTTATTCCTATTTTACTAGACTGCATTCCGGCGAAGATTGAGAGTAATAAACCTGCTCTTTTACTTATACAAAAATTAAAAACTTTCGTTTACTTTAGTGCTTCGGATGACAAAGGCTATTAAAGCGAATTGTCGCAACTGCATTACGCCGTCTGTTCCAACAACAGTTGAGAAGATATTTATTTCTATTGTGCAACCGAATAATTGACAACTACCGCCATCGTAACAAATTTAAGGGGGTAGGGAAAGGCGCAAACGGCGGTAGCCGCGTAGGTATAATATTCATCGGTGTAGTCTCATTAAAACTTTCCTCAGACTGGCTTGCACGTGTTTTTAATTTTTATCGAGAGCACTCGTCGTTAGCTGGCGGACGCGGGGCGCGCCGCGGCTCCGAGCTTTGATTGCGGTAATGACGTCTCCCGTCCCCACCGCCACTCTCGCCACTCGACTCATCTTTTCACTATCTTCATATTTTTTCTTGCAAATTAATGCATCTTTTTAATTAAGAGGTGGCATACATGTAAGCCCGCACTGCGTACGTGCATTGGCGCAGGAGACCTCGTCTTATATTTCTGAATTAACATTCATGTACATTTCTTTAAATTGATTTGACGTTAGCGCGCCGCATCAAAGCTGACGCCGACGCTTTTAAATGTGGTTAGAAGTATTCTAAGCTAGAAAAAATGTTATGACGATTAGAAGAATATAATTTTATTTATTTCTTTACACATATCCAGCCATTACAAAAAAATATCCAATTCAACAATGACAGTAACTACATTACTAAGCAGTAGGTATAATAAAACTATTTACAGTATACCTACAATACAAGTTACAATTAGATATATTAGAATAAATATTATTATAAAAGAAAATCTAGTGTACTTTAAAGTTAACTGATTATGATTTGTTTGATTGTTTATTTTATAACAAGACAAGTCGAGTCGTTGTTGAAATAAATTATGTAAGGTGTTTAGCGTTGTTTTTTCAGTACCGCTGTCGTAAACTACAGATAAAACTAAAGAAAGGATTATTTAAACATATCGATTTGATTGTTTTGCTTTTTTTTATGACAGAGAAGGGTGATTGATAGAAAGTGATAAATACCTTAGTAAAATAATCAAAATAAGCTGCGCTGTTGACTTTTTTGGCGTTAGAAAGTCTAATTGTTACGATGTCATTAGAGAGCAGGCATCCAAACAATTTACTTAGATGTAGAAACCCAAAATTTGAATGTAAGTACACGATTTCATGGCTCTTTTTTATGTGAAGAGAAGAATAAACATTGAAAGAAAAGCAAGGGATTTTTGGATGGACTGAAATACCGCAGCCGTGTTTGACATCTGCTTGTCAGATTTGGAATTCGGAAATCCACAGACTGAAACCAAACCGCGATTAAACTTTCACGGCCTTTTTATCTGTGGTGGTTCGTAACCAAACCGTAATTTTGACATTCCCTCCATCCATTTAATATTTACGTTTTTCAACAAAGTCGGAACCCTCGTTGCATTGATTATTAGTAATATATAGCTTCCATTAAGCCAACGAGGAGAGCCGATATAAGAGAAGTTACCGCACCGCACACGTACAGCTTTTAGGAAGAGTGTGAATGTCCTCGGAGATGGATTTGTTAGATGCATATAAATTGTGCGATGATGCATACTCCTGTGCATCTGCATAGCGAGCACAATCTCCATGCGGATGCAGCCGTGAGCCGGAGGACGCAGCAAATCCGCTTAGCACGGTCACTGGCGCCGCCTCCGCCCGTCCCGCTGCCGACTACCGACAGCCGAGTGCCGACGTAAATGACCCTAATGGATTTTTCATGTCGATTGCATTCTGTGTAAGTGTGCGTGTGAGATTATCGAAATTTTCAATAGATATTTGGAACTGCGCCGAAGTAAAATGTACACATACTCCTTTTAGCAAACTGACCTCTGTTTTGTTATATTCAAATAAGCCGGTTCGTTTCATTGAATGTGCTTAAGCTGTACAGGTTCGTAGATTTCTTTTGATTTAGTGCCTACAATATCATACGCAGAATAAATACTGAAAATTAAGTCTTGTCAATTGTGGTACCTTGCTGTAGGTAGATCGTTCTTCAAGGCTACACGTCGCCTCGCAAGGTTATTTACCTGTTGTAAAAGTTAGGGGGTAAACATGATGATTTAACACGTCTTCCAGCCATTAATAACAATTATGCTTTATATCCTTCGGCTTATTGTTAGCGAAGCGGGTGTTCGCCGGATATTTTGACATTAATTTTATATTCAATGCTGTACGACGAACAATAGACATCTCCCTGGCAAAAACATGCAAGTTCCGAGCCGTCATCGTCCTCACAATTATTAATAACATTTTCATAATGTATATTATACGACATTGTGCTGAAAACCATAAAAAAATTATTTCCGGAAAATATGCTTTAGGTACAATTTTTCAAATTTACTATGTAGGCATACTTAGTATGAAATAGTTTAAGCGAATTTGAAATCTGCAGCAAACGATTTCTGCGGAAATGGAATGTGCACATTGCATAATAGATAATATTTTATCACTACAAAATAATTCAATGTATTTCTGAAAATTACTTTTATGCGACAAACTATGTAGATGATACAAAAAATATGTGAGTCGGACCACCTCCCTGGTACAATGGTTAAACGCTTTGCCGAGCATTGAGTTGAGCGGGAATGGTTGAGGATTCAAAATCGGGGAAACACCGGCCGGCAGAGCAAAAACCTTGATAGAACAGAATAGCAACACTTTGGTATTATACTCTCTACGAATTGTGTGTTCGTATATTAATTAATCACCAGTAAGAGAGGAAGTGCTAATCGTGCTTTAATAACCACATATCACAGTCTCGCCTATTAGTGGGTATAAATTGAAAGCCACGCGATGGGCTAAGTATAGTGACACGCCATGTCGGCGTCGTTGCTGACCCTTTTAGTAATAGTCGCTTTTGGTCTTGCAGCAAAAGAGAAACCGGTGAGACATTAATGCGATTAGCATTCCTAGCTTTTTAAACGTCGTTAATCAACTATAGTTGCCTAATTCCCAAAATCAATTTATTCAAATGTATATGTCTTCAGATTGATATATGTTATAAAGTCGAGAAACACATTCGCGTATTAATGTTAGTAGGGAATTTCAATATTTAATGTTATGATATCAGCTTTATGTGCGCTTTGGGTTAGTCCCAATGGAATCTCTGTTTAATAATTTTCTTTGAATCATTTTTTAATATTAAAGCGACATCTTTGCCTTCACGTTCACAAAGAAACTCTTTGAGGAGAAAATAATATGTGAGGGTCTGACGTATACAGTAGTCGAACTGAGTAGATTTACCGAGTAAGAATTCCTAATGTTCAGAAGAACGACGTACTTATGGCGTATGCATGTGAACATGAGTCAATGAAAGACGTCTGTGGCATAAAGAGCGAGATGTCGACTAGCCGGAGATACAGCTACTGATCAATCGTATAGTGTAATCTGCGATTCGTATTTCAGGAGCTCAGCGACGAAATCAAAGAAATAATCCAGCATGTTCACAAGGAGTGCGTCAGTCAGACCGGGGTCGCCGAGGGTGAGTCGTGAAAGAAAGTAGCTATTTATTTCACCTCGCCTTTGTTCTTTTACTTTTGACGCAAACACACTTGTGTTCGCGACTTAACTTCGCCCACAGCCTTAATAGAGAATAGACGCTTTTATTTGAATTTCATATACGAGTAAAGTAAAATAAAATGATGATAGCCTTTATTACTGTTTTACAGTTATATAATGTTTGTTCTAAAAGTTTCTACGCTTGTTTGTTCCTAACTACTCTTGTCCATCTTGTGCCAGATACTTTTTTGAAGTTATGTTTCCAAAGCTTAACCTGGCGTCCTGATCTCCTTTTTTTCTTTTAGGATTGTCAGATTCACTTATAATTTTTGTTCATCTTTTAGTAGATGGTCAGACCAGCGCCATTTAAAAATGTTGCGTACATTTTCAAGTCCTATCACGTCTTTATATAGTTTTAAGTTTTAATTACTAATAATAAATTATTATTTTTCACTGGATCAAACCGTCTAAGTAATAAATGTCTGTTTGAATGCGTAAAATATGAACCTGCGTCGCATCTACACACACACCCACATTAAACAGTCTTTATTCTTACTTGCCCCTAGAGGATATAGCGAATTGTGAAAACGGCATATTTAAGGAGGACAACAAATTGAAGTGCTACATGTTTTGCTTATTGGAGGAAGGCAGTCTTGTGAGTCATTCTCCTTTTGTCTCTTCTTTTCGCTTACGTTACAATTTGTCATATGGTCCATTATTTACCATTTTAGGTTGACGACGAAGAAAACGTTGATTACGATATGATGATATCACTCATACCTGAGCAATATACCGAGAGGGTGACGAAAATGTTATCTGCTTGTAAACATCTCGGTAAGCGTATTAAAAAAAAATAACACAGACTGAACTCGAACCGAATCCCCACAGCGTATCGCGACATCGCGACTAATGGAGATACTATATTTTGTATAATCTATCATTGGAAAATAATAAAATCTATTATTATCTGTATCTATATAACTGTTTTGGATTAATATTATTTCTTTCAGACACGAAAGATAAAGACAAGTGTCAGAGGGCGTTTGAAGTTCACAAATGTTCTTATAACCATGACCCAAACGTAAGTTTACTTTTATACTAAGTAAAGAACAAAGATTGAAAAAGAGAGATTTCATTTGATTGTAACATACATCCCACAACACCTAATATGCAGTACAAGCATAACGAAAGGACGGATTTCGAGTCGTGTACTTATTTTTCTTGTATATAAATGCAAATTGTCACCTACGTAGGCTTTATTTACAGCATTTTACTTTTCTCTGCTTACAGTCTCTATAATAGTTACTTGTCGTATAAGTAATAACTATAAGAAGTATGAGTATTGTTCAATTAGGTGTCAAAACAGATATGTGTATCGTGTTTTGTTTTTCAGTTCTATTTCCTATTTTAAAATATTGGAAATGTGACATTCAACATTATCTGGTACAACGCTAAGGGCCACGGTGATTTTGGGAGAAGCTATGCACTATTCTTTGAATAAAGGTTTATTGAAAAGGTATTATTTTTCATTTTTCTGCATCAAATGAATGACTAGAGTCCTACACTTTGATTCATAAGATAAAAGATTCGCGCCATAAGTTAACGTAATTATTATTAATGTCAAGTTGTTATTGCTACTTTCCGCTTTGGTTTACCTACCTAAATAACGATGTAATTTGGCTTTTGCCGCGGGCTCCGGGCTCGGCTATTTTTTATGAAATACTTACTCTTCAAGTTTATTCACATTTTGAAAGAAGTATTATACTAAGGAATTAATTTGCCTCGCGAAAAATTATTCCAGCTAAGAAATATTAAATGAGTTTGAATCTTGTAAAACGTGTAATTGTATCTTTAATAAAATGAAATTCAAAGGAACTCCTTTAAGAAGCAATTTCGAACCGAATCCTTGTTTCTTTTATTTTATAAATAAGCGGGACGACTTAGTTTAATAAAAATCTCGTACTAGGACGGTATCGTTTCGGGAGACGGACGATGGGAAGCCGTCGTCGAGTCTAATAAAAAGCCAATTACGCGCATAAATCTTGCGTAATCTTATTCAAACATTCCGTAACAATGACGATAATATGCATCGAGGCGAACCGGAAATAAACCTAAAGATTCAAATTACAATGAGAGCGCACGTTATTTAACAGCGAAACGACATTCAAAAGACGGAAAAACCGAGGGTCGGAACATCTGCACATAAAGAGGCAATTTGGAGATTGCCGGGGGCGAGCGACGGCCACAGAATTGTACTCGAATGTATTCAAAATTAAAAAAATTGTTCAGGAATTCATTGTGACAAAATAAACATCAACGTTCGTTACCGTAGTCGAGAGATGTGGATAAGCGAGCGGTTTTAACGCGATGAGTCGCCGGCTCCGCCCGGGCACTATCGCTATCCGATTCTACAAAAGGGCTGCGGATGAAAAGAGCGAAGAATTCCGTTCGGCGACCCCCGTCTTTGAATAACGGCGCACGTTGACTTATATTACCCGTTCTCATTACGTTACCTTTAAAGAGGTAATCACTGGAATATTGAATGTGCACTGGAAATATCATCCAACTACATCGGCTAGCATCTGAATCGGGAGCAAAAACAGTTAGCTTCTAACGAAGGAATCTCCGAAATAAGCAATAATTTATCTTTCGTAATGACGAAATTGCAGGAGTCGGTCGGCTCCTACGTGGACTGCAAGTGCGACGCTAGTGGAGGCTGCGGACGTCGCAATTTGGCGACGCGCCGCAGTAATGACGGCCGGCCGTTGCGGTCGCGTACGTGCGCCGGCTAAACCGATCCCCTGGCCTTCGTTAGCTTTTATCGTTTTATGAATGCGGCCCTCCTCTGCCTCTCCTCACGAGAGTGAGACTGCGTTCCGATGCCAAATCATGCGGAAAAGGAGACATAGTCAAAACATAACGTACTCAATCGTGTACGTTATGTTACGCGCATCGTGAAATTCAATATGAGGTATATTGAATATAGAAATTTGAATAATTGCTGATTACAGGTTTAACGGTAAATAATTATCGCGCCGTACAAATGGCAATAAATGAGGAACCAATTAGCAGCTGGGTCTAACCGAGCGGCGCGAATTCGCCGATCACGTGCCGGCGGCTGCGACTGCACCGAGCCAATTATGACATTTCTGTAATCTATTCGGCACGTTCGTGAAACAAGCCAATTATCCAAATAAATTGAGTTAGCCCCCTCGCCGGGCGTCACCCGCGTCATAGTTCTCCTCAAAGGAAGCGTGTTACGCTACTTCGGAAAGGTGTTTGTTTCGCAGGCGCGCCGCAAAATGAATATTGATGACTTCATGGGGACCGGAGATGATTTGCTGAAAAATTAGCTTCTTTTCATCGTTTTATTGCCCGAGCCGACGTGATGAAGACTAATATAGGCGTTAATTTTAACAAAAGATTGCTTTGTGTTGATGAGCGAATGTCTGTATTCAACGTTTCTAATTATTTTTTCCTTTCGTTTATTTTGTAAATAAAGGGAATTTATTGGGCGTATAACTCATTTTAAACACTAAAAATACATATATTCGTTTAAAACGGTCTTCTCGTTCTCAAAATTTCGTGAGACATAATTAAATTTTCACAATATTATAAAGCCAAACATGTTGTGTTGTACGAAGGGTATCAGGGACGTGTGTCATCTTGGGGTGTATCTGACCGGAAGACACAATTTATATGCAAATTCAACAGAAGATACAAGGCTGCGATACGCCGAGCGCCTGCCGCGTATAAGAGCATGCTACAAGACACCCAGCTCGTGTTACCACTTCTGAAATTACTTTCACGCTTAGAATACTGTATTTCGCCATTATTCATCCCCATTATTATAGTTCTGTGCTGTGAAATGAATTTATATAGAGCACTGTCCATCACTAGCATTAGATGTAGAAAGTTATGTACAGAATGTGACATATCCAAATGATATAAATGTAAAATTGGATGTGCCCTCTTGCATGCCGAACGAACTCGTGATCAATGGAAACTATCATGTTTCCACAGGGTTCGAACCGAGAACGGTCAGTTACGGATACACGAGCTGTAAATAATATTGCCATACAAACATTTTTGGTAGTTTACAATAATTTCGGTTGACCTTCATTCCAAAAAATGTAATAATTTTTCTCTCCAGCTCATTATAACGTAGTAAAGCAGGGTTTGTTTATTTAAATTTTTCTTTGCCCCACCTGAAACGGAACGCGTACATAGGCCTAAGCGGAGCCTCCGTGCCTCGCGGCGTCTCACAAATTGCCCTCTTCTTAAACCATTTCATTTGCTTTTTTGTTATTCAAACATTTTCTGTAAATAAATTCTACGAGCTAAGATACTTCCTTATTTATAAACTACCCTCGCCTCGAGTTCGTAGAGCGATGTTTTAATGTACCGAGGTTGGAAGTTAGCACTAGATTGTACGAAATCTTTTTCATCTTTTCTGAAACATTTCGTTAGTCACGGTGATTGCATCTTCATTCAGAGGTCACTCCTGTTAAGTGGTGTTTATAAGATTCGGAATCGTTTTTTTAATGGATGTGGCATTCTATTGTAAGGTTTCGCTTATTTTTAAAGAATACAATTAGCATCATTCAAGAGTCCTATTTCCTCAGTGACGAAAATAGATTTGAAATGCATGTTAAATATACAAGAATAACAAATAAGTCGACTTCAATGATTATAATTTTTTTGGAAAAAATAAATTACCTCAAATACACATTTATTTTATTTATTTAATGTGCGGAAGTATTGTGTAGAACTAGCTTAAATTACAATTACGCTAGTTCTACAAATTTGGATAAAACTTATTTACGGTTTCAACCGCGAAACATAGTGAAATTATTTTTAATTTGTTTTAACTACAGCCCTACAGCAGAAGTTTCGGATACTTTTTTCAGTAGCCGTGATCACGGGGGGACTGAAGATAGTAAAATGCCAATGATCGAGTAAAGGTTAACAAATCGTTATTTGCAGTATATTCTCCAAATACAATTGCTTTTTATTAACTGTACCTGTAAAGGGCAAATTATCCCTAAAATCTGTTACATAAATATATATTAATAAACTAGGAGTGTTACTAAAAACGGATGGAAAGTTGTAGGAAAAAAGTGCCGTATCCATAGCTGGCGTGCGAAGTCGTTTTGTTTTCAGCGCAACGGCGACCGCTGGCTAAGCCAATTAGTGTCCACTTGGGTAAACACCGGCTCGTTAGCGGACTTGTGTGTTTTATTCAATTCAATTTGCCAACTCCACCGCCACTTATTATTGACAGTACCTACTTTCTTTGCTCACTTTTAATTCGGTTAGCTCGAAGAAGTTACTCAAGATTCGTTCTAGTTCGGACGCTCGTCTTCCGCGAATTGTTACTTTAATGAGTTAAATCTGAAAAGAGTTCGGCTAACCGGAGCGGTGCTCTGCTATTTATAAATTATGTTAGAACTTCTTCTCTTCGTCTTCTTGTGACGGGAAACACAAAATATTCCCGTGAATTAAGGCTGACGTTAGTACCGTTCTAATAAGAGTCGAATACAATATGACAATGACAAGGAGACAAGTAATTGAACATCTGCTCGTTGAACCGAAGCGAAGGATTCCTCGGCGGTTCCGCACCCGCAATAATCTCGATCGTGACTTGCACGTGAAGTGCGTGCTTTTATTACTTTCCTGAATGTGTTTCCTGAAACGCCTGTACTTCCTCCACAGTGAGCTATTTTGATGAAGCGTCTCGCTCGCTTGTATAACGGCTTTCTGAACCTTATTAGCAGTTCTCCACTTAAACGAAGATAAAACGACCACACTTATTTCGTTGTTTTTTACTTTTTACACTTTAACTGTCCAAAACGCGAAATTTATTAGTTAACTTATTTTAATTACGGTTCGACGTTTCGGATGATTCGCAGTAGTCGAAGTTACGGGGGGACAGTCCTTAAGTATACAAATATATCCCAAGATATAATAAATATAGTCTGTTTCCTTCATAGGGAATTAAAGATGGTATTTTCATACCTATAGTGAAATTATGGAATTTATGTGCTTTGTAATAATATGATAACCGCACAATATACTTTATAATAAATATGCCAAAGTTAGTAACTAAGTGCACGGGCTGTAACTCGGCGGCTACGAAAGAGTAAAGCCAACGTTCATTGAGAAGAAAATTATATGCAAAATCACGGCTGACGTCACGGGCCGACATAGACCCTGAGGGGAAAATAATTAATGTTGCAGCCTTGGAAACTCTGAAAATTTGAATCTTATATAAGGCAAAATATTTTCCTAAAAGAGATTATCCTAATTTTATGAAACAATATTGTAGTAGGGGATTAATTTGGATCAGAGGCATGTGCTAGCCAAAGCCGTTTTAAAAACATGGCGCCTCCGTAATGATTGCTTGATGAGAGCCAGTTCTGCATAGCCGTGCTGCGGAGCCAGCGGCCGGGGATTAGTTTACTTTCATTTTTAGTGGTAATAGCCGCGAGAACTATCCTGCAAAATGTCACGTCAGGGACATTTACTTGTATATTTTGAAATTATGAATCAATGCCTATTATCGCGTATTATTAAAGCTTTAATATATCACATTGTATAATCTATCTAGATTGAAACACGCGCGGCTACAGAACACGGTGGATGCCGATAATTAATTTTCATTTTCAATTCTACAAATAAATATCTATGATACAGTTTTCAACTCACTTTTACGTTTTACTGTAACATTAGACTCATTATGATTATGGTTAATACAGACTTCTTATATATGTTTCAAATGCCCTAGGTACGAAGTAAAGCAAATGAGCAATCGTTGCAATAAACGGGTCAACGGTAGCAATGTACGGCTATTATCATCGGGTCGTGTGTTCGGTCTCCACCGGGTCCAACATTTGTCAAATCAATTTTAGTAAAACATGTTGGACTTTGTCTGATAATCTGAATATTAAATGTGTGATAGGAATATCGAAATTCCGCCCGGTTCACGAACCACCGCCCACAGCTGATAAAGCCGTGAACCTTAATCACGTTTCGGTTACAGTCTGTGGATTTCCGAATATCCAAAGCGGAAATAGGTCGACAGCGCATCATGTTTAGATGCTATAAGCTGGGGTATTCACCTACCATTAATCGAACGCCGTGCTTGTCTGTCCTCCTCTATGATACAAAAAAAACTTTCCATGGATTCAAAATCGGACCTTTGTAGCATCCTTGTCAAGAACACCAATTTTTAAACATAATGTCACAGGTATAGCATCTCCCTTTGAACTAAAACATAAACAGAATTCGTCGATTGTTTTGTTAACTGGATCTCGTCCCGAGTGTATGTTAACGTTGGAGCGAAAATTAGAGAGGAAACTACGAAATACTTACAAGTTAGTTTTGTCATAGGCACTAGAGGGTGAGTCGAGAGCGCACTAACAAGTAAACTGCCCGCCAGTCGCGACGAATAATAATGTACGATGTCCACGGTCCGACTACACGCTACGAGCATAATGACACTTAAAACTTCCCCCATGTCTTACATAACGCACACGACAGAGGTACGAATATTATGCAAGTAGTAACCTTAGTCGCCTATTCATATTTTTCTTTTTTAGGATTATCTAGCGAAAAACTTTGTCTAAAAAGCAATAGTTGTAGTTCAAGTTTTACAGTATTGTTTTTATTGGCACAAACATTTAATTGTTAAAACTGATTCTGCAGTATACTGTGCAGAAAAAATGAATTTACTATTTCGCGAATTTACAATTGCACGAACCGACAAATTAACTAAACATGTTCATAATATCAATCGTTTAGAGCAATTGCACGGAGAGCTGTGAATGCCTGTTCAAGTCCTGTCCGAATCGTATGTTTTTTATTTACAATTTATAACGATTTCAAGTTTATGTTCATAATGTGTGCAATAAATAGAGAAAAAATATTTTCAGTTAAGTCATTAGCTGGCCTATTTGAATTCGTAGAAAATTAATTTTCAATAATCGTGTCAAATATTAATGAACCTTTACTTTGTCAGTTTAGTTAATTTAGGCAATAACAATTAAATTCTATTCAATTCACACTAGAAGTGAGTTGTAACTCAAAATGTCCTAGATTTTAATTTTTATCTCGAAACTACTAATAAGTTAAAAATACTGTCGCAGAGTAATGCACAAGACTAAATCTGCAAAAAAATAAAGTTATTCTCGTTTACCTTGGATATATTTATATTTATACATGCAACAGTACGAGTTGAGCGGAGTTTTTGAAAAGTTTTCTTCTTTACTTATTTGAGGACGTTCGAAGCGAGCGTCGAACTCTCTAACTCGTGTTATTGAATTTAATGTACCCCGGCTTCCACCTACTTCTATTCCGTGTCGATAAAATCACTCGGACTAGTTAGACATCGCTATTTGCGGCAACGTTTGCGCTTAATAGAACTCTACTCGGATAAAACGTTAAAATAATTGTCACCGACTTGAAGGTTTTCCAATATTGTAATGATTCATCACCTAAGCTTAGTGCCTCCGTGGGAAAACGTCTCGCGAGATCCTCGATTCGAATTCTGGGAAAGCATTTGAAAGAAATCGATTAGTTAAGATCGTTAAATAAATTCTACCAGTAAAACGGATACATTATAATGTGTCTGCTCTATGTGATTAGTTGTACGACTATTGGTATATTAATATTTAAAAAAAATACAACTATTCATCGTAATATTAGTTACTAGCTTTTATTGTCTGCTCGCCAAATTTGCGTGGCCATATAAACTATCATTTAACAAAGATAATTATTAAAAGTTTTACTTTAATCTAAAAGACGTTAAGAATTGTGCCTTACCGAAAATAAAACAGGCTATTGAAGCCCTGTATAAAATCTGGACGGGCTATAATAGGTGCGCCGCGGAGATAAATACGATTTATCGGCAATTTAATCCGATGTTTGTACTAACATATACCGAGGATAAGGCGTTTCTAGACTTTTATTACTGTTAGCTTTTTAATTATAAAAAACCGCGTTATATGTGTAATGAAATTTAAGATGTAAACCGATGGTAAAAAGTATCAAATGTCTGACTGTCTGACTGGAGTTTAATGGTTCTTTACCGACGTTATAAGTAGCCAGCAGTAGTGTAAGTTAAAACGTAGCCGAAAGAAATTCGGGAAATTATCTAACGATAGCTACCAGTGAAAGTAAAATGTACAAATGTATAAACGTGATTGAACGAAAGTCAAAGAGTTTTTCGCCTACCGGAACGTAACATTAAAACTGAATTCGTCAGCGTAGCACAGCGAAAAGGAAGTTTATAACTTTTTACATCATAAACCTGATAAAACGAACCTTTGATGTGTGGCTCGGCTTGTTTCTTTGCGTTAGACGACGCAAATAACGCTTCCAAAGTGAACGTGTAAATTTTTCTTTGGATGTTCGGATGCGCCCACCGCAAAAGGTTTCTCGTGCTAACATTTACATTTGGCGTCGCTTTCGTTTGCGCCCAGTGTTTGCCGGAACGCACTTTAATCACGGGGAACAGGTGGAAAGCGACGTTCAACAATTTCCACGTTACAATTTCTGATCGAGTCTCGCTCCCGACGTAACACATATTTTCACAGATTAAATATTAGGATCTGCGGTCCGTTTGCTAACTTTGTAATTGCATACTCGTCGATTTCTTTAGATTAAAAAAAGAAAGATATCGTTATTGACGCTTAGCAGTACTCCATATAATTTATCAAAGAGCACACGAACCGAAATACGTAATACCAAACGTCGAAAGGTCGCCGAAGTGACTCCTGAATACCTGCACGTATTCAATTTTCCCGACAATATTTCACCCCACCGACATGCTATGTTGCTTTCGCAGACGCCACAAGAACATCCACAACGTTTTTCCTCGAGAATACGCTACTGAAATTGAAATAGTCGCAGCCGAAATATTTGTGAATTTCTATTCGAATAATCCTCATAATTCGCTTTAAAAGTACGTCGGCGCGCGGGATCCGCCGCGATACCGTTAGAATACACGTCGGCGTGTCTGTATCAATATCCGGATTATATCGTATCAAATTTGTTTTGTGCGCTCGGAATTTATGCAGCGTTCTCAATTTCCGGCGACGACAGCGGTACATCCGGCGCACGAGCCGAGGTACGCGCGAAGCCTCCGAGCCGCACCGGGGCAGAGGAAAACGAGCGCGGGCATTTGCATACCGACGTCGCAGGCGAGCAGACCGGCAAATTGTCGTCGCATCGATGACTCGATCGATATGCCGGATGCGTATAATATGCCCGGCTATGCATCTACGCGTGTTATCCTTGGACACTGTTTGCATATTACGCACGGTTCAGTTATTTTGATTGTATGCAATCAGTTGTCCACGCAATTGCATAACGACCGATTCGTCCGTGTTCACTTAACCAGAAAACTCAGTCTTAGCTCGGTCGGGGAAATCATTTATGAGTACGTCGTGCGTTGTCTCGATCCAAGTTTTAATTCACCGAAGTGAAGCAGAATTTTACCGTGTCTTCCACAAATGAGCGTGCAAGTTTTCTTAAGGAATGTTTTCGTTGCGGTTCGTTAAAGCGTAGTCGCGTCTAGACATTCGATTTGAATCTACATCAGGGGTTCTAAAGGTTGAAAAATGTAGCATCTATCTCAAACTATCTGCACTTTTACATACTGAGTACACACGCACTGACACCTACACAATTTATATATTGCAACGCCTCGTCCTAGTTGCATATAATTAAATAGGACTATATCACCTCATTTAGTAGGACACTACTAATAATCCTAGAAATGATTTGAAAAGGACAAATGGTGTACGAGCTTGTTAGAATAAATATTAAATGGAAAAATGTCCTATAAACCGTGTGACAACCCTCCGAGTACGTCGATTCAGAATCGCAGGGTCGATTTCGGTTCGTTTAAGTTTGACATCCATAACGGGGATGTTTGTGCAGGCTCCGTAGACTGTACATGTGGCACGGTGACAGAATTTGCAATGAAAATTTCCACTGTCGGAGTGCAGTGCGGCATTAAAGTGGCATCGACTTAAAACGCTTCGCGCGGTACCGACAACACCGCCATTTTTACATGTAAACATCATTTAGCTACCTCCATAACTTCACAACCTCAGTCCAATAAATTGTCTTATTTAAACTTAATTTTAAAACTTCTACATTGTCATTTAATTTTTCTTTACATTTACACAATTCAAAGCGAGAAGCCCTTATTGTTTGTATATTACAAACGTAAAATTTAAAAGTACCTACATTTTTTTTTTAATATCATTCACGATCATTGATTCCTAGGTGCAACATCGTCGCCATGATCGGTTTAAATATTTTTTAACATCAGGATAAACGGGTCAAAAACCACCGTCCAGAGATGGAAAGGCCGTGAAGTGGAAAAATGTTTGTTTCAGTCTGTGGAACCTCGAATAGTTACAGACAAAATAGGCCGAATTCTCAATTTGCTCAGATGTTATACGGCCTGTATTTCGTTTTAATCAAGTGAACTCCGCGCTCATCTCCTCTGTCATAAAAAAACTTTAATTGCATCCTATTCGCGTTACAAAAATAAACACGCGACAAAATATCCCGTCTACCGTAAAACCGTAAAAGCTTGATCCTAAGTAAATAATGGGATTTAATGAGGAGCGTATGGAAATCGTTGCATTTTCTATCAGCGATGTTTGCTTTATGAGAGAGGAAACGCAAAAAGCTCTGCAATTAATAATTATTTTGATTTACCATTCCTGGACATTCCTCACGACCCCACGGACATTCTATTCGTACCTTTCTCATGATTTATTCCCATTGTCCGCTTTAGATTATTAAATATTTAACAAGATAATAACCAGAAATAGATATTAGCCAAACGTCCTCGTACTAGTTTACAATACCTTGTATGGTCGGTTATAACGAAACTTTAATAACACATTTGAAAACTTTATTATTTCTTACATGTTATTGCATATGAATGCACTATATAATTTAAAAATCGAAAATAAATTGAAAAAAATTTCGACGCGGGCAGGACTTGAACCGCAACCAATTCATAGAGCAACAGCACGGAACGCTGAAGATGCCGGTTCAAGACTTGCCCGAGTCGAAATTTTTTTCAATTTATTTTCGATTTTTAAATTTAATAACACAGTTTAGATCTATTCCGACGGCCCGTCAATTTAACAAGTACGCGTACATACGTCCCACAAAAGTGTGATTTTGAATTAATATTATTTTTATTAACCAATGCAGCAGACAGCGCTGCAATAGTGTATTTATGATGTGTAATTTATTACAGAACTTCCGCGACCTTTGATATGTTAATTCAATGATTGTTCTACATATAACCTACAATAAATGGCTCATACTTAATTCAATACAATTAAATTTCAAAATTTAAACAGCTATGTTGTCAATATACAGAACATAAGTTCTTACCAATATCATGTCAAACAACTTATATTATATTTAGCTCGCTGCGAGGGGGGTGGGGACTAGTATTAACGATAAATAATACACAACATTTTATTAGTTGTAAGCGGCGAATATATAAAAATATTATTATTAAACTATATCTTACTTAGGCGATTTAAGAAAATATAATCATAATATGGGGCACCTCGCTATCGCATTAATTACTTAACAAAATGCCGGTAAATCGTATCAGTAGAAGTGTGTAAGTAGCGAGGCAACAACAGATTACAACAGATATATAAATTTATTAAGAAGTATGATTTAGAGGTCCTCGTCCAGACGCCCGATCGCTCGCGAAGTACTTATAGGACCGGCCAGCTGTTACGAAGCCGCGAGAACCGAGTAATGATCGAAGCTGCTGCTACCATTAATTCAATTCCAAGAGTTGTGAAAACTGAGAGTAATACACAATCGATGCACAAAATTTATCTTATTTATGTTATTATAATTATTAAATAAGGAAAGAAAGCGTTGAAGTCGAAAGTACAACAGCCTGTAATTTATTTTGTTAAATATGTTTAATTTTCTACTAATACTATATATTTTTGTTATACCTGAAAAAATATTCAGAAAAAAGGAATTTATGCGGAGCATAAATAATATAACAAATTTTTCAATAACTATTGTTGTCCATTCATATTTTAAATCGTGCATTTTAACATGCCCAGAGCAATAGATTTAAAAGACTTCTTTGGAATTCAAGAAGCAAGTGCATATTCCATAATGACTACCTCTTGTTTTCATACATTGCGTAAAATGCGATAAATTCTCGGTTCGAATCCTGGATAGGAACATGATGAACTAGTTGGCCGTAAATACGAATAAATAAATGTTTTATCAACTCTACAGTTATCCACGATCAAGTGCTTTCATTAAATCTTTCATTTTCCCGTTGTATGAAAGTAGTCACTGAATACAAATGCACGCAGGATTGCACAAGTTTATATTAATTTACTTGAAAACTTCAGGTTCCTCTTGATTTATCGGTATTCATTAGCCACGGGGCGATACGAGCTCGGATGGCACGACGGTTGCGACCGAACGCGGGCTCGCTTACCATATAGATAGATTCGCCTCTGACGACAGTGCTACTGCATAAATAAACATGATTTACTTTCCCCACAAATAACGAGCTCAACCCCTTTTTTGCATTAGGCCATTTTCGCTAACCGGAATTAGCATTATTACTCTATGCGCGACATTTCCAAGCGACGTAGCAGAGGACCCGATCATAACAAAAATTAGTTAAAGATGATTCGTATAGATCAAAAATAAGATCGCACAAATAGAGCCACACTCGGAACCGATGCATCCCGATGTTTTCAATTACGGTTTCAGTGTGAACAGTATATTTTTCTTGTTACGCGATCGTAAGCTCTAATACGTGCTGCGCTATAAATAAAGGACTACTAATGAAAGGAACGATCGACAGTTTTAATTAGCGATAGCAGTTTCGCCGAGGTTGTTCATTTTTGTGGCTGATACACGAGGACAAAGCGCGGGAACCGGCGCGAACCCAATTAGAGCGACCGACTCCGCCGCGCATTCAAAACTCGCAGCTAACTCCGCGCACGCCGAACGTGCACGCCGATCGTGTTCTGACACTTCACATCTTTTATTGCTCGGCACCAATTTGGGCTCTATGATCATGTCTGCCAATTTATTGATGCTTTGTGTGAGAGCGTTTTCACCGTCGCATCAAAGAATCAATAAGAGGAGTAATTAACGGTTACAGCCGATTAACTATCGGCAGAACCACCCGTGATTGTCTATACGGACATCGTTACTGGCACATTTGTGTAATAATAATTATGATAATCATAATAGCGGGAAAAGTGTTTATTTCTCAAATCAAATATTTTCGCAGAAATTTAGCGCTAATAGAATTTGCATGATCATAAAATCGAATGAAAAATAAATTTCACGAATCCGACGTCGTCAACGAACGTCCGGGGATTAATAAATTTAATGCCATTCTTGGAGCCCGTAAACTCGAAAAATACGTAGATTTTTGTCCGCGGTAGGTATTTCCCCGGAGTGTAGGTTTCCAATCGGCGTCGGCGGGTCAGCCGGGAGTCAATGGAAAGCGGTGAAGTGGTGCCGCGGCGCTGATTAAAGCCTGGAGCAATCGCCCCGGAAAGTATTTATAGGTACACCTGTTCGTTAGCGGCGCGATTCCGGCCAACTCCTTGATTAGGCGCCGACGGGCGTTGTTGCCGCTCTGCAACAAATAAAGTATTTCCTCTTGAGGCGAACTCACATTCGGCTGAAAACATTTTTAAGTCAGTCTGTGCGATAACTCGCTCCTAACTTTGACCTTCCATCGTTGCCGTGTGCGAGTATGTATATGAATCGCGTCGAGTCCTCGCATGCGAGTAAGTTTGTATTCGTTGCACGCGCGGTGCGTGCGCGCTTGACTTCGAAAATCGCAACTCCGGTCACGGCTCCCCTTAATAACATCACGTTTGATGCGCCTCTATTATTATATTTTCATCTTCGAAGCGTCCCACGACTGGGACCTGCGCGTAGATATATTATTGCAGATACGAGGCGCGTTACACTTTTTTCTTTGACAGAAATTTTTAATTTTATTTTGACAATATTGACATAAAATAATTATTTTTCAGGCAAAGTCCAACGTATTTCAGAAAATTTAATTCAATTAATTAATGTTAACCGAACCCGTTCAGTATTGGTCATACATAGTTATATTACCATTGTACTGACGAGCATTTATCATTTGTGTTTACAAAGAAATAAAAAACATCTAATGATGTAAGTACATCTAATTTTATAATCAGTCAGATTCGAGTTATTTACTAACAAAATGTGGGCAAAGAGATATACATAGAACATATAATATACCGTAGTCTACAGGAAAAGCCGATATAATGTAAGCCGCTCACGTTTTACCAAAGGAGATGCTTACGTGAAATTTTTCTTACCTCTTAACACATTAACTAGCCGAAGGCTGCCGTTACCTGATGTTCTGTAAGTTTTGGGATTAGGTATTTTATATCATTGGGTTAAATACTAGTATGTTGGTAGGCAGAATATCACGTTTTTGTTCCTGGGTTATAAATGTAATTATATTTACTAAAGTAAAGTTAAATACGTAAGTACGTAATTAAGTGTTGTTTAATAAAATGATTGCCGTTGCGTGTGGCCGTGATCAGTCGTTCAGACATATAACTACGTACACGTATTTTACATCAGCGAGCCAAGAGCGGCCCTCATCGAGCTCAGCAGAGGAGCAGGCTTCGTTACGCGCGCTCCGCTGAACCCGCGAGTGACACCGACGAGTCTCTTCACGACCAAATCTCGCTACAAAATGTAATATTAAATAAAAAACACCTTTTTCAACTTTCTCGACGAGTTCCAAGTGGATCAAACATCACTTCAGTCTCACTAGTTCGCGTCATTATACCGCGAAAATGGGACATTGTTAAATTTAGTTATCACTGCAACAAATTCGAAGCGCAGAAATTAGAACAGCAGTTTTTCTTTTCAATAAATTTTAGTGTAGCGTGTATCGTTATAATATAATTAACTCTATACTCGTGGTAGTGCAGAGATCCAGTCCTCGGTGTAGGGAGTATGTTCACGATGCTTCTATGAATTGTTATCTATATTAATAGACTTAATACAACCTCTAGTAAGCGTTGATCGTCGTCAGCCAGGGGCCGATAGCATCATCGTTGGATTCAGCCTTCCGTCACACGGTGTCAGCTAATTCCTATTTCCAACAAAAACGTCCGGAAATTGGATATAAGGATCTGCGCGTTCGGATTCGACTACGTGACGTTTGTCGAACACGTCACTTCACTATGGAGTAATTTCCGCTCAGCGCTCGCGGAAAATTACTTTAGCCACATTAAATTTCCGAAATATAAAACATGACCGAAACATCACCGCGCCGTTCACAGAAGTCAATAACATAAATACCCCCTCTCAGTCCAGCAGTAGTTTATCTGTGCATCGCAAAATTTAGCTCTTAAAGCTAACTAACTCATAAAGTTGAGTACTCCCATGTATTGAAAATATAATTATGACAAATGGCTTCGTAGTTTATTATGTGGGCACCTATACAGAGGAAGAGACTGAAAGTTGGAAAACTTCATTAGTTTAAAAGCTAAGGTCCGAGTTTATTAGAAACAAACGTAAAAGCTATTTCTATTAGCCTCTATGAGACTTGTATGTGCCGTTGTATGAGAAGGAAATGGTTTCATTCGATTAGAGAGATTTCAAGAGCAGTACGCATATCTACCGTCGCGCAACGTTATAGTTTCATGGGACACATTAAACTATGGAATTTTTAGTATTTACGGCGTTTCGAAACTTTGGGGTAACGAAATTTCATTTACAAAGGACACAATGCCCTGGACACGTAGATTTGGTCCCCTTTTTACCTTTTCGGCGTTGGAATTCCGGAAAGACATTTCTTAGTGGACTTTTCAGATCTCTATTTATCGTTAGTCATAAGGGACTAAGGGGATTATATGTATTCATTCATAAGCCCATGAAGTGTCAGAATTTAAAGAAAATATATATATATAAGTAAGTCAAATAATACGAAGTGAGGGAAATAATAATTTGCATTGTGACATTAGCAAAACAGAACAGGTTTGCCAGATTACCATAATTTGCTTCGATGCATTTGAATAATGAGAACGTGAGCCTTGTCCCTCATTTATTTTAGCGCCCGAACTGTGCCAACAATAAACTAGTAATACATTTTCACCTTAAGTATCGCCACTTGACTCTCGGCTTTAATAAAGTCGATTGTAAAGTAGGAAAAATATCATATCTGCATGCATACTGTTACTTTACATTTCGTCTTAATGTTTATCTCGTTTTGTTAGTATTTCATAGTGGAATCGATATTCTTCTGCCGAAAGCTGACTCTATTAAGATTTGTAGTAAATTTATTATAATATTATTTCAATTCCCCCAACAGAAGTGTAGGGTAGCTTCGATAGCATCGCGTCTGAAATGGGTTATTGTGATACCAGTGTCTCATATTGCGAGAGATTTATAGAGGTAGTTGCGTCTATTATTGATACTGCTAGGCCTCAATCTGCTATATTAGTTGGCAATATATCTAAAAAATACTCATGGGATAAACGCGAAGTGTTAATATTGCACCGATCGCATTACCACCACTTTATTTATTTCACGTACAGTTTGATGTTTGGATATGTTACATAATATTTTGGGTCAAAAAACATTGTACAATAGAAACAAAATCTTGTTTTCTAACAACACTGCTTATTAAACAAAACAATGTGGCACGGAGCTCCGTTGGCAATAGTCACGACTGTATAATTCAAACTAAAACCTGATTTGAATTCTATGAAAACAAGTTTCCTAGTTTGTAAAGCATATTGTCGTAATCATAAAACTTGATATTCGCTTAACTTTGTCCATAAAAATTGGAAATTCCAGTTTAATAGGGAACCGTTGTATAAAAATCATATTAGATAAAAACTTTTTTAATTTGATGCCAACTATTGATAACCAATACAAGCACAAGTAGGTTATAGTGCTGTGTCGTGCAATGCAGGAGAAATTGTACTTTCTAATCGGAAAATATCCGAATAGGTTATATACAATAATATAGGTATCATTTAGGCTTGAGCCTAAAATTTGGTGTTGTAATTATGTCTTCTATTTTTTACCTTTCAAGTTAGAGGCAAAGCCTTATCTTGGAGTCACTAGTGTTGGGCGCGAGTCGCGATTGTTGTTAGTGATAATGACCGTTACGTCACCAAAATCACGAAGTTCACATTAATTAAGAAAAACATTGTCAGTCTAAAAAGGGTTCGCCTGGATTTTTTATATAGGATGAGCAAGCAAATAAATATAAAATGATTTAAGCAACTCAGCACAATGCAAATATTGAACAAAGTTGAAATCTTAAAACTACATTAGTAAGCCGAGGGGTTTTCGTGGTCTCGTCCGTCTTATGGTAGCAATAAGGCTAATGATTGAAGGTCGTGGGTTTGATCCCCAATTATAATTTTTCAGAAATATACTGAACTTTTTCAGGAAATTTGAATATTAAATGGGTAGAAGGAATATAGAATCCGTCTGGGCCACGAACCACCGCCCACAGATGAAAAAGCAGTGAAGCTTATTCGCGTTTCGGTTTCAATCTGTGGATTTCTGGATATCCAAAGTCAAAATAGTCGATAGCGCATCTTGGTTAGATTCTATAGGCTGAGGTACGTCGCCTACCATCAAGCCCATGTCAAAATAGTTTTATACGTAACACTGTAACGGTTAGTAAAAGTGTGAATATGGTAAAGTGGCTTTTACATCGATGAAATATTTTTCAATGCTATAGATTAAGTAAAATCGAGAATGAACACAAGTCTCAATATACTGTCGGTGTATTGTACGGGACGGGGTAGTTTTATCCTGTTTACTGCTGTCGCTCGGCTGTGCCGCGTCTCAAGTTGCAATAGAAGTTTACATGAGCTACTATTGCAAGTCGTGAGTTCTTTTATAAAATTCTTATTTGCATATCCTGTGCAATTTAAATAGACTGATTGTGCGCGTATATTCTAAGCTACGCGAGTACGGCTACGGTGGTGCTACAATTGATCGTAGCACGTGCTACGCTTGACTTTAGTCTGAGCGTAAAGAAT